CCCCTTGTCTGTCGGTAGAATCGTCAGCCTCAGCTTATTAGCCGGATCCCACGCAATGTCTCGGATATTCCCACAGAACTTGCGTTGAAAAAAATTCATTCGCTGGAAAGGAGGAGTGCTGAACTGCATTGCCAAGATGAAAGTACTCACGGCGGTAGCGGTACTCTGCACGGCCGCAGTCCGCACTAGGGCCCATCAGCCACAATGCCCACGGAACGCAGATGGCCTTGCTGTCCAGATGCTGGAGAGTACCATTGCTCGTGGACAGGGAATTACAGGCAGCGGTGCTGCCACGAGCACGATTGAGCTCGGGATCTTCCAACAGGTATGTCCACAATGGTTCATACTCCGTGTGTGTTCGAAGCCATCGAGTCGGATGATCCGGCGCTGAACCAACCAGGCCCTCAGAGAAAGCATAGCGTGCGGGCGTAATGAGACGCAGAGACAACACTGGGCCGAATATCTGCAGAACAGCACGTCGGGATCCATCTCACTATTTTCCAATGCCACCGCGGACGCTGGTCAGCCTCTGGATCGCTTGTCGGTGGGAACTTCGATGATTTATCAGTACCGAGAGACTGGCGATGAAGAATATCTCCCTGCCATTGCAGCGCTCCAAGACTCCGTGAAGCTACAGCCACAAAACGCAAATGGCGGCCTCTGGTATTATGCGAACCCGAACAATCTCAGTGCCTACCACAACCTCTCGTACTCCGATGGCATGTTCAGTTATCCGGCCTTTGCCCTCTTATCCGGGGAGGTTCTTTCGGTTAGTAACGCGACCGTGGACAGGGATCTCTTCGGTCTCGCTGCGACGGTGAAGCAGATCGCGAGACTCTACGGCATCTGTAAAAACGACGCGGGGCTTGTGGTCCATGGCTACGATGCTAGCAAAGCACACGCGTGGGCAAACCCCATCACAGGTGCCAGTCCCGTCGTGTGGGGGCGTTCACTGGCATGGTACACGCTCGGTATCTCGAATGCTCTGGAGATCTTACAGTCTTTGAACGTGTCTCGAGATGCGTCCGACAGCCTTGGACAGCTTTTTGAAAGTCTCGTCAGCGCCCAGCTCGCCGCTCTCGAACGAAGTCTTGGGGTCGGAGGTGCTTATGGTGTCTGGCAGGTCGTCGACCAGCCGGGTGCAAACTTCCAAGGACACGGAAACTTCATCGAAGCCAGTGCCAGTTGCATGACGGCCTACTCGCTCTTGCGAGGCGCTCGCTTGGGCTTCATCGAGGACGCGAATCTTCGTCGCCGGGCCATTTCCGCGGGGATTGGTATCTATCATCAGGTCCTGCACGAGTTCCTGGTGAGCAACGATAATGGTACCCTGAGTCTCAATGGAACGAGTGCGGTAGCCAGTCTCAGTGGCGATGTTGACTTCACCGTAAGTGCTGTGCCGCCTTGCCTTAGCCTTCCTTTTGACGCCGGTGCTGACGCTGACGGGCCTTCAACAGTATTATGTGACCAGACCTGTTGTGTTGAACAGTCTCATTGGCATCAGTGCTTTTATCTTAGCTGGACTAGAAGTCGAGAAGGTTTGTTAAGTTTCTCGCAACGACAGCCGCGTTTTTTGCAAGAAGTCCATTTAAGTGTCACTATGGGCCTCGCGCTCAATTTGCTGTATTAAATTAATAACCGAATAGCACCTAAATTTGTGTATCAAACAAGCCTGCGATCTCTGCACTCCCTCCATCATCATGCATCTATCTATATCTCAACGCTGCCATGAGATGACAAAGGGGGCCCGCTGTGGAGCATGGCATGGCATGACGGTCTGTCTAGATAATGCCGCAAAAAGCGTTGCTTGGCATCAGAAAGAAAGCGCAAGCAGGATCCTTTGCCCTCAGAGACGGACGGATCAAGTATACGTCGAGCATCATCGATCGTCATATCGTCGAGCCACTCGGTTGGCCTGCTGGCATTGGATAATACTCCAACAGGCGCGATGAACAAAGGCCGGCCGAACGGTCGTGGAGGCACCAGACTCAGAGCCTCACTACTGGCCTGTCAAGAGGATGCATCAACAAACCACAAGCAAGCACCCGCACCCGCCCCATCGCACGAATTCTGTCGTTCGTCCTCCGGGTGCTGTCAGTCATTCTCATTATCAGCAGCCTCCATCCATCCATGCCAGCAGCGCCCCAGACTCGCTCCACGAAATGCCTGCCAACCTGCACCGCCAACCAACCATACCGACCGACGACCTATCGATCGATATCCATCCAACCCCTGGAGTAGTCGGTGCACCGTTACTTTTACTACACTACACGCAAACACATACATACATACATACATACATACATACATACATACATACATACATACATACATACATACATACATACATACATACATACATACATACATACATACATACATACATACATATCCGAGACCTTCCGACGGACGATAAAACCCGCACGTGCTCCCCAGCGAGCGCGTACTAAACTACTCTCTCTCTCTGTGGCAGGCAGGCAGGCACCGTTCCCGCCGCCCGCGTCCAGACACTCCCCCCTCCCTCCCTCCCTTTAAACTTTTGCCGTTTCTTGCCATAATTTTGCCTGCCGCGGCGACAGCAGCAATTTCACCTTTGCCGTTGCCGCCTCCGCCCAAGCGAGAGCCCACTATAAATCGCAGCCTCAGTCTCGCTCGCCCACAAAAGTTGCTTATCTACCATAGTGCTTGCTTGCTAGCTGCCTGCCTCGCGGCGTCAATAATAATCTCGCGCGGCCTACTGAGCTGACTGACTGACTGACAACTTTTGATCCCTCCCCAACAACACTACTAAGGTGAGGTACTGTAGAGCTAGCTCTCTTTGAACAACACTGGCAGACCTCTTTAAGGTATCGGAGTATGTATCCTGGCTCGGCTCTCCCAGCACCTTGGTCAAAGCAAAGCAAAGCAACAGAGGAAGTTGCCCTGTGTCAGGCGTGAGATCGCTTCCTGCCAACGGAGCGTGGCGTGGCGCGGCGTCGTGTCTCATGCGGATAGTAGATAGCGTGTGTGCCGTGTGTTCGATCTTGGCGAGGCGGCAGAAAACGCTCACCCGCCTTGATTGAGGAAACACCATCTTCGACATCGACAGAATGATGCTGCACACGAGATGAGCATGCTCTCTGGTTGGTAGAATATAGACAGACCCGGCTCTTCCCGGCATCAAGCATCTTACATATTCCTGACTACCTTAGATTTCCATATCATCCCAACAATTGCCCACCCACCTTTCCTTCCAAGAGAAACAACACACGCCCATCTCTCGCTCAGAACGCTCCATCTCAAAAGACGATACTTAACCATCCATCCCATCCTCCAACCCACCACTCTCCTCCAACCAAATACTAACCCTCTCCTTACACTCTTCCATCCCATCCCCCAAGGCCTCCTGCCACTGCCTTTCCACCTCCCCAACCTTCTCCTTCAGATCCGCCGTAAGCTGATCCTCCACCTTCCGTTTCGCCTGCGCCATGTCCGCATAGAGATCCCTCCCATTCGGACTCGCAGCATTCCTTTCGATTTCCCCAAGTCTCAAGCGAGATTTCGTCGTAGCAGTTCGAACTTCGTGGAGAAGGCAGAGTAAGTTAATCTGCGATTCGATGAATTGGTACGCGCTCTTTTCCGCGTGATTCAAGAGGCTGTACAAATATTGCAAGGGGTGTTCGTGGTATGAAGGGTTTTCTTCGAATTCCTGCGGAGGGATTTCCACTTCGAAGCCGTCCATGCGAGAGGGGATCTGTTGGATCACCTCGAGCAACCCGGGCGCAATATCCCAGAAAGCCGAGAGTTGGTCTTCGACTCCTCGGGAAACGTTCTGCTCGATCAAGATCTGGAATTCTTCGAATCGACGGAGCGAGTCCCTGGCGAATGAGACTTGCCGTTCCGAGCCATCCTTCTTGAAGAAAGTAGTCGCCTCGTCCATCTTCGCCTGAGCCTTGGAAATGCGGTACGGGGTGAGGATGACTTCGGAATACTTCTCGCTGCGCATTGCATGGAGATCGAACATCTCCTTGTGCAAGTGCTCGCGAGCTTCGAAGATCCACTTCAGCAGCGTCAATTTCTCCAGCCGTTCGGGATGCTCGTCCCCTTCTTCCTGCGCGCGGTTAGGATCCGCGGACCAATGCCCGCTCTCCAGATCACTGCGAAGCTGCTTCATAGCATCATTGGCTTTGTCCAGACGCTCAGTCAGTAAGGTGTTCATGGGGTGAGAGACACTGCCCTCGAAGACGTCGAAGTTGGCTCTCGCAGTGGCCTTGCCGCGCTCCGCTTCTTCAACATCGAAATCAGCCTCGGCTTTCGCAGCATCGGCGAACGACATGCTGCCATCCGCGATCTTGCGCTGAATGTCAGCCCTCAGTCTAGCACGTCGCTGCTTTGTGCCTTCTTGCTGCTCGCGGGAAAGTGAGAAGTCTTGGTCCATGTACGAGTCTTTGATCTTCTGCACTTCGGCGTGGTCAGCGAGTTCACGATGCACAGATCGGTAGTCGCTCAATCGTGGATGGCTATTGCTGATGGCTGGGTGGTGTCGAGGGTATGGCGGCGGAAGTGTTACCAGCCTTGATACGTCAAGTGGAGCAATGCCTGGTGTCGATGCTTTGCGATCCCCTTGCCTATGTGGCGTGGCCATCGGAGTGTCGAAATCATGGCCTTCATGCCAACCAACCTTTTCCGGAGGATACTCATCTGGACCGTACGCATATGGCGGCTCACTGGCTCCAGGTGTGGGATTGCGTGGAGCTGGATCCTCGTTGCTGAATTGGAGCGTTGCAGGGCTGACTCCCATGTACTTCGTCTCCCTCTTCGACTTCTCAATTCGATCTGGTCTGCCAATGGATCCTGACCCTGAGTTGCTGGCTTCCCACCACCGACTGGCTGTTCGCCCTCGTGAACTATGCTCATCTGCAACGGTGCTGACAGCCATGCTAGGTATCGGCGATAGAGACGGTTTGAAAGCATCCGCCCACTGTCGGCCTTCATGACGTTCAAAGCCTTCACTGATGTCTCCAACAGATCCGGCGTCTGTGGCAGGCGTAAAATCACCCATGGAGGATGCCGAGCTTGGCACGTTCGCGTGAGCCGATGCGGGTTGCCCATCAGAAGCCCAAGAAGGCATTGTCGGGTCCATTGACGACATGGATGTGCTGGGTGTCACTACTCGTCTGCTACTTCGGCCAGCATAAGAGCGCCACATATCTCGAGTAAGGTCCATAATGTCGCCGGCCATCGCATTGTAAGCAGCAGGGTAACAGTCGCGTCGAAGACGCGACTCGTGCACAATGAAGTTAGCGAAAAGTTCCAGTCGCTCCTCGTCGGTTGCGGCCGCAGCCTCTTTCTCGATGAAGCTCCTGTGGCGCTCTATCGCCTGCAGCGAAAAGGCATCCAGGTTGGACGGAGCCTTCCCGGACCCACTAGTGGGAGGCCGTGCTGGGCTCAGAGGAGCGGGCATTGCACCAGTATCTTCGTTTGGGGTACGAAGCAGATGCGAGATTGGCCTGTCGCTTGATGCACTACCAGGCACCTTCACATTCTGCTTCTTTCTGTACTCTACGGGTGATTTACCGACCGCAGGAGTGTATGGCGGTGTCATAACACTTGCTGGAGCTTTCGAAGAGGGAGGTAGTGGACCAGAAGCTGAGCTTGGTGCTGAGGAGGGTCCCGCAAGGCCGGAAATGTTTCTCGTGTGCTCTCGCCTGCGGCTTATAGCTCCTTCGGTTGGCAAGAAGACAAGATCACTAGGTCGCGATTCATCCTCACCAGTCTTTGCTGCTCGACTTCTCGATCGCCGTTCCCTGATGCCTTGGGCGCTCGTGTCTCGTTTTGCAGGTCTTCGAGCAAGCATCGAATCCCGACTCGAACCAGTGTCTATCCTCAGTGGTTGCGCATCCGCAGCAGGCAGGGAAGGTACAGGTGGTGCTTGTTCTTGCTGAACTATCCGTGCGTCGTCATCTTCCCAATTTGAAGGTGTCGGAGGTACAGGACCAAGACTACTGGGAGGTGCCGCAGCTCGTCGTGGGCGAGGCACTTGGACTACAGCATCTGGAGTGGTTCTACCAGAGCCAGAAACTCCAGCCGGTCTGTTGAGACTCTGAGAACGATGACCGGCTGGAGGTGGCCCTGGAGGAGGTCCCGGGAGAGGCATGCCCGGCTGCCATCTGCTTTCAGGCGAGTCGCGTCCAGCGGATCCTGTAGCTGAGGATGCTGCAGAGCTACCGACTGGCATGTGCCCTGTTGACGCTGCTCTCCTGGCTGCCGGAGGTCGGGCGTCAACAAACATAGGTGCCTGGGCAGGATTGCTTTGCTGGGGCTGTTGCAACTCTGCCTGAGCAGGCTGCTTTCCTCGGAGACCAGAAAGGCTAAAGAACGATCTATTGCCACCCAATCCAGATGCAGACCTTTCACGATGCCTCGACGACTGAGGCGGCGGTGGAGGGAATGCGGGAGACATTGGAGCCTGTGGTGAGGGCCTCAGTGAACTTTCCGCTGGTGGCGAAGCAGTGAAGCCAACGCTTTCCATCAAGGGTGAAGCTACAGCAGCCCGATGAGCATTCTCCGGTGTTGCTGGGGAGTATGGAGGTGGAGGTGAGGGCATAGCAGCTAGTAGATGTTGGATCAGTGCATCTTCACGAAGCGCATCCACGTCTAGTATTCGCGCGTCCGACAACATCGTCGATCAACAACATACATTCGCACGGCCTATACGTCCACGAAAGAACAGATTGACACACCTTCCATGCCCGTCATCTGCGCCGCGTTGGCTGGCACGTTCGCCTGCCGCTGCTGGAAGAGCATCTGCGAGCCAGAGACGTGTCCTCGGCTGCTCCACTGTCGAGGATTGTAAGGCTCCATGACGGGCGTCTGAGGCGGGAGGCCGTCTGTCGTCCTAGGATTGAGCGCACTGGGCGTGTATGGCAGATGCTGCTGCTGCTGCTGCTGCTGCGTTGCCGATGGAGGCGTCGAGGAATAAGGGCCTGGAGGAGTCAAGGAGGCAGTTGATATCGAAGGCAGGCGGGCAGACACGGGCCGATTCCGCCCAGAGGGGCCAGAAGACGACGAGGACGAGCCCGCAGTAGCAAGGCGGGAGGCGGGCGGTGGAGGATAGGCATAGTGCTGGCTCATCGCAGGAGCGACGAAAGCGCGTGTGTGTTTCGGTGTTGGGTAGGAGCGCGCGTAGTAGAGGGTGACAAAGACCACAATCAAGGGCGAAACGGCCGATGTTGCACAGGAGGCGACGGGGTGATCTGGTCCAGCGCGTGCATTCCCCGTCGATGGCTTGGATGGGATGGTGTGGGAGGAGGGACGAGTTGCTATTTTGGATTTCTGCTTTATGCGGGATCGAGCTCTTGAGATGCGCGTAGAGGCGAATCAGCAGCGACGAGCACGCTGCAGCCAGCCAAGCCAGCCAAGCCAGCCGCTCCTGCAGCGTGTGAAAGTGGAAAGGCAGACAGACGTCGGCGCTTAGAGGTCCATGGGCGCTGTCTTCTGATTCGTCGCGCGGGCACGGGCCTCCGCCCGCGGTTCGGTTCGACGCCGCTAGCTTCGCTTAGCTCAGCTCACGGGCAGGCCAGGCCGTTGTGAGTTACTTCGCGTGCTACAGTACACTAACATCGCTCTACCGCATGCCTCCACGACAAATGCTTGGTATATCGGTATCTTGTCCGATTGACAGCCTGAACACCAGCACCAGCACGAAAGTGGTCCTGCTCCAACCCCGTTTCCTCAAATTAGCAAGAGCCAGCGTGAATCAGCCATTCTGCAGGACATGGCGGAGAGTCTCACCTTGAGAGCACTGGTCTAGCTACTGTGAGAAGCCGTAGTAGCTAGACGAGGGGACATCGCGGAATATCTCAACAGAGTTCCGTCCCGTCCTACTTTCCTTCGGCACGCTCGACCAGCTTCTCCTCCAAACCCACCGGCTCAAATTGGGTTCGGTCGCCCTTCTTCTGCGCCCAGACGACGTCGCCCTTGAGGTACACGATGACCCCACCTTTGCCGGTAGCGCTGGCGGTGATTCGGAACAGCGGGAGTCCGGTCGCGGTATGCGCTTCTCGCAACGGAACCATTGTAAGGTCTTGCTCAGCACACCAAGCCTCAACCACATCCTTGAAATCCTGTTCCACCTCATGGCGAGAAGGTCCCCTCTGTTCCGCTGCAACTTGGGCCTCGAGCTTCTTGCTGACCTCCTTGGCAATGGGCCGCGCTGGTCCAGCAGCAGGCGCGCTCAGCTCGCTGATAGGTCTACCCTCATCCTGGAGATCGAGTGCTCGGTTGATCATCTCCTCGCCCTTCTGCCATTCCTTGGCCACGTCAGGCATCGAACTGATCTTTCCCGGGATTTGCTGCTTCCACCATGTAAACCACTGCCCGACTTCTTCGAAATTTGCCTCCCCACTACTCAGCCACAAATGGAGCGTCGCAAGCCACTTGGGGAAGAACTCGGCCGCCAGCAGCCGTGCAAGCACCTCGGTCTTGAAGTAGCTTTGCCAAAGAAGCACATTCTCAAGCGGCGTCAGATCCTGGTCCGACGGATCGACCTCAAAGTATTGAGAAAGATGCCTCGCAAGCTTGGGTAGCAAATGCCTGACCTGAACATGATCAAGCTCCGAATGCAGCAATTCTCGCCATTCCATGAGTCCCGACAGAACGCCTGACGCAACGTCCCAACCATCAAGAACATGCCGAAGCCTGCGCTTCAGATTTGTAAGAAGGCTAGAAGAGGCTTTCGGATCCAGCTGATATGGAGGCAGATATGGCAGCCACGGGAAAAGCCAGGTGTGCGGTTCTGCGTACTTGACACTGACAGTCTTGTGATGATGACTGCGCTTCCTGGGGTCCCATTTTTGCAAAGCGTCGCTCAGCTTTCCAACAATAAGCTGGTCGATCAAGTTGCTGTAGATGAAGGCAGGCAAAAGTGGTCGCCAAGCGTGGACTAGTGTTGTCAATGGAGTGTGGTTGAGGACATCCCAGTTCGTGATGGTAGTTCGAAGCTTCGGCAGCCAGATGGTGTAAATCATACTTTCGTAGGTCGTAGTTGCCTTTTGCCTGCGCGACCTACCATAATCTTCATCGAGTTCCGCATGTGTGCGGTTGGAAACTACTTCGTCAAGGGGAGCGAGTCCGAGTATCAGTCTTATGCGCTGTAGGTCGACAACCAGAAACTCTGGGAGGTCTAGAGGTTCCCAATTCGCAATCTGCTTTTTGAAAAGCGGACAAAGCGCGCCTAACGCGGCTTCTGAGAGCGCATAACGCTCGAGGTCGTGTTTGTGCTCAAGTTGAACTTTCTCCAGCGACGTAATAATTGCGTTCCATTCGGGCTCATAATCCATGCTGGAAGTGCCAGAAGATGCTGTCAATTTTAGATTTTCAATTGCCTCCGCAATGGCCTGCAATTTCTCCAGGTCTTCCTTTTCTTGATCCACTTCGACTTGGAGCTGGCCAGCTTGCTCTTCAACATAAATCTTCTGCTCTTGGATTCCGCGCCACGCTTCAATGAAAGCCTCAAGCTCCATGCGCTCTCTCTTGGCAATCTTCTCGGCTTCCGACTCGGCCGGTACTCCGATTGGGGTCATCAGTCCAGCAGCGCTTGTGAGCGTCTTCGTCGAGGTGCCAGTCGCGTCGACAATCGAGCTTAGCATCTGCGGCGGCACGTCGAGTCCCGGCGCGACAGCCTGTACATCGGCCGCGGTCCTGTACTTGGTCTTGGGCTTCCGTGCGCCTCCTCCTGGTGTACTTGTCCCGCTCCCCAGCACGCGCCCTCCCGCTTGTGACGACTTCTTCCTCCTCTCTTTCCGCGCCTTGCGCTCTTCTTCACTGCTATCTTCATACTCCTCGCCGCGCTTCTCGGCAGCCCGGCGCTGCTCCTGCTTGTACTGTTCGGTTCTCTCCTTCACTGCGCCCACGCCCGCTCCTTGGGGTCGCAGTTTGACTTGGATCGGATCCACGATCCCATCGCCTTCCTTGCCGAGACCTTCGCCTTCCTTGTAGCCCATCTTCGCCATCATCTTCTGCGCGAACGACATCTTTCCTCCGCCGCCGCCTGCCATCTTCGGTGCCTTGTGAGGCCCGTTTCCAGCGCCTTGGAACTTGCGCTTCAGCGACGGCTCGTCCATCTTGATCGGAAAAGGCTGAGGTTGGTGGGGATGCTGAGTTTCGAACACATTTGATGTGAGGTAGCAAGATCGAAGCTCATGACTCGCGATTACAAGCACGTGCCGAGCTCCGAAATAAAGTTTGCGCTAGTGGACAGACATCAGACGAGGGGACCTCAAACCTCAAACGTCGACACAAACATGCAGAGATGTCGCTTTCGCCTCATGGCTACCAAGCTACAGTATCCCCAAGATAGTGTGGCTCTCCAGGATCCTATGTCTTCGATGCAAGTGAGGCCGAGCTGCGAGACCATCATCACAACGAGGCACCTTGCGCTCCAGCATCTGATCACCACTCTCACCTCCAACGCCGGGCCCCGGTATTCAGCCTCGTATCATCGCCTCCCAGCACCGTCTGCGGCGCACAAGCTTCCTATTGCCCTCATCTGTCCTCTCAGCAGGAACAAGCGGATCACTCCGCCGTTGGAAAGACCAACGTACTGATGATACACGAATCCGCAACGTGACAAACCGCAAATCCCAATATGTGTACAGGATCGTAGCTAAGTTCGCTGAAAGCTCGATAGCCGAATGAGGAGATTATGGCAAACTCTAAACAGGAAATGTAGCGGAGGCAGATGTGCCAGAACCAGGGGAGGGACGAGTTGCTGCCAGTGGCTACTGGAATTTTGAGGTCGCGCTGGAGCTGGTCGCCCTGTGGTGCTTGATCCATCTATGGATCGCCGATGTTTAGTTGTGGGGTGTTTCTCACAGAGTAGAATGCTAACAAACTCCCCTGTAGCAGCACCATATACAGAGCCAGACCACAAACCACGAAAAGGCCGACTAGCCGACTTGTTGTCCAATGAGAGGAGATCGTGGATGGGACATGTACACGCCTTCACTGAGCGCTTCCTGGTACGTCGCTGGTGCTGGTCCGACTTGCATGAGGGGGGGATTCCTCAGGCCATCATCAGCAATTGCCATTAATGTTCAATGTTCGGATCCTGCCATCCCTCTTTCTCCCTCACGATCTATCAACCCCAACGCGGGATCGTCGCTAGATCTTCTAGGCGGTTGCTGGCAATCCTAGGAACCTTGAAACACCAAGACCAACACCAAGAAGCTCAGGTCTTGGAGAATCGATAAGTAAGTGACATTGGAAGCCCCGTCCCGCCGTTTCATACATGTAGGCCCAGAACATATATGGAAAGAAGAAAAAAAAAAGCAAAGGTAAGGTTTAGAAGAGAGGACGTACAGACCGATGAGGACATATGTATATACGTTTCTATACACAACACAACAACAATGACAAAAGCCGAGCGAAAAAAACACCCCAGCACACACACGCCCGCTCAACGCTGCCTTTTCCCCAAAGGCCGTCAAAGCTCCACCACCACCAATCCCCCTCCTCCTACTCCCTCGTCCCAAACGAAGGAGGCGGAATACACCCCTCCCCACCAGCACCAGCACCAGCACCACAAGGCGATCGATCCTCCACCGCCAACTCCGAAGGCCCCACAATAGGAAAAGAAAAAGAAAAGAAAAAAGAAGTATGCTGCCCTACCCCAGCAAAGTCCTCGCTCGCAGATCCACATCCAGATCCAGACTCTTCTTTTTCTCTTTCTTCGAATTGCTGCTCCAAACACTCATCCTCATCCTCATCACCATCCCCCGGGAAAATCCATCCGCGAAAAGCCCCAAGCAATAATCGCTCATCATTCGGTGACCGCCAGAAAGGGTGGAGGGGGAAAGGCGTTGCGATTCCCCCCACCGGTATGCGCGGAAACAAAGGTATTCGTGCTCGTGCTCGGGGTGGTGCTCGGTCTGGTTCTGGTTCTTGTTCTGGTCCTTGTGGAGAGCGGGTTTGCGCCATGTTTGGTTGGTTGGTTCGGTTGCTTCGTTGAAATGGTTCAATCGAATTTTGACTCGGCGAGTGGAAGATATATATACATACATACATACCTTGGTTCATTGCAGCAAGCAGTATGGAATACGTGCCCTGAGATTAGTACGCCTGACACTGACGTGGCGAGCATGCCGGCAGTCATGAATGAAACCTGTTGAATGCTGTGTGTGTGTGTGTGTGTGTGTGTGTGTGTGTGTGTGTGTGTAACCGCTGCTCTCTTTGATGGCTTGCATGCTCAGGTGGTGATACACGGAAGAAGGAACCCCGTATTCTCTTCGCTTTTTGAACGAGCCTATTCCAAATGGACAACCCATCCATCCATCCATCCATCCATCCCATTTTCCCATTTTGATGTGGTCAGGACAGAACAAGCAAGGTATCTTTCACAGCTCCATGGCCCCCTTCTTGCCCAGGCGGGTTGATTAAAAACAACAAAACAAAAACACTATACTTCTTATGCCCGCTCGCTGCTGCTGCTGCTGCTGCTGCGTGCTACTGCTCGTGCTGCCCTGCTCGCTGAAAACCAATAACAAAAGAAAACGCATACCTTCAGCAGTGGAAATGCACTGACTGCCATGCAACGCGCAAACGCAAAATGCGAGCAATTTTTCTCCGTGCCTTCCAGATCGGTGACGGTGTGATCGGTCTTCCGTGTTGCGCCAGTTTGCTCCGTAAACGCTCGACAGGGTATTGAAGGATGTCTGGGTTGTTGCAGTGTCGTCTCGATGGGTGGAGAAGGAGGCCGTCTTGCCGAGCAAACGATGGATGCGAGCTATCCTGTACAATGTATGGGGTTTCCGCGCTCATGCTGTGTCGAATAAAGCGTCTGCGCCGTGGCGACCAAGCTTTGTCGATGTAGTCGGACAAGCTGCTCCGAAGTCGTAAAGGTCTAATTATGCATTCCGTCTGAATCGCGTATACAGAAGCGAAAAGGGTATCTCAGTCGACCGTGTCAGGTAAGCGAGAAGTGCCACCGGGTGATCCATCGTACAAACACCTCAATCAGTAGTGTGGTAAGGGAACTCGTTACCAGCCAGCTGCATCATCACAGAGCAACATCGAGGACCATGCTGACATCTTGGACCTTGGGCCCTGCAAGGTCTTCCAGTACTGGGATGAGATCGCAGAGCTCGTTGTCGTGCGCATCGCTGAACCAGCTACTGATTGGCACAGCATGCTGGGGATGGAAGATGTAGCTGGTGGGCGAGTTGTCGATGATGATCGTGTCCTTGAGCGCTCGGCCGACCTGGCTCAGATCTTTGACGTAATTGCCCTGGTGGTTGTAGCAGCTTTCGCGGAATAACCGATGGTGCACGACGCCGTGGATGTCAAGCTGATCGAGCAGTGGATCGCCGTATTTGGAGACAGATGCCGTGAAAACGACAACCTCGTACAGCTCTCCCACTCGCTTGAGGAAGGCATCAACGCCCGGCCGCTTTATGACGTAGACGTTGTGATACTGTCCCTCAATTTCGACTGGGATTGTGAAGTCGGCTTGATGTAGAATCTACAAAAAGTGGTCAGCCGAGTAGCAAATGACAAATCATCCCTAGTAGACTTGCCTTGAAACTGCTGTGGACCAAGGTCTCGTCAAGATCCAAGACCAGGCACTTTCGACCACGCAGTTCCGGTTGTATCGGCGGGAGCAACCATTGACCTCTATTTTCTGGAGTACTGGCGTCCGTGTTCACGCTGGGCGTCTTGTTTTCCTGGGAAGTACGGGGTGGTGGATGTGATGGAGGCCCAGGGAGAGCAGTGACATATGGTCCGGTGGACGATTCGCCTTTCTGCTCCAGCTCCTCTCTGATCTCTTTCGCCTCTGCTTCGCCCATTGGCACCGAGTCTTTCATCTCGATATCTTCATCGAGCTTCTTCTGATCGACAGTCCGGTCAAAGATCGGGTCCTCTTCTGATTGGACTACGGTAGGCGTTGGAGCTTGGACTTCCACAGAAGGCGGTGTTGTTAAGCTCGCGCCGGCTGCACTGGATGGCCCCGAAGTGACGATCGGTGGAGGGTGCAGAGCAGTCGTCTCAGGCGCTCGTGACGCATCCGGGCTCGCCTGATCTGCGCTCGTGGTTTGCTTATCAGCCGGATCACTGCTGGACAGATTCTCGTTCTCAGAAGCCCGCTGCCTTGAATCCGACTTTGATCCATCTGCCGCTGCGTGCTTCTGACCCGTCTTCTCATCGACTACATCCTTGGAATCCTGCGTCGCACTGGTGTCTGTCTGGCTATCGTTCTGGGGCCGCTGCTGTGACTGAGGCTGTTGGGCTCTTGTAGGTTGTGGTTTGGTAGCTGGCTTTGCGGGCTGAGCAAGATCTTGTTGGCCGACATCGGGGACTTCGTCGCCTGCAGTGCAGCAGAGCAAGGAGAGCAGGCCACCCTTCTTCTTCGGCTTGGGCTGCTCTTCTGGATTCGGCCGCGGCGACTTCTCATTTGGCTCCTCTCCTCGCTTACTCCGGTCTCTGCCAAGTCGCAAGCTGCGCTTTGAACCTCGTCCAATGCTTTCGGCCTTTGGCTTCCCTGAGTCACCAGACATAGTGTTCGAAGTGGCCTCTGCAGGGGGCTGTGAAGGAGTAGCGAGGGTTGAGGAGGTGCCCGGAGAGCCTCCCGACATGTCTGCTACCGGTGCAGATGCGGCATTCTGCGAACTACCCGCATCTGAGGCCAGCGGCAACTCACGCGAGGAGGTCCTCGGTGGAGGTACGAACGTCTGCGCTGTCGCGGAAGAGCCTAATAGCATGAGTGTCAGCAGATTCTCTTGCATCCATAAGCCATGTACGTCTATGTATCCTCTTCGTCGAGAGCAGGGCTTGCTGTGCGACCTCACGACTGCCACTCGCCCGCGCTGCGCGGTCTGCTGCCTGCTGCCTGCTATCTGCCCGCTATCTGCTGCCTGCTGTCTGCTGTCTGCTGCGCGCTGCTCAAGTGTTTCGCTGAACAATGATACTTACCCTGTCCAGGCCCTTCTGTGTTGGGCTGAAGGCCCGATTGACTCATTGGGCGCGCTCGGTGTTGTGACGGAGCATTCGCGGTGTGCCTGAGTTGTGCGGAGGGATGTGGAGATGGCGGAGATTGTGTTGACCAAGTCGAGGTCGCCGAGGGGGCGAGCAGCGTGGACGAACGTCGGTGTATGGGCGAGCGAGAGGGTATGGTCAGGTGACGGCAGCGATGGTGGTGGCGGCGGTGGTGTATGGGATGTGGCGACGACGCAGTGTGGTGTCGGAGGACAAACACAAGCTCGCGCCAGGTCGAGTCGTCGAGCGGGCGTGGAGGCAAGACGCAGAGCGGCTGTGCTCCGGTGCAGGGCAGGGCAGGGCAGGGCAGGGCAGGGCAGGACGGGCGCGCGTGCGACGGGAGCGTGCGAGGGTGGCGGAGATGATGTCGCGGTGGTGGAGGGGGGATGCGGCCGCGGTGGTTGCTGCCGTGGCAGTGGACGCGCTGGTGAGAGGGTGCGGCAGCAGGTGGTGGTGTGTGGTGCTGCTGGGGAGTAGTGGTCAGGGTCGTGAGGTGAAGTGAGGTCGGCCGGGGAGCGGTTGGCTTGAGCGCTGCAACCAATTTCCGCCGTCAACTGCGCTGCCAATCACAAGCGCTCGCCTGCAGCTGCTGCCCTCTGTGCTCCTGTGCTCTGCTCTCGCTCGCGGTGCAACCGGTGACAGGCAGCACGGGCAGCACACACGAATGTGATCCATCATCTATCCTACATTATTACATTGGTAGTATGGTACCGCAGCCGCGGGATGCCCGATATCCTGCTCGCTATCCTGCTTTGCGCGGCGGTCTTTCCGGATTTCTCACGAGAGCGTCGCCACGCAATGCGCGCTTCCCACACCCCCGATCAGCACCTCGATCATCAACGCCTCGATCAACAAGGTTCGAGCGGACGCCTTCGCTCGGAATCTCCAGCTGTGAGTGGCTCCAGGCCGCGAGCAGGATCTGAGCGGCTTCCCGATCGGGCTGCGTGGGCACGTGCACGTCTCTCCGCTCTGGCCAGTGGCGCATACCTTCAAGTTACCTTAGCCAAGCTCGCCCGCCCGAATCCCGAATCCCGAATCCCATCCGATCCGAGCGCAAGACTTCATCTACCTCGAGCCTCCCTGCCCGCCGTCTTCACCATACATGTCCAATATCACCGTGATATCACTGAGATGAACCCAAGAAAGGGTCGGAGCAAATTCTACCTCGGACTTGCTCGCCCTTGCATTTCTGCAATGCCCATTGGCCTCGACGACCATGGGATGCTTGCTCGACGCCTCGTGGACGACAGGCATACCACTCTTACTACCTACCTACACGAGTGCGAGATAGCTTACTTGGATGCTGCGCTTCACAACGTCTGCCCACGCGACTGCTCCTGTGCCCTCGTGGCCGCCGCTCGTCCTGCCCTCCTGCCAAAAACGCCACCCGCCGTCAAGCCACTGCCTCCCGGGTAGTTGCCATAGAACAGCCCTCCGACCATCTCTCCCGCGCAGTGCAGCCCTTCAATCTCCCTTCCATCCTCGCCGAGTACCGCTGCATTCTCCCCATTGATCGCCAACCCTCCAAACGTGAACGTGATTCCACATGTCACTTTTACCGCAACGAAAGGCGGCTTCCGGATGGGGATTGCCCAGTTCGACTTCGCCAATGGCAGCGATCTGGACGAGGATTGCGTCGAGAGCCCATCCTTGATGGCCGGATTTAGCCTGATCTCGGGACGCTCGCGCCTGTGAGCCTCGACCGCTTCATTGTACTCCTCGATCGTCTTCACGAACTCATCTGCTGCCTTCAGCCCATCCGCCCGCAACTTGTCTGCCAGCTCCTCCACGCTATCCGCTTGGACTTTGCGTACAATCTCATCCCGATACTCTTCACTTCGAAGCCACTGCTGACCATCTCTATCCCAAACCTGAAACGCAACACCTTCAGGCTGCTCCAGAATCGCCCTGCCGAACTTGGCGTACGTATAATTGCGCAGGTCCACTCCCTCATCGACGAAGCGTTTCCCTTCGGCATTCAACATCAACCCAAGCGGGTATCCAGACTTCGTGAACTCGTTCGTCTTGTCTCGATCACCTCCATGCTTGGGAGAATCCGCATCCCACGCAACGCTATGGCAACCGCTCGGACTGAAATCGCCCACGGTCTTTGCTCCAAGCTCGATCGCCGCAGCGAGCATATCCCCAGTATTGTACGGCGTTCCTCGCGTATGCGCCAATTCCCACCCAGGACCCATCCATTTCTTCCTCAATTCCGGATTCGCCTCAAAGCCCCCAGCGCACAGAATAACACTACTCGCCCGCAACTCATATCTCTCCCCTCCTCTTTCCACCTCCACGCCCACGACCCTCCTCCCGCTCGCATCCGTCATCAATCCCCTCGCACACGTCTCATACGAAATCTCACACCCATGCCTCCTCACCGCGTCCAATAGGTTCCGAATCAACCCTTTGCCCCCATCCTGCACCGTCAAATGCAACCCACCCCAAAACCGCCACCGTCCATCCACCTCATACGCCTGCCGCCGAAAACTCAACCACCAATCCACGCCCCCGACCTCTCTCAACCACCTCACCACGTCCAACGACTCTCCCACCAAATACCCCCCCAACGTCTCATCACTCCTCCCCCCCGTCACCCTCTCCAGATCCCCCCTGAAATCCGCCGCCGTGTATGGCGGCAGATCAATCTTTTCCGCGAGCGGCGCCGGCACGTTGGATACCAGCGGCAGCAGATCGCTTAGGCCCTCGTGCCGAGTCCGATATGCCGCCGCCGTGAAGAAGCCGTTGCCCCCTGCCCACTCTCGCGGCGCCTTCTCCACGAGCAGAATTTTCGGTTTCGCTGTCGCTGTCGTTTTTGTTGTTGTTGTTGTTGATGATGTTGTCGTGGTGGTGGTGGAGGTGGTGGTGGCGGCTGATAGGGCAGCCGAGAGCGCCGCGGCGCCCGTGCCGATGATGATGATATCCCAGGTCTGCGCGAGGAGGTCATTCTTTCTCTTTTCGCCTCCATCACGAGGAGGAGGAGGGGTCGCCATGCTACTAGCTAAGGTATCTAGCTGTCTGCCCGCCTGCGATTTTGAAATCCAAGGAAATGGAAGATTTTTTTTGTTTTTTTTTTATAGAGTTGTCATTTGGTTGGGTCTTTGCTTGTGGCTGTTGTGATGAAATCAGACAATAAGTATTTCGTGGTGTTTGTCGTTTTCCTGGTCTCTATGTAATGGATATCTATAGCGGGAATGCACGTCCAGAACCGCACCGCACCGATATCGAAAAGCCATGCGGCCGAAATCGGGGAGTCGTTCCCGTTTTAGGCGGCATGTGAATTCATCCATCATGTGTACCCTCCCTTACCTTACCTTACCTTACCTTACCTTACCCCTCACAAACAAGGCAGGTGCGAGAAAACTTCCGTGGCCAGAAATAATCCCCGGAGAGAACGGAAGATGTAAAAATCGAGTAGGGCAAGTGGTGGCCAACGAGTCGAAACACGTGCTCTCTAATGTCAGGATGGATCAGATGAGGATGAAGAAAACAGACAGAACGAAAGGAACGGTACGCTTCGTCGTTGACCGAGATGGCAAGTCTCGAAATTTTTGCTTTCATCATCCACTCTATCAAGAAAGAACCCCCTCCAACCCCCCGCCGCACAGCGACAGACAGTCAAGAAGAAGCACCAACAACAACACAAAACGTACACACTCCCCCCCTCAACCCCCCCCAAATCCCTCCGCTCCAAACCAAAAAAGTAGACAAATGCAACCTCCAGCCCGGCGGCTCTTAAGCACCATATGCACAGGCACATCCACAGACTGGTGCATGCAATGCGTCGCGATCAAAACTTTTCCCATCAATGCCAATCAAGAGCAAAAACAATGCCGCCAAAAACGCGCCTGCAAGCGCATATCCCAGGTATAGAAGAAGAAGAAGAAGAAGAAGAAGAAGAAGAAGAAATCTATTCCAGAACGCCACGCATTGGAAAAACAGCACAAAAACAGCAACTCGCTAAAAGCGCTTCCAGCAGTTCAAAAGAATTCGCCCTTCGTTCCTCGCTAGCCTTCATTCGAGTCGAGCGCACTTTTTTCCTAGCCTCAACAATACTTCCATCCCCTGGAGTACTGTCTCGGCAGATGATATGCACTGTTGGCCACCCGCAGAAACGCGAGCGAGCAAAACTATGCTCCGCCTTATCGTATATTCGTCAAGTCGTAATGGTGTCATCGTCGCTGCGTACTTCGTTTCGAGGGTGTAAGTCGAGAACCAGACCCTATTGCAGCAAGACAATCGTTACGGTGGATCAGCGGCTCTTCAGCCGTGGATCGCGGTAGGTGTTGGGGTGTCGGAAAGGTATCCATCTCGGTGGTTCTGGTACGGATATCCAAATGCGCCGGGCGACGCAGAGCTCAGAGCATGGCCCGTGACAGGACTGGGCGAAGACGGTCGAGAGACCAACGGGCTCACAGCCGTTACGCGCTCGTTGGCGCCATCGAGCTGAGGCAGCGGAGAGCCTGTCCCAGAAGACAGAATCAATGTGGAAACCGAGTCCGCCTCATCGACGCCATCAGTGCGAGGCTGCTTTGGATGCTGATATGATGATGTTGGCCTAGTGACCGGTGGAGACGTCGTTCCCTTGCCACCAGGTGTAAACTGAAGGTCAGTCAGCTTTCGACTCGTCCTTAGACCTCGGAGACTGTGGAACTTCGGTTGGAACCTACGTAGCAGAACTTCTGAACCAGATCCTTGTACTGATCGGAGCCCATGGCAGGACGGTCGTCGGTGAGCAGGTCGGGGCGCTCAGCCTTCGCATCCACCTTGGCTGGCTCAGTGCGATCGATCGGACCAAAGTAGCCGTCGTTCAGCTGGGACTTGGCGCCATCCTTGTTCATCAGGCCACTGCGGCGACCCAGACTTTCTTGCGCCGAGGACAGTGCAGCTGACAAGGAGCTGCCAAAGTCGTATCGGCTGCCGAGACCGTTGGTCGGTGAGGTCGATGGACTAGTGTTGAACAGAGAGGATCGCTTGGGCTTCTGCTTGAGCTTGATGGATCCGCCTTCGCCCAGAAGTTGAGATGGTGAGCCGAAATGATAAGCCGAATTGCTGTCAAGCCGTGACACGAAATCGTCGTCCACGGAGTCTTGCCTGCCTTTCGACGAAGGCGAGTGGCGGCTCCGAGGAATGGCATTGCGTGGACGTTGTCCGAGCGTGCTGACAGGCTTTAATTGCTTGGCATGCTTCTTGGGCTCGCCACGGGCGAAATCAACCTGGAAGTTCCGGTCGTTATTGTTGTCCCAAAATTCCTGTCCTCCAACGTTATATCGAACGCAAAGGAGCAAGGTCTTGTTGTCAATGTTTGCTTGGTCCGACAGCACGATGTGGAAGTTGAACCGGTCACAACCGTCGGTAGGGCGATTTCGAGTGTCGTTGTTGTACTCAGCGACGACTTCAGACGTTGTTTTCCAGTAGTCAAGAGTAAACCGAGCCACGACCTTCTTTTGAAAAGCAATGTTCTGCACACCGCACACACCGACAAGCGTTGTCTTGTCCGCTGACAGGAATATGCGCTCGACTCGGATGGCCTGAGCCCTGCGCTCGAAAGTGTCTTTCGGGAAGTTGGCAATCCGGATCGCCAGTTCCGGCTTCTTGGAATCATCGTTGAACGGAAACTCGCTCTCGCTGTCGTACGTCTCGACCGGTGAGGAGCCAGCGCTAACCGCTATAGGCTTGTCGACCTGCAGGAAATGCCGGGTCTGGTTGTCGCTGTCGTTGAAATGCACGGATTTGGAGTACGTCGGAGTTCCAGGCATGCTCGAATAACGCCGCCTGGAAGACGGCCTCAACGCGGGCTTGACCAGCTCCCCGGACTTTTTCCGGACCAGGGCAGGCTTCGACGCTGAACCTTCATCCTCGTCACTATCGTCAGATGTCTGCGTCGGCGACTCAGCGAACGTCGGCGTCTTCAACGTGATCATGGTCTCCGTCGACGACCGTGAATGCGAGATTTTGCGGGCTGCCGCAGTCAGCGCGGGCCGGTGCTGCACTGCTGTGGGCGGAGTGCTGTGAGATTCTGGTTCAGATGCCGATTCCTTGCGTTGCAGGTGAGTGTTGCTCTTGTCGGGCGATCCTTCTCTCTGCTGTGGCAATGCTCGTACCGCGAGCTGCAGCTCATTCCAGTTCTTCTCCAATTCACGACCACGTTCCTTGCTGCCCTCCTCCCCGTCCGAATTCTCGGAAGAGTCTGGAGGAGAAATCACGGCTCCGGTTGGGATCCGAAGGTTGTTAACGGGTGGGGGAGACTGGCGGATGCTTCCCATGGCTGCGAAGTCGGTTGATGAGACCTTGGAATCGGGTGCGTCGGTGGGCGTGGGCGGTGCATCGTCAGACTTGGTGAATGACGGAGACCGCCGGTGCTTGTGAAGATATGAGGAGGATGAGTGGGATCGTGGTGGCTGCGGTCGTGTGCTCACGGGTGAGCGAGGAATATCATCTTGATGATGTGATGAGCTCCGGCTGATGACGGGGCTGGTGTTCTGGGATGAGGCAGGCGAGTTGTGCGAGGGTGGGGTGTATGGCATCGCGTCGACTCGTCGATTGGCAGCGTGGAGATTGGATGGGTGCCGGAGGAGAGGTGATGGTGTTTGGTAGGGCGTCTCAGAGCGTGAGTCGCGTTAAAGGGCTCTTCCCCGTACGCATTAACAAGACTGCCACGTGCGAGTTCATATGTCAGTGGGGTTTCTCTCTCTTTGTGGAGGGGGATGTTGTCTTGGACAATCGCACAGCCGCAGTTGCAGGTGCGAATGGAGCGGTGCAGCGACGGCCGATGAGACGTCGATTGGTGGATCGACTTACAGAATGATGGAAGAGGCAGCGCGTGAAGGCTGCGGGAGACAATGGTAGTGTGTAGGTTGGAGGACTCGACGACAGACGAGACGCGACAGGACAGGACAGGTGCTCAGCTAATGAAAGCCGGCAAGCCGTGTGCACGCGGACGTCGACTCTCGAGGCGCGTGGAAGGTGCGAGATTGGAGTATTAACGGCAGCAGTCGCAATGGACGGGACAGACGGCAGACGACTCTCTCTCTCTCTCTCTCTCTCTCCACACCGTCGCTGCTGCTGCTGGCTGCTCGAAAGCGTGTGGGTTGGCCAAGTCGACGTTGGGGAAGGTCTGCAGTGGTGGTGCTCGGAGGATGCAAAAGCCCGGCTCGTCCCAGTCAGCGGTCGGTGCGTCCACAACAACCTGTGAACGGCCGCAGACAAAGACAGGACAGTTTGTGCGCGGAGACGGGATGCGGCGAACAAAAGGAACAAGTGCGTATATCAAGAGCAGAGGCAGTATAAGCGGAGCGGCAGGCGGACGGAGGGCTAGAATTCAACCGCGTGCTGTGCCGTTGAGGGACAAGCGAGGCAGTTGAGTTGAAGCACCGTGAGAGAAGCACCAGCAGCAGGCCCGGTCGTTCCTGCTCTGCCCACCTCATCCTCTCATCATCCATCACACTACTACACGAGAGAGGTACCGCTACCTTCGTACCTCGACTCCTGCGCCTGCACTGCAGTGTGCTGCTGGGAGACTCGGATAGGCAGACCCCAGTGTGCCAGCATCTCCACTCTCCACATACGCGGCATAATGGAACGCGCGGGCAGTAAGAGAAGGATGCACGATGCACCGTTGGGGACGAGCTACCCGCGACAACAACCTAAACTTGGTGCGCCAGGCCTCTCCGCCAACTTCCCGCCATGGCACGGCGGATGCGCCGGCACCGCTGCATCACCCGACAGAGCACCTGTGGAGCAGTACCACAGTCCGGTACACAAGCGGTACCTCTGGTGCAACATGCTTGCCACAGCATGATTGCCACAACACGCTCCAGCCACACCTGTTGAAACATCCTCACCATGACGACCACCACACACGGCAAGCACGGTCGTGCTGCACCTTCCCCAATACTGTTCTGCTGGGGTCTGCGGGGGCCACCGTCGCCGAGCTTACAAGGTCCATGTGGCGCTGACGGAATCTTGCTCTCCCGCCATGCCTCTTCTCGACAAGCGCGGGGCACGGATGCTTTCCCCCAGATAAGCTTTCTCGAAAAAAAGTGCTACCTGTGCTACCCTACATGTACCCTACACAGCCAGATCTGTGAGGATACGACAGGATATCGCGTTGAGAGCAGCGGACACCACCGGACAACATTCGATGTTCTACACGCTGACCGCCAGCACGCCCTCCTCATTACTGGACCATAGCATCGCTCAGTTCTTGCGGCGTCCACACTTGCCTGACCGCCATCGCCATCGCCCGCGGCCGCCATTATTACCTTGTGCAGCAGACACTTTGGCAAGCCGCCGCATCCGCTCGCTCCGTCCTTATCTTTCTTCACTACTGCGGAATCTTGTCCACAAGGCTGCGCTATCATTCCACTTCAATAGCCTACACCTGCAGCTCGCATTCCGTGAGGCTTCCGTCGGACGTGAGACGCATACTGTCCCTCTGGGGAGATCGGCTTTTGATGAACAGCTCTGCATGCGCGCGCGCATTCCTCCACCCTTTCTGACACTGTCGTCGATCACAGTTCGTGCACATTTTTGATGGCACTTGTCTGCGGAAGCACAGAAGCAGACTTCACTCGCCGTTGCAGGCATCTCGTCTGGATTCGGCCGCAGTCGTCGGGACATGGGTCGGAACCCGTACCGATTGCTTGGTTCCCTCTCGAAGCGGCAGCTGCAAACGAGGTCGAGTGCTGACTACATCACAACTACGTACGTGCACTATTACTCTCAGTGCTCATCTCCCACATCATACAACAGTGATCATGAGACTTATCCACAAGAAACATCATTTGCTGAGAAAGCATCTCCAAAGCTCCCGGGCCCTTCGCTCGCACCAACGACATCCACAACGTTCCCCGCATTTTATCGGCGGTAGCTACAGCCACGATCAGCGGCAAGCTTCAGCAACGTGGCTGCCCCCGCCAGTCCCGAAGAGACTTCATGGCTACCCACCAACCTGCGGCGGTGTCGAAGTGAACCAGAGTCAACTGATCATCTTCGCCGCAGCCAGTCACAGCAGCTGTCAACATATATGCAAGGATCCTACGCAAGCCGCCATCTCACCGCTCAATCTGGTGGAAAACTCTAAGCGTTTCTAAACGGTCAAACACGAACGCCCGGGGACTCTGTGTCTCCTTGTGGCTTGTGTTGATCTGTGTGCTTGCTGATACGTCGTACAGCTTGCCTATGGACTGCCTGTTGTAGTTACATCCATGAGGACAGGAGACCCCTGACTAACAGTACGCCGCCGGCGAGTCGACCGTACTTTCGTAGGTCACCAACGCCTATACCGCAAGCTAAACTCCTGTCGCGCGTCAAGGCAGTTCACGAAATTGGAGCTGCGACACCGCTCTGTCCATGCGAGATGCAGTTTCAGCCAAAGGAACCTACCCGCGTCGGCGAACCACTCTTCGAACGCACCATGGCCGAATCTACCAGACGAAGTCCCGTGGACGATCTGCAACTATCCCTTTGGCACCTCCACGAACCGCAGACGAGGACTCCAAGATGCACGATCAAAGGCACATCAAACTCTACTGGGCCATGACTAGGTCAACCACCAGCATGGTCAACGAAATTTGGAGTGTCGTTGGTGCACCGCCACAGCCGCCTCACCAACTTACCTTATCAATGACCCAGTCGTACTGGACATGTACCTTCGATGTACTCAACAACCGCCCTCTGTTTCGAAGCGTTGACCCCCATCACACAGCATTGACCCGCAATTCCAACATTAGAGCACCGTGGGGTGCATGCCCCAGTCTCGAATCTACCTTGCTGATACTGCCACTAATCAGACGAGCCAGCACATTCCCCGCACGCCAATACTATCAGCGGGTCTGGAGTCTTCAGTACGGCCGTCAACACCCACTGCCACTCCAAGACTTCGCCTCGTACGCCGCCAAACCATCGCGATACCTCCATGGTCAATCCCTAACCAGAGGAGGAATCTGGACGACGATGGCCACGGCGTTATAGTAGAAGAACGCTCGTGTGCAACTGATCAGGATTTTTCAGAATGTCGGACTGGTCCTGACTCTCCATACGATGTCGACACGGCCGATATCTCCATCTGAGCAATGGCGGCCTGTTGTTCCACGGCATCCTGCACTCCGCAATTGTGATCATCGTGGCGAGAATGGGCGGCTCCTACCGACATGGTGTACATACCGGTGTTCCCTCCTGAAATGACAGTAGGGACGAACAAGCGCCTGCTTGCTCAAAACTCATTGGCTATCAGCTTATCAATCCGACGTTTTGCACGTCTCACGTCGCCTCACGTACATCTACCTTTCGTACATTTGCCATCTGAGGAGGTGTGCCCTGCTGCTACCTTGCACTGCAGTACTCATCACGGATGGCCGCCGGACCCCCTCGCTATCGTGTTGCTCGGGCCGAGAAGGGAATATCCTCGTGCTCGGCTAAGGTAATGCAGCGCGCCTTCAAGGTTGGATGGATCTTTGCGCGCGCCAAAGAGCTTACGTCTAGGGGTCCTTGTCCCTGCTTCTGAGCAGTGCTCACGACCAAGAGTAACAGGCGCGATACCGTCACGCCGCTGACAAATGGTATCGACAGTCTCGTGGGCATGTGCGCGGCCTATGCAACATAGATGAATTGTAACTTCGCGGTAGGAAGAGCGGATGGTCTATTTCCTGCTGGAACCCAGACGCTGACCAACTGTGGCCATCGGTTGAGACACCAGACCGCGAGCTCCATGCAACATCGCGCAAGGATGCTAACGCCATCGGACGGTGAAGAAGCCCGGCCCCGGACCCCTCTGATGCTTAGCCGCAGTGCACTGTTGCTTCTGTACATTATTCAGGGTCCACGCTACGGCAATGTGTACAAAGATGTACACATCACTCGGCCCTTCTCCAGGAGACTGAAATTCCTGACTCCGTGGGGTGCCCTCCACTGAGGCTTGTCGCTGTGGATTCTGGAGAGATAAAGGTGCGCCAAATACCCACCCCTCTACAAATGTCGGCGTAGGAGCCGGAGGATCTGGAATTTGCAAGTCGCAATAGCGAGATTCCTTTGGCGTTCGGGAGGGACGCGATGGCTTGCTTTAGTTCTTCTGGTCCAGCGCTTCGAGAGGTTCGTTTGCGGTGTGAAGATCGGCGCTCATTCGCTAACTGGAAGAGGTCTGAGGATGCGGCGGCTGGAGAAGCAGGGTCTCGTTCGTGCTACTGGCATCACACGGACGCGGAGCCTAACTTCCATTTTGGGAGCAGGGGTCTCTTACTGTAGTTGCTAGATCCTATGTCCGGGTAGTGCTGCAGGGGCTTGTATAGGCGCTCACGAAGAACACAAAGCCCGCGTCTACTAGAGATATACCGCATGATACACTCTCCCTTTGCTTGATAGCCGGGATCGAAGAGGTACGTACCGACTGCTATGGTGCTTTGTCCGCTACACGATGACGAAGCTGTTTCTTCGCGGGCGTTTGGTTGGCAACTCCAGATGGGTTCCCGCGGGGTACAGTTCGCTGGGGTCGTTGGAGCCCTTTCATTCTCCACTTTGCAATCTATGCTCTCCGGGGATACTAAGAGATGGTGATGAGGAGGTTCGGCGCTTCTGTGCTGCAGGTTGAGAGGCTAGAACCACCGATCGGCTCAACCAGGTGAGGTCGCATCCGAGAGTCACGTTCACCGAGTATCACGTGCCAGCCCACTTTTCGACAAGAATTCCCGGCATGCGGCTCTGCGGCTTCGGCAAGTCAATCATGCTTACTCAGAGCTCGACCTCGAAAGTGAGCTGCTCCATGTCATCGTTTCGTTTCACGACATCTTGCACGCATCAACTGGCAGCATCTTCCATCGTCGGACACTCATCGGCAAGAAGATCCGTGACTCCAACACGAGCCTTTGCATCCTCGCTTCGGTGCGGTTCTGCGTAATGGCATCAAGAACCTCAATCATGCAGCTATCCAAAACCACATCGCGATTCGCCTCTGCCTCCCCATCAAGAACCAGACTCGCTTCCACCCTCCTCCCGCGCCTCCAACAAACGACGTCCCAACCTCCCCTGCGTCGCCTCACTCTCAACCACCCTCCATCCCAAACACCCACAACCACAACACGAAGATCCCATTCCTCCTCCTCCTCCGCCACCGCTCCGGGGGAAGAAAAAGAAGAAGCCGTCCACCCGCCCGACTACCTCGACGAACGCGAACGGAAAGTCTTCGATATGATCAAGGAATCCCTCCACCCGACCAAGCTGGAAGTGCAAGATATCTCCGGCGGTTGTGGTTCCATGTACGGCATCGATATCGTGAGCGAGAAATTCCGCGGGCTGAGTGTCATCAAGCAACATCGGTTGGTCAATGAGATTTTGAGGGAGGAGATCAAGGGCTGGCATGGGGTGCAGTTGAAGACGAAGGCGCCGTGATTGGCAAGGAGCTAGGTCTAGAGATGCGGGTACCGGTATCTCTGTAGTGGGAGGAAGAGGAGGAGAGGGAGGGAACCAGGCGACTTGCTACTGCCAAGAAGAGCTACCGAGTGAGCTGAGCTGAGAGAAAAGAGGAGAAAGCTCTCACGTACAGGTTCGCTGCGCTGTCAGACCACGGTGTCGAGAGCTGTCATGAAGCCTGCACTGCAATAGCAATCCCAGAATGATGGTGCCGTGCAGCTTTTGACAGCTTTGCCGCGTGTGTCAGAGTGGCCAAATCTCACCATGGTCGCGCGACTTATCACACCGCGCTTTCAAACTCCCCATGTCGCATGCTCGCGTGTCTGTACAGAGAGCTGAGCAGAACCCTGTCTGGGCGTCACGAGGACATGTCAGACCATGGGAGCACGAAGACTGGAAACCAGAGATGCCTGTCTCAATGACACATTGAGATACAGACGTAGCTGTTGGCAACAGATGCATGACTGGCAGTCATCCAGGGGATATCATTGCGAGTGTCTTCGGTATACAATTACGCGCGAGGCCGGCCAAAGTTTTCCGCGCTCAAGTCTGGTGGGTGGGAATGCATCACTCCCCTCCCTCCTCACCGCACCTCAATCTTGTGAATCTCAGTCTTTGCCTTCTCCCACTCATCGAGACTGCGTTTCGACCATTCTAGGTGCGATTTTGCGAAGCTCAGCTGTGAACAAAACGTCAGTCTCATGCCCGCCAGCCACTTCGGGGCAGTGTGAAGAAGAACACTCACCATGTACATCCTCAAATCATCCTCCTTCTGGCCTTGGAATCTGCGCAGATCCTGCAGCACGCCTTTGCTCGCGTCCTTCACGTCATGTTGGGAGACCTCGAGCGCTTGCTCCAGATGCACCAGATTCTCCTTTGTCTTGCCCAAGGCATCTCGTCGAGCGCGTTCGGGGTCTTGGTCCGTCACGCCTTGGATGGCATGCGTGAGGCCTCCAAACATCTTCTTCATCACTCCGCTGGGTCCTCTCCTATGATTGCCATTGGGTGGTGAAGAAGGCGGACTAGTATAGGGTTGCTCATGCTGAGGACCGCCCTGCTCTGCGCTGGGTGCGTGGACGTTTCGCGGGAAATCACTGTCGACAGAAGCATTGTCGCCGTCGCTGGAGCCAGGTCGATTTCGATTGCTGCCGCTGCTGACGCTCCGCTTGGGCGCGTACTGCGAGCTGTTGATGCCAGATGATGACATGTACTGTTCGATGCGCTTCGCCTCCATCTCGCTGCGCTCCAGCTGCTCCAGTCGCGTCTTGTTCTTCTCGAGTTCATCGCGTGTCATTTCTTCCTGCACGCGCTTCAAGACTCGATACTTCAGCACACTTCGCACTACACTCGCGAATTGTGCGCTTTCTCTCATGGGCTCGGCAAATCCAGCGCTCAAGGAAGACGAGAGGTCCCTCGATTGTATGTACGTGAAGTCACAGGCTTGGCCAGCCTTTTCGATGGCGTGCGCTACGCTGGCAGACTGTTCTGACAGAGAGAAAGCATTGTATCGAGCACCCAGATCCATGAGGTCATCTCCGAGACTATAAAGATGCCGTAGGAGGCGGGCGTTGACCTTTTCCATGGATCCTGTGAGTACGGTCTCCAGCTCCTTGGAACTGTTTTCGAACGAAGAGAAGTATGGGTCCAGATCACTTTCACTAAGCTGCTGGGAAAGAGGTGGGAATCGAGCGAACTGTACCGACGGTATGGTATGCGAAGCAGCAGACGCAGCAGTCGTTCCAATAGGTGGAGATGTCGGAGTACCAGAGGCCGATGAGCCTGAAGTAGAGCGTAGCTTTGCATTCTGAGATGGGACTGGAAGGTAAGAGTGAGCCTGGGATGGGTTTGCTGGATCAAGCGGTGGAGCCTTGAGGTTGTTCTTGGGGACACTGGCAGCAGGGTGGGAATGAAGCACCTCACTCCAGCTCACGTTGGGATCCAGGAAGCGCCACCACACGCCATCTTCTCGTACCTCCTTCATACGTCTGCATCTGTTCAAGAACGTCGCCAGCATTCGTTGTCGTAGCTCAATGATACCGACATCCTCTTTCGCTTTCGTTGGTTTGGCAGCATAATCCGCGATGCTGTGTTTCTCGGGGATAGGCGGAATGATCAGGGTCGGATGTAGATTGACCAGTGTTTGCCTGAGAGACGCGAACTCAGAGTAGCGTCTTCGGACCTCAATCTCTCCTGTGCGAATGGTGTATGTAATGTAACCACCTCCTCCCTCGGTATTCTTCCCAGCGTGGACGATCTGTATCTCTAGCTCCGGATGCTCATAGAGGATCTGCTCTATTCTGCTGTCGTAGCCACCTTCTTTGGGCTGTACCTTGGCGGTACCCTGAGGCCTTTCGTCGTCCAGATCTTCATCGCTCAGGTCGCTCGGTCGTGATATGAAGTGGGGAGTGTGCTCTGGAGACGAGTGGCCTGAAGGCGGGGTCGATGGTCGGTTGAAGCCTTGAATGCGTGCATCGTCAGCCTGAAGAAGACGCGGAATAGATTAGGGACATCACGAACGCTCTGTAGGCGACTGAATGTCCGACGTTTCCGAGTCGCGGCGGTGGAATGATCCGTAAGGGTTGTTGTCTTCGTCGTCCCACATCTTGAAAGGCCGCCTGCCTGTCGCAGGTACAGGAGCTTCTCAGAAGACAGTGCTTTTTGAGGAAGGATGACTAGCGAGTCGTGTGTGTCGCGAAGAGTCCTTTCGGTGCGTAGGAACAATAGATCGTTGCTGCTTTTCCTCCTGCCTGATTGATGCTGGAGCTGTGGTGTGGTTGGCCTGGAGCTGTCAGCGGTTCCTGCCGTTGGATGACGACGTCACGATGCCAAGCACAGGGTACCTAGGAGAGAGGACAAGAAAACGAGTGTAGATATCCTCTTGTGCTCTCCATCAAACTCTACCATCACATGCGTCGCCAATGCCCGCGGCGTAGCACTACAGTAGCTACAAATATTGTGTCCAACTGAGCTATAAAATGCACTCGGGACTGAAGAGAAGCTGGCGATGAAAACATGTGACACGAGCGAACAGAGCTGGCGAAACGGCACTAGTAAGAGTCTGGGCTGTCTCCACTCGGTGCAACTAATTATTGAGAAGGACAATTGTATTGATAGCTTACTTGTTCAGAAGCTCTTGAGTCTTAGCCACGGTAAAGTAAAGACGAATTCTTGAGCCAATGCAAAGCTGCGTCGATTTCACATGCTACCCTACATCACCTAACTCCTTGCCAGTTCCATTCTGGATCTGTTTGGGTGTTGCTACTCTGCAGGTCAATCCCTCTCGTGACTCTGTAGCTATCGTGGCCCAAGAATGTATGCTACTTGAAGTCGCTCCTCTGATGGCTTGGACCTGGCACTTAGTGAATCTTCCGGGCATTTTGCGTGCACCGAACGCCTTGCTCATGCACATGGTAGGGGCACCGACGGGCCGCAGAGCCTCCTGACTTGACCGCAAGACAGTCACTTCGGTGGACAATCCAGGAAACCACGGCCGTTGAGAGACAGACACGATGTCAAGGAATCTCGACCCGCCGTTTTCCTCCCTCCTCACGTAACAGACGACGAGTCGGCGCATGTGGGCTTCGCTTGACGCAGAAGTGTACACTTCCGCAAGAACGATCAGCGGTACAGGAATGATCTGGCACATCTTGGAGATGATGACGTCTCTAACGCGATTCTGCAAGGCAGGAATGATGCGCTGCTCGCCGAAGGTCCATGGTTTGAAGAGATCGAGGTAGGAGCACGTCTCCCAATCAGGAGAGTCGTCTGCGGTGAAATTGCGTCCTGGGACGTACAGCAATCGTCGGAAGAATTTAAATATGGTCAGGTTACTCGATAATGCCGCTGGCTGCCTCGGCGAATTTTCCTTCTTAGATGTTCTTGATTGCGGTTCTGAAGTAGCCAGAGTAGAACTTCAGCACGCCTCGATAGATAGATGTCGAACGTCTTGGCACGAGACTCTGGCCCAACTTTGATCAAAATGGTGCGATTGTAGTGCTCGTCACTGCAGACTTGTCCCAGGAGGCACTCGATGGGATGTGAGGAAGTATATCCACGTACATATTATGCGTGACGTCTTCGGTCCTTGGTAGCGCATTGTCGGCCTGCGACGGGGTGATGGATGCCATCTTGACCACCTTCGGAAATGGCGTGGTGTGTTATTGACGGGCTGAAGAAGAGCGGTGCCACTAGCAAGTTGAGGAAATGATTTTACGTATGCACATGAAGCCGCGAAATGTGATCCGTGCGCCATCCGGGCATCACCAGCGTTTGCAGGTCTGCAGCGACTCGAGCCAGAAGCAAAGTGAGTATAGATTCTTGAGATGTGAGCCACGTCAGAGGAAAATCCCTGCTCTCTCTATAGAAGCAAGAACAGATCTACAGTTTCGACTTCTCTGTTCTCCTTCCGCTCTTGACTCCTTCAACGGACGCCCCTGAGAGAAGATAGTCGGGGTAAGGCCGGTCCTTGCTGTCACCGACGCCTGAGATTCTCCATTGGCCTCCATCCACCACCAGAATGTTGCCATTGACAAAGTTTCCGGCGTCCGAGAACAAGTACACCGTTGCATCTGCAATCTCCCTCACTTCGCCCAATCTTCCAACTGGTACGAAACGTCCCAGTTGTACGTCTTTGGAGGAAAGTCGCTCCATGCCTTCAGTGCCAGCGATAGGGCCGGGAGTTATCACATTACTCGTGATTCCATATGGACCGTACTCGATCGCAAGGCTATTGGAGATTTGATCGACCGCAGCCTTCGCAGCCATTGCATGGGCTTGCAATGGGAAGCCTTTGAAGTGGAACGATGCCGAAATGAAGATGATTCTCCCTCCAGGCCCGTTCTTGTTCGGCTTGCTCAAGTTCGGATACTTCTTAGCACTTTCTACCAAATATGGCAGAACTGCCTTGGCGGTATGGTACGACCCCAGCGTATCGATCTCAATCACCGTACGGAAAGCATTTGGACTCAACTGACTGACCGGTGCCAGGAAGTTCCCTGCTGCGCCTGCTATCGCAAAATCTATCCCACCTAGCTCTTTTGCGCATTTATCCGCTGCTTCCCGTAGCGCTACGGCGTTTCGAACGTCTACGTTTCCTTGTCCGATGACTTTTGAGCCGGGCCGGGCTGTCATGAGGTCTTTCGCCATGTTTTCCGTCTTCGAGGGGTTGCGACCGATGATGTAGGCATTTCCGCCGAGGGCTACGAAGGCGCGGACTTGGATGGAACAGATCGTGCCTGCTCCGCCGGTGCAGAAGAGGACTTTGTTTGTGAAGATGCCCTCGCGCCAGACGTTGCTGAGGAAATCTTCTCGTGGGACAGGCATCGCTGCGGCTAGTTGGAATTATCTGGAGTCGACAGAGCGTTGCTGTGAAAGGTGTGAGAGTACAGTAGAGGACTCGGGAGTTTGAGCGTCAGACAGGAATAGCACCCGGGGACGTTCTTGTAGCCCAGTCTTACGGCCGTATGTGATACTCAAAGGTTGTATAGCCGCTAAAGGTTGTATAGCCGCTAGTATCCGTCGTACTAAGATTTCTTCGCAAACTCGGGTAACCTGTCGGCACGTGGTCGTTTGATCACAAAACAAGCTTGCAGTGTCGCTGTAATAGCCGAGAAGTGACAGAGCTCCCACGAGTCGGCAGATGGGCCGACTAGCTCCACACTCCTGCCCCGGTTTGCGGGGCGGCCAAACCTCGGCGTAAGTGAATGCCCCATCACCCGGCGTGCGCCGGTCACAGCGCAACAGCTTCACCATAAGCAAACATACCAGCACCAAATCATCTTGAACGCGATATATCCGACCAAGCCCATCCCAAACACGATTGGCTGGCCAATACCGACAAGATGCCTTCAGGAATCGCATTGTGCAAGTTCGTTGGGACGATCGGACTCGGGCTCTTAACAGTACGCATCCACGTCACGACCGTTCTCAAATCGCTCCATCCCCACTAATGATATCTCCAGGGCGTCTCATATACTCTATCGACCCAGTCTCTGCCATCGCTCCTCACTCTCCCTTCCGCCAAGCCCGCCGCGTACACACTATCGCAGAGTACCCGACTGAGCACCCTCCACATCCGAGCACTCTCAACTCTCTCCGCCACTTCCCTATTCCTCGCCTTCTACCTCTCACCGCCCCGTATCAGACATCCCTACCTCCTCTGGACCGGTCTTGTTGCTGGCGCAAGCGGTGGTCTGAATTTGTTGATGGAGAAGAGAGCGAAGACTGGTGTGGCGATTGATGAGATCGGTGAGGTCAATGGGGAGGAAGTTGAGAAGAGAGCGAGAGATCAGCAGTTCTTAGAGTTTGTCAGGACTGGTGTCGCAGGTTTTGGATTTGCGATGGGGGTTGTGGGCATTTGGGGCGATGGTGCGTAGAAGAGGCGATGATGCAAGGGCGTTGTTTGCGGACACGAAGATGAATAATGGGTTATGGCACGAATACATTGTGGAGCGACAGCGGTGCGTGCATCGTATCATACAGAAGCAGATTTCTCAGCTCAAGTTTTGAACTAAATGAAACAGCTCAGCTCAGTTCAACGACGTTCCGAGTTTAGATATCAAGAACGCATTGAAGCAAGTGCCGATCAGACTTTGTCGCTCTGTTGCAAAGCCAACCCTCTCGATATTATACTCATTGCTTCGGTCCCGCAATGCACCCTCTTGTGTTACCATATCGACCAGCTTTCTCTCCACGTCAGACGAACGATCCCGATGTTAAGGTCCGGCAAGACTCAGTTCGCCAACGGGCAACAGCATGACCGCGAAGTAGAGTTGCAGCCTTGATTAGCGAATGCGGTCCAGCAGCTCCTGCAGCGCCTTCTCCGCGACGAAGGAGGATGGAGGAGGCACAGACGTAGGCGCGGGTGGTGGTGGAGCAGCCTTTATGGTCAGCTGGACAATCTCCGCACGCCTGTGAATGAATGCCAGGATGACGAGGACGCTGACAAGGGAAGGGACCACCGTTACGGCATTCAAGAGCGACGCAGCAAAGAAGATCGAAGACCTCGTCGCAGCAAACCTCATTGTGCACGCAGTCCTGCATGAGATCCCTCACTGAGTTGCGGAGCTTCGAAACAGACCGGACTCCCCGGATTTTTGTGCCTGCTCTTGCTCGTCGCCTCGTTCGTGGACAAGCATCTTGACGAGAATCATCATTGCCAAGGGGGAAGCCACCATCTTGCTGTGGTCTGTGGTACTGGTCAGGAGAATCTTCAGCCGCACGGTCAAGAATGAAATTGCCGGTAGAGACAAGAGCAGGAGTACCCGCTCTGCGTGATTGACGACTTCCATGCCCTCTTCGCGAATCTAAAAGGCCATTTCTAGGACCTTGGTCTTCAGAGACCGAGCAGTCGACATGAATCACTGAGACTGAACCAGCGCTGAAGCCTCAAAACAGAGTCCGATGCTGTCCAGAAAAAAGGCACCAATAGACGCAGTGATCGAAAGGGACATGGCGATGTTATTTGGGTCTGGTCCATCTGCGTCGAGAATGAGGATTCATGTGATCATGTGAGCAGCCCGCTTGTGATTTTCCAAATCGTTGCGCGTGAGTTGAATTCAGTTCGAAAACACGAGTGAAACGTAGGACAGCCGTCTCCGCAGACGACCCCTCCGTCGAGCGGCTGTGTAGACTCTTTCTGAGGGTCGATAAAGGAGGAGACGAAGTCGAAGGTGCCGATAGTAGCAAGCTCGCCGTGCGTCTTCGCAGCGAGCAACGAATCACTGTCGGTGAGCTCGATGGGCGGCATTACAATCATGGATATCACCAGCCCAGTCCAGAAGCCGAGTCCAAGTTGGAAGGCCTGGGTCAAGACCCAGATTTGAAGCAGAAGAGGGAGGGCCAGGATCAGGATACGCATCGGTTTGTGCTCAGAGAGAATTGTTGGAAAATCTTCCCCGTCGACACTCGAGCGAGGCATCTGGTAATCGTGTTAGGAAACGCAGTATGGTATGCTCGTGGAAGCTGATAGCTTACCTCATAGCCGTCATCTTCGCCGATTGGGGGCTCGGTGTCCCTGATGGATGCGACGCTCTGCTCAACCTCGCCTCCATCACCGGTCGATTCCTCGAAATTATTAGTCTGTTGCTGCTCTCCTCGCTCTATCCAGACTCATAGACCGGGGTTGGCGTCGTCATGCCAACCGTGGAGTAGCGATGCTAATCAACAATTAGCGTTCGTCAGCTTGGTATGCCACCGGTCATCTTACGTTGGTGCTGTCAAGGTTTCTGCCTGTCTTGAATTCGCTGAAGCTGTGGCTCAAATCATCAGCGAGACTGATGTTGCCCGGTATGGGAATGCAACGAGTCATGCTGAGGGCGGATGGGCTGTGCGGGTATTGACGGATGATGATGTGCGCCGTCAGAAGATGAATTGATGTGCGTGCTGGATTGTGTGAAGATCCAGGATGTGTGCGAGGAGTTCGTGAAGAGCAATGAACAGAGGATTGGCCAAGTAGGAAGTTGTGGCTGTCCGTGCATTAGAGTTCGTGCACGAGCCAGTGCACGGGCGGCTGTAGGTGAATGTATCTCCACTAAACGACATGTGACCCATGTTAGTTGCCATTGACGCGTTTCGTCTTCACGGCTTCCCCGAATAGAGGCTCAAGTTAGCCTCACCATTCACACATCCTTCTATCTTGACGGTTGTCATATTGCTAGGCTGTCATCGGACTAGAGGCGGCTTTGGGCTGAAAAGTCAAACAAGGTAGAAGATGCTGGCATTGGATCCTGTTGTAGCTTGTCGTGTTTGCCAGATCATGGGCTTATTAGTGAGATGGTAAGAAGTGTGTCAGGCGCGGAAGGGCGAAGGCAGCTGTACCTTACCGTATCCACGAGAGTCGGGACCCTTAGCCGCCTTCACCAACCAGGCTCATCAAATCACATCTGCTCACACATGGACATTGCCGATCTGCAGCGCGGTAAGTGTGTGCAGACGGAGGCGATTTGAAACTTAGTTCGTTAGCGAAGCCAGAATTGCATAGACACGATATACGTCCACTGCCACATATACCATTGCAGTGGCTTCAAGCCTTTTGCGTCCCGAAGCCTCCCAACCGTGAAGCCGAGCATACTATACGCGAGTGGCGCCGGTGGCAACAACATTCATAACGCCACTTAATCTGCAGGTCTGCAGACTGTTGCGATATCACAGTGATTGAGCCGTCTTTATCCTAGCAAACTGCCGCATGGTGGGGTGCCATTTGGCTTTTCTGAAGGCCAAGAATAGTGGCCGAAGTCATTGCAGATCAGACATGTAAGGGGCCATTGTTTTCTGAGCCTAGTCAAGATTCTTTAAGAAGTCCATTGATTACGGATAGGGTCGAAATATAGTGGTCGCTGGCTCAATGTCGAAGAGGCTGCGGGGGCCATCGTCAATATCAAGTCACTTTCCGGACCATCTCGTTTCCTAACTTACTGGAAGTGTTCAGGCCAATAGTTGTGACCCGGCCAGACATGCTGCTACTGTCCCTAAAATCGCCGTCTTGTTCCTCGTCCGAGTTTGGATGACCACGATCTCTATCGGACGCTCTGTCCCTCTGGCGCCCATCCCGGTACCGAAAGACGTGCCAAAGCGTCCACCGGATGATCCAATTGGGCTCTATTGGATGGTTTGGGTTGTAGGCAAGGTCATACATTATTCGTGTCGCGGGCTGGGCTCGCCGATTGATCCGAAAGATCTCTGCGTTGAAGATGGCCTCTCGGATCTGCGAAGTGCTGTAGCTCCCTGAGTTCAGATGCAGTGATCGTTGATTGGCAGTCGCTAAGAGCTCGATTATCCTTTCCCGGCCTTCACTCGCTTCCTCCTGGGATCCACGTTAGACTAACAAGACTCGTGGTACCGGAATCCACTCACTTTCATCAAATTGTAAACCTGACGGTGTCGAGGATCCGCCATGTCGAGCCCCAGGCGTTCCATGAATCTGTATTTCGATTCACTTCTGGGAAGAGGCGGCAGAGGTATCTCCATTGGCCCGAGCCCTGAACAGCAGCACCAGACTGTCTTTGACAAAGCGCCGGGCTGAAGAAGCTTTTCGCTGCACTCATTCGTCACGAAACAGATGGAAACGAGTAGTATCTACTCTGGACCTGTTGACGTGCTTGTCAATCGTTATTCGTGTCGAAATCGGCGGCCTTTCCCCTCAACCGTGGCGGCCTTGCTCACCCAAAATGGGCTGCGGAACATGACATACTCGGGTCGTTCTGTTCGGCACATGCAAGGTGAGAGAAGCACCCACGAGTGAAGGCTTAAGTATAATTAGCGTCTACACATGTTCGTCATGGAAGCCGAGCAGAGGATCGAGTCGGAGCTCATCCAGCATTTGACTCCTTCTGTCTGGTCGACGGCACCCTCGTGCTGCAGGTGGCGCCTGCCAGCGCACGCGAAGTAGGATTAGTACAGAAACGAGCGACTCGGACTGATTTTGACCGGCGATTTTGTCTAGATGATCCCGGAGTGCGTACATGTTACATTGCTGATAGCCCAATCGCAAAGAGACATACCCAGACAGGGCACTGTGGGCCGTTGAAGCACGAGCGCGAAGCAGTGATGCAAGGGTGATCCCTGATCCATCGAGCCCGCGAAATGCGGTTCCTATGCTACTCGTCGAGCCGTCGAGCTCGAAGAGAATCACTGAGTGCCCGTCGGCGTTTGAGTCTCAGCATGCTATCGAATATTGATTATCAGATCTGCTCATGTTCCTGATCAATAAGCGTGCAGGTACACGCAGTGTCGCCAATTTCGCCAGACCGATGAACTTGTTAGTACACTTAGCTACGCAATTTGGACAGAGGTGACATTCGGAGTAGAGTCCGTAGTGTCTGCATATACCCATCACACTTTGTGGCCGTGTGTAGTGTGGCAAATGACCTCGCGGCTGTCGATCACATGCAACAAGCTGCGGGCTGATTTGATCCGCGGCCCGTCTGGGCCCCACGTCTGTAATCGGGGGAATTAACCATTTGAGGTAGTTATGCTGGCCACAGGGCATGTAAGAGGCTGCAGTAGGTAAATTCTCCATAGATGATGCTCTCAGGCATGTCAGGGCGTTCTGCCCACCTGAACTTATAGAGCTCATTCAGACGCCACCCCAGAATTTGGCGATCGACATGGCGTCTTGTAGCCACCAAGGATTACTCTGAGGGTCGAAATTGGCTTCTAGTATGCTGTCAGGTCCGTCCAGACTCGTCGGCGTTTAGGAGAACCTTCCACGCCATCTCTGATATGAATGCGGCTGACCAAGATACATAGCATAAGGGACGAAGGTGTTCGTAACTCCGGATGTAATGTTTCCTAGCTAGGCCGCGAGGCGTCGAGACTCGGCTCTGGCTTCGCGAGGCACGACACGCCTTGCTCAAGGATAACGACACGGCGTGTGGCACCAAAGGAAGCATGACCAATCTCTCCGCAGGGAAGTCTTCCATGATCGAGAAAATTTGCAAAGCCGACGAAATCTGCCAGGTCCTGGTTCTTTGCACATTCAATAGATCGGCCGGGTGCATTACTACAGATCGACCTTGCATAGCAGCCTGCAACCGATCAATCGGCCAAACGTAGCAGAATAGATCCGCAACCGCCTTGTCTCCGCTCTCGTCGCTGTTGATGTATTCCAAGGGTCATCGCTTGATCTACGGCGCCTACAAAGAATTGAGGTGTCAATTCAATGCAATGCTCTCCGGACCGTACACCGCAAGCGACATAGCCTTCAGAGCTTGGATGACAATCAGACTGTCGGACACAAGCCAGTTCGATACTCAGCCTAAGAGCCGCAACAATCTCCCGGGCAACCTCAGTAGGTGACAGAGCGATCCCACTACCCGGAAGGCGTAGTTGCGATTTGACGGTTGAATCTGTAGACGCGAGCAGACATACACTCTGCTGCTGGATAATGCGTATGTTCAGCCGGTCGGACACAATACCCAGTTCGATACTCAGCCTGAAAACTTAGCCTAAGAGCCGCAACAATCTTCCGGGCAACCTCAGCAGGTGACAGCGATTTCACTATCCGGAGGGCGTAGTCGCGATTTGACGGTTGAATTTGTAGACGCGAGCAGGCATACACTCTGCTGCTGGATAATACGTATTTTCAGCGCTGTCTGCCGCAGCAGAGAGAAAATGCATCGAGGATCTGCACGGCAGGTTTGGTTGTGTGTTCGCAAGATAGAATGCATCCAGTACACGGCACTCCTCCGGCGGCGGACGGACTCCTCGTGACTGCTGCTGCAGTGCGTGTCGAAAGTTTCCTGTTTTGACTCTGGTAGTGTGGGAGATCTGCTGAGTAGACCAAATAAATCCCTCCGTTCATCAACGGAAGCCGTGGGCCAGATCCCATCTTTATTCTTCGGAGGTTCTGGGTGACTGGTCGCTGAGAGGAGAGCAAATTCCGGATTGCTTCCGCCAATGAAACACGCATCATGGATGTGATGTGGATGGCGTCCCCAGTTAAATCCACTGTGAATCGTTCAGTGGTTTTGGAAGCAAGCCCTTGGCGACAATCCATATCAATTTTATGGTGGCCTATCAATGATCTGTGGATCTCCCTGCCTCTATCCCTCATCGTTGCCGCCATCCTCCCCTTCGCTCTCGTATTTCACCACGCCCTTCCTGCCAATCCCCAGAGTCGCCTCCAGACCCTTCGATGTGACGTACAAAAAGTATGCCTCCTTGAAATTATCAACGTGGTTGTAGAATCGCCCAAACTCGTTTCTTTCTTCCTCTTCGCGGAAGATGCGCTGGTAGATTTCTCTCTCTTTGAACGCCTCGAGCTCTTTCTCGTACTTGCCGAAGTCAAGCGAATCTCGACCGTGCTTGACGGCTTGGAAATTGTTGTAGCTGTCAAACACAGGCCTTTCCAGCAGGAGACCAAGGCCGGGGACCTTGGGGATCGAAAAGCGGGCCTCGGTGAACGAATGTTCCATCGTCTCCAATGTGGCGCCACTGCGGACCAGCAATGTGACCATACCAATCATCTTACGAATCTGGTGCATCATAAAGCTTTGTCCGTGGACCTTCATGCTTAGCCATTCCGTCTTTTGCTCGTCGGGTCCGTCACCAATCAGGATCGGTGTTCGATTGACAACAAATGACTTGATGTGCCGCTTTGCGCTTGCGTCGTGAAAGGTTTTCTGAATAGTGTAGTTGTGGTAGTTTTTGGTGCCAACGTATTTGCTGAGCGCTTCCTGGATGCGATCCACGCGGGACCGGGGAATGCGATAACGACGTCTGGCGGAGATGTAGGCATTCCGTAAGAGCTTGGTCGCCGCACGAAGTCGATGTACACGCTCCGTCGCCGGATCGAGAGGCTGATCACTCTCTTCGACACGCGGTAAGGAAACAGCGGAATCGATCATCGCACCGCTCGCAGGCTCGGTCCTGGCATCCTCCGCATTGTCCATCTTTCCGGAAGTCTGGGCTTGCCCGGATTCAGTGGTCCGACCTTCGTTTATTATGATGGCAGCCTCCTCAGTCTTCTCGTCTTCAGCTTCCTTTTGTGTTCGATGACTGCCAACCTTCGCCGGCTGCTCAACCTCAGCATCTTCTTTGGTAGCGTTTGCCTCTTCTTCACCTTGGAGCGCTTTGACGACATCCCATCGGATGTCCTCATCAATGGCTTCGAGGATAGGCTTGATGTCTTCTTCGTCCACCTTCTCCCAGAATCCGTGGACCTCCTGCTGCCTGCTCTCGTAGCCCTCCCGATCACCGCACTCGTCCGCTGCAGCCTCGAGCTGCTTCGCGAGCCAACTGCTTGGATGCGGAGGTAGAAAGGCGTGCGAGGGAATGAGATATTCGTACCACCGGCTGTCGCACGCCTGGTAGCAGGAGAAGCTTCCGATCGTCCGCTCGATACCCCATACCCTGATCTGAGGACTCAACTCCGCGTTGATCTTTTCCACAATGTCCTTATCCTCCACTATTAATTTCAAACTGATCATATTACCGGCCGCGTGGACTCCCTTATCTGTCCGCGCGCAGCGCACAAGACTGACCTTTTTCGGGTCTTCTGCGTTCGCTTTGCTGATGGCTCCAGCTCGAATGAAAGCATGGAATATGTGCCCCTCGATCGTCTTTTCCGAGCCAGATATTTGCATGCCCTTATAGCCAGTGCCAGAGTACCCGATGAGTACGGCAACCTTCCTTTTCGGTTGTCGCTCCTCAGCGTCAATCTCCTCTTTCGAGAAAGTTATTCCCTGACCGGAAGTGCCCTCCCGTTGCCGCCGTTCAGAAGCTTCGCCGACGCGTTTTCGTTTATCTGGATTTGATGCGCTTTCGTCAGAGTCAGTCACAACCCTTCACAATTTACATGTACTGGGAGTTGTAACCTACAAATATTCTGACCTTCCCATATCGCCCTTCTTATGCCGCTTATTGTTGCCACGTCCACCTCGTGCTCCATGTTGCATACCTCTGTCCGAAAAGCCCTTTCTTTTGTGACGATTGTGGTTGTTATCTGTCTTCTCATCACTACCGGCTGGTGTCTCACTGCCCGTCTTCCTAGGCTCTGCTGCTTCCGTTTTTGATGCAGCTGCCTCGATAGCTTTGTTCGCATCGTCCAGGATTGCTGTGGAGTGCTCCATATTGTCGAGCACATGCGCATTGAAAGTAGTGTTGTCGGGTGTGGAGAGTGAGTGTGGACGGGAGGTGGAATTTTAGGTATCATCAGTCAAGCCCGCAATTCGACAGGAGCTCTGACCACCGCACTGGTCCGTGCGCGTGGAAGACGACTTTGCGCTTCAATTCTCATCCATCGCGATTGTCGCTGGTTCAGCAAATACTAAGAACAATCTTTCGCATTGAAATTCAATCTAATTAGTCGTTCGAGGCCGGCTCTGATCTCCTGCAGTCGCTGAGCCCGCTCACGATTGGAGCACAAGCCTCCTCAAGCCCACACGTACCCTCCGTGTGTGTCAGTCCAATCACCGCAAAGGAGTCGAGCAAAGAACATACTGTCACAGATCGCAAGTGTTGCTAGTGACAGACGGGAAGAGATATGACAAGAACACTCCGAGATCACTGGCGCCGTAGGAACGTGGTGGTCTACGTGCGGTGGTGATAACTCCTGCCATCAACGTTCAACGCTGCCATGCGGGCTGCGGCCATGATTCCAGCTGCGTCTCAATAAAGCGTCAAGAAACAGGACGGTCGACATACCGGCTGTGGATATCGACGCGAAGAGCGTGACGCCAAATCGCCTCGACACCAGCAGGATGGCTGACGCCCTTGTGTTGCGGAACGCGTCGCTTCTCCATCGTTTGCCAGAGCAAGTCCCCAGCGACCATTCGTCCTATCTCACGCGTTCACCTACACATGAAACTTAAAGCCCGCGACAAACGGCGTCTGCGTTACAGGATTTGTTCAAGAGCCGAGAAGCTTAGCTCTGCAGGGAAAAGCGCCGCTGGCATCACCATCCTTACGACAACAATGACGCCTCTTGATTGGGCAGAATTGGGCGGATCGAAACATCGTGTAGAAACAATTGCTTGCCATCCAACAGTAACATTTAGACTTCACCCCTTCATTGACTAGTGACAATAGGAACGCGAGAAGGAACCGGTGAATGTGGCCAGCGCTTCTTCTTATTGAGCGGCATCACTATTGTTCCTCCGACAAATACTTCAAGAGCGGCACAATCCCTTTACACGACCGTGGCAAACCGAACCCCTACATTCATCCAAGTGCAGGAAGCCGCGAGAGCGTGGGTGGCAATTGCGATTTTCTTCTCCTGCGGTTTTCTTCTTTTCTTCTTCCAACGACACCAAATACCTCTCACATCAGTACCAATCCATTTCTTCGCCCGGCAGAGAACACAAGCATGAAATCACTCCTGGGAATTGCCGCAATCGCGGCCGCCGTTCTACAGCTCACAGCTGCCATTAATCTCGACGTCAACAACACCGATTCCGTCAAAGCCGCAGCACGTACAATAGCATACGGCCTCCAGTCCTTTTATCGCAACAACGAGACCAGCACGGCCGTCACCGCAGTAGGCACCTTTCCCGAACCACTTTATTGGTGGGAGGCAGGTGCTGTTTGGGGAGGCATGGTGGATTACTGGGCCTATACAAATGACACGTCCTACAACGCCGTCACGTCTCAAGCGATGATGGCACAAGTGGGACCAGACATGAACTACATGCCGCCAGCCTACTTCTCCTCGCTTGGAAATGACGATCAAGCATTCTGGTGTCTTGCAGTATTGTCTGCTCAGGAGTACGGCTTCCCTGTACCGCAAGGACAGAAGTCAACAGTTTGGCTCGATCTCGCAGAGGCCGTGTGGAACACGCAGGTCCCGCGATGGGACACGACCTCGTGTGGGGGTGGCTTGAAGTGGCAGATCTTCGAAGCGAACAAGGGCTATTCATACAAGAACAGCATTTCGAATGGCGGCCTTTTTCAGATCTCAGCACGTCTCGCCCGATACACGGGCAACCAGACTTACGTCGAGTGGGCTGAGAAGACGTGGGACTGGATGAGCGCCATTGGACTCATCAGCCCGAATTATGAGGTCTACGATGGCTCAGACTCGACGATCAATTGCACTCAACTCGACCACACGACTTGGACATACAACCCAGCTATGCTAATCTACGGCACGGCCATGCTCGCGAACTATACGAACCAACAAGTCTGGAAAGACCGGACTGAAGGACTACTGACATCGATAGAGAAGTCGTTTTTCTCTCCATACCAGAATGCCACGAGCATGTAAGTATCTAGAATTCGCAACTGTGGGCGCCACGTCTATCGAAACCAGATGTTTGCAACATACTTGAGGCTGACACCTTGGCAGTATGTACGAGGCCGCATGTGAACCGTACAATACGTGCGACAACGATCAGTACTCCTTCAAAGCCTATCTCGCGCGTTGGATGGCAAAAGCAGCGGTCGTTTACCCGTCCATCACGGACAACGTCCGCAAGTACCTCTCCGCCTCTGCCCAAGCAGCAGCCGGTGCTTGCACAGGCGGCGACAACAAGCAAGCGTGCGGCCAGAAATGGTACGTTGGCGGATACGACGGAGTTACTGGTGTCGGCCAAGAGCTTTCGGCCATGGAGACCATCCAGTCCCTGCTTTTACTGAATGGCAACCCGCCTGTACCTCAACATGAGGCCAACGTTACCGTCCGGAACGTTCCTGTCACGAGTGAGTTCCCACTGGTTCCAATGGTCACGCGCGGGCCGAATTCTGCTTCTCCGCCCGGATCTGTTTCAGGCGGTGTTCCTTCATCCTCTCCTTCGGCCGGTGCTAACTCCAGGAGTAGAGCCTTGTTCTTGGCGTGCAGCCCGTGGACGATTGTGATAGTTGGGGTTTTGGGGATATTATTGTGGCATTGAGAGAGGACAGAGAGCGCAGGCGCTGGCAAACGACAGAACAGCGAAGTGATACCCGATTCATAGTGCGTATTATGAACAAGTTGAAGTACTCAGAGGAAGTCAATGGTATGAGCTGTGAGATCCTTGGCCTGCATGCCAAGGAATTACACCACACTTGCTAAAGTGGTGTTATGCCTAAGTATGAAAAACTCTGGTCTTGGCAGCCAAGCAGAGGGGATATAAAAACACCTCAAAACCTTATATAGATAGCCGGAACATGAACCTTCTTTGTTAGTCAAAGCTCTCACACGAGCGAGCTGCTCCAGCTGCACCTGGTCTTCCTCTGCATTGAACCCCTTCTCCACCGCACAATCGATATCGATGATGGCAACGACCTGGAGCCATTCTTAGATACAAGCTGACATCCAACCCCCACACAGCTCCCACATACCTTATCGTCCTTGATGATTGGCACTACGATCTCGCTCTTCGACTCTCCATCACACGCAATATGGCCCGGAAACTGCTCCACATCAGGCACCAGCTGCGTCTTCTGGCTCTGAGCCGCGGCGCCGCATACCCCTCGACCAAATCTGATCGTTTGACAGGCCACCTAGCGCGACAGTGAGCGAGCACGCCCCAGCCAGACAAGTCCTAGCACGGAATTTTCACCTTTCCCTGGAATGGACCGAGGATGAGCTGCTGCGGTGCCGTAGGGTCGGCGACGTAGAATCCGGCCCAGTTCACTTGGTTACTGGGCGAAGGCAAGGCATGGAAAGCGTGCCACAGCAACGAGGCCACATTCGCCGTGTTACTGATCGAATCTTCAGAAATATTCAAGCCAAATCAAGCTTACCGCCGACCTACCAGACCTGTATTCAAATTAGCGTACAAAGCAAGGCAAGGTGACTACTGATCCGTACCCAGTTGCGCTGGCCGTCGAGGAGAGCAGTGGCCTGGTCGATTACTTGCTTGTACGCTTCTGTCTTGCTAACGCCTTCGACGAAGTTGGAAGAATCGGCGTGAACCTTTGCTTCCCAGTCAGATATGCTTCCCATACGTTGGTATTGGGAATTTGGACCATATTCGAAGTTCAAGGGCCTTCCAGCCAAAGCAGATAATACCTCGTAGCGAGTGAAGAGGAAGAGTGAGTTGTGTTGATCGGAGAATCTCGGTCCCGCGCCGGTATAAATTTGTTCCGCACCGCTGGTGCCTCTGAACGACTACCGGTCCTAAAGCTCTCAACACCGACTGATGATGGCTCTTCAGCATCAAGATTTAGATAACTCGTCCAGGCCCCTTTGTCGTTTTCGTCGGCGAAAATCGATACCATCTGCCCAGCGCCCTCCAAGATTTCGTTGAAGCAATGTTGCGCCACCGGCTCCCTCCACACGGGCACGCCAACGGGACGAATCGCGAAAGGACAATGTCTTGGTCCAAGAAGAATGAAGCCATAGACCTTCCTGTCGGCACTGCTGATTTCTGCTGGGGAGCTCACTTCGTAACCGCGCTTTGCTCGGACGAGATCAAAGGCCGATGATGGGAGCGGGCTCACGGTTTGCGGATTCACTGCACCACCACGTCGTCGCCAACAGGTCATCCGACCGCCAATGCCGCTGCCACTGCCACTGCCACTGCCACTGCCACTGCCACTGCCACTGCCACTGCCACTGTTACCCCATATCTTGCCCCCATCGGTCTTTGGTTTGCGATGTGAGGAATGCAGCAATGTTTAAAAGAGCGACTGATACCCTGAACGATAGCTATCTAATATCTCTTCTACCTTTCCGCTAACAAACAAGCATCCTAACCCTCATACCACGCGCTCCTCAGCGATCCGGTCTACGCTTTACACTACGCACTCGTCAGCGTTCCAGTCTCCTCCACTCCTAAGTCAACGAGACACTTACGCAATAAAATTCGCTTCCTGGTGCTTCGGCCTCACACCCCTGACCAGCGTTCAAACCCGAGAGCGGAGCGCCAGGGGGACACTGCGAAAAGTTGATATATTAGCGTTCATCAAAAGATATGCCGGCTTTGCGATTGGAGGTAAAAATCATCAAAAACGTACCGCCCACTCATGAGGGTAGGACGCGAGGAGTTCCTTATCCCTGGTTTGACAACCCTGTTGGGTTCTGTAGCACTGGTCTGTAGGAGGAGGTGTATAGGCGAGAACAACACCGGCGCCTAGGAGAAGCATCATAGCCAAGGCAGGATACATGACTTGGTGCGAGAGTTGGGAAGAACGGAACACACTCTCTTGGAAAGCCGTGATAAGTCTTTCTTATCGATCAAGAGAGTCTACGCTTGACACTACGCACTCGTCAGCGTTCCCAGTCTACCTTTCGCTCCTAGGTAGGGCAGCGGGATACTTACGCAAAAATAGTCACTTCCCACTATTTCATACTCACACGCCCCACCGCCGCTTAAAGTATCGGATGGAGCGCCGGGGGGGACACTGCGAAGAAATTTCATATTTAGCGATCGAAGAGGGGCTGCCGGCTTTTACGATTATAAGAGTCAACGTACCTCCCACTCGTAAGGGTAATGATCCTTCACGTCCGGATCGGTGGATGAACACTTGTAGCCGGTGTGGTAGCACGAATTTATTGGAAGTGGATTTGTTTTGCGCCCGAGAACACCGGCGGTGAGGAGGGCGATGATAACAAAAATCGGTTGCCTAGTCTCGTGATGGGGTGGAGAAAGACAACGACTTCCCAAATGCAGTGGTGAGCCTTGTTTTATAGATAAGAGCTCTAATAAGCCCATGATCTGAAAACCTAATATTACAAACAGGAGTGTTACGGATCCAGGAATACTTGCCACATACACGGCTTCGCCGCACTATATAAGTCGGGGTTCCTCGGTCTTATCATCCATCTTCCCTGACATTCCCAAACGATGATGAGAAGATCAAGCTTCCGTACTCGTGTGCGGCATGTGAGCACGATCAACAGGTACGTGGCAGATCGGGCTTGGAGGATTCAGCATACCCGGTGGCTCATCGATTTCGTAGATGTTGCCAGAGAACGCCAAGCAGACGAAGGAAACCCTGACTCCCGAGCCTGCCAACACGAATGACCACGGTGGTGAAAATGAATGCGTAATGTATGATGGTGTCCGCCACGATTTCGCAGTTCGAGCCGACGAGGGAGACAAGCACGAGGCCGAGGCTGGTAAGAAGGCGGAGGTCTAAGCTGTGAACTGGTCGACCCGTTGGTTTTAAGAACCACCACCTGCTTGAGCCCAAGACTTCGATCCTTGAATTATGACAATTTCTCCTGTATGTAAAACGCTCGCAAGTCGGTCATTAATCGGAAATAGCCATCCGGGTTCGCATCCTCTCTGGAAACCTCCCGGGTCATAGTATCAAGCTTCTCGAGCATTAACTTAACATCGTCCTCCAATCCCGCCGGTTTTCGCACAACTGTAACCCATGACCAGTGCTTGTTGACTTCCCAGGCCGAATTCTTCTTTGGCCGAACCATGGTGACACAAATTGCGCCTTGCGATGAGGCGCGGCTGTTTGCCGATGGAACGTACCGGATCCAGAACGAGAGGCGCCTCAATTTCCTCAAGTGTAGCCAGTTACATGTCAGCCAGATGAGAGCGTCGTCTGCTTTCGGACTCTCCGTGTGTAAGACAAAGTCATTGCATTCGTAGTAAATGGGTAAGCTCTCGGATCGGACCTGCCGGCTGACTCTAGTCAGAGGTGGTTGTGTCGCAGCAGTGAAAGAATCGCGCTGAAAGTGGTCGGGACGGAACGTGACTACGGTCTTCTGAGAGGTGACGGCGTATTCGAATATGAGGTTCCGGATCTCAGCGGGAAGGTTGAGAAGCCGTGATGGAGGCTTCCTGGAAAAGGCCATAGTTGTTCGACACGAGGGGAAAGCTCCCGAAATGCATAAGATTCGATGACGGTCGTCTTTCACTATCTTGCAAAGTCTTTTGGCCGATGTGGAGAAGGGCTGGAGCAGGGAGAAAGTGGTGGTGGGAATATATATATATATATATGTATATATCGATGGGTTGATTCACGAGTTGTGCTTTGGGGATGAAGAGGACGGAGGGAAGCGAAAAGAAGAAGGTGGAGGCTCAGGCATGATTTCCTGCCTCAGGCAGTCAAGTGGGCATGTGAAGCTAGGATAGCTAAGGTACTGCCCAGATACACACCAACAGATACACATCCACACTGCCAATCTTGCGCCATCTGCCAACGACGGAACGAACTTCACGATGACACGACCGCTTCAATTTGGACTGTGATCTCGATTCATTCATAGCGCCTGCATAGAGCACTGGGTGCGAGGATGGCATCGCTTCCTGACAAGGTGCTCTCATGGCTGTACGGCGTTCTTCATGTCAGTATGCCCTCCAGCTCGCGCGATATGATACAATAGCTAATGTATGCTACAGGAGTATCGCGATCCTCAACGAACGTATTCGGATGCCGCCCGAACCCTCGCCGCATACCCAACGCTTTCGCCGCGAACCGAAGTATATACCTACGAAGATGGGGCTTCCGCGTTGCTCTTGACTCTCTGGGGAACACTGCCTGTGGCGTTCAGGGGAACCATATATCGCTTTCCGGTGAAGTTATGGTTTCCGCACAACTACCCGCAAGAGGCGCCCATGGCATATGTCATTCCGGAGAAGGACATGCTGATACGTCCTGGACAGCATGTTGGCGTAGATGGCAGGATATACCATCCATACTTACGAGACTGGGCCGGCATGTGGGACCGAGCCAGCATTGCCGAATTTCTTGAATATCTCCAGCAGGTGTTTGGGAAAGAGCCTCCAGTCATAAGCAGAGCGCAGCAGCAGCAATATCAGAGACAGCTGGGTCCTGGACAAACGCAACAGAGGCCTGGAGCGAGTCAGACGCCTCCACAACCTCCTCCTAAGCAGAGAGTGGGAAACGTCGAGGCCCCTGAGGGCTCTGCGTCGAATGCTCCACCGCCTTTGCCTCCAAAACCTGGCGAAGAATACGCAGAGCCTGCACGCAACACTGCACGGGATGGCCCCCCTCTTCCGCCCTTGCCCCCTGAAGCCACGCCGAATCAGCCTGGAGCGGCTTCCTCTGGACCTCAAAATGATCAATGGCAAAGTCCACGAGCTTCGTCATACCCCTCGGGTGCTGGATATCAAAATGGCAGGCCGCTTGGACCGTCGCCTCTACCTTCGATGCCATACCCACAAGCGCAATACCAGCAAATGCAACGCTCTAATCACGATAGAAGCCCTGTATCTCCAATCTCACCTGCCAATGGGTACTCAAAACTCCCAGAGTCGAAATACTCGCGACCCGCTCCTCTGCCACAGGCACAGTATCAGCAGTCGCGGTTGCCGCCTCCTCAGACCTCTCGGTATCCCCCACAGCCGGCTGAAGGTCGCCCACAATATGCACCAGGTCGACCGCAGCCATTCCAGCCAACTCCATATCCAGCACAGCAAGTGCTGCAACAGGCCCCGCAGAAGACACAACCGCCGCCAGATCTTCTCTCCGACCCATTCGAGGTCGCTCTGCCAGAAAGGTCAGGTCCAGCACCTCCCGCGCCCCCCATTCCTCCCAATCCAGAGAAAGAACACTTGCTACAAGCAATATCCGGCACGCTCGTGCAACAAGCTCAACAGAAGGTCAACCAGAACCTCTCAGCAGTCGCGCCTTTGCAGGCACAACAACAGGCAATGCGCACAGCCTATGCTCAGTTAGAGGGTGAGATCCGTCAACTTGAGCAGCTGGATCAAGCTCTTTCGAGTAACGAGGCGATATTGCATCGGAGCATACAAGAATGCGATCGGACCATCGCCACGGCGAAATCTAAGAGGCAGCCTCCAATCGACGATGTTCTCATTGCTCCCACTATGGTCGCAAACCAACTCTGGATGCTCTGCGCCGAAGAAGCAGCATGCCGGGAGGCAATGTATGTGCTGCAGAAGGCTGTTGACCGAGGACGAGTGAGTGGCAACGACTTTGTCAGGCAGATGAGAGGTCTCGGAAGAGAACGGTTCTTGAAGATGGCGCTAGCCCGTAAATGTGCCCGTGGTATGGGTCTTGAATTGCAAAGGTGACAAGACTGGGCATCGAAATACTGATATGCTTGCGGTAGCCCCTCGAAATCAAACCGAACAGCATCGGATACTCGGTCGAACGAATGCCTACGACTACGAACTCTCTTTTATCACCCTATTCAAAGCATTAATATACTCCTCGACTTCACGACAGCCCTCCACCGTCATATCCCTCTTCTTTCCCTCCACCACTAGATGCGGCACCGCATCGATACCATTGCCCGCCTGCTCCCTAATCAACATCTTGGTATCCATCAACTCCTCACTTTCATCCTCGATAAAGGCCTTGGCCTCACCTTCCTCTATCCCCGCTTCTCTCGCCGCTGTCGACAGCGTCTCATGCGAACTCGGATGCTTTTCCTCTTCGAAATACTGCCGGTACAAACTATCGACAAACTTATCTGCCACCTCTGCTCCTTTGGTTCCTTGCCAATGCTGAATGCACCTATGCGCATGCAATGTATTCGCTACCGTGCCTCCGAATTCATACCTGATGCCTTCCTTCTCCCCGTACGAACGCATGAGCTTGGTGTACATGTTCATTTTCTCTTCGCTGTCGCCATATCTGCTCTTCTTGTACCATTGGTATTTATCTTCGCCCTGTTGCGAAGCGTCGGGGTAGAGTTGGTAGGGGAGGTATTTTATTGTGAACGTGACGGGGCTTTCTGGGGGGAGTTGCGAGAGAGCTCTGGAGAGGCGACGTTTGGCGAGGTAGGTCCAGGGACAGATGGTGTCGAGGGTGAATTGTATCTCGGAATTGTAAGGCATATTTTGATGACGTGGTTTGTGTTGCTGCTCCTTGGTACTCCTTTTGCTTAGGATGTAAATTATTACGATGTCCTTGGACAGAGCGTTTGTGGTTGCTCGTACTTTGAGAGGCGGTTTGTTACATCATCGGACAGCTATCCGTGTACCCGGTCAGATACCGTACTCGACGCCCTCGGATGCAGAGCACTAAAAGCTATGGCTGCAAATAGAGGTCAGGTGCAACACATGTGTTGCAGCTCACACGTGATGTTTTGAGTAGTACGACGCGCGCGTATATCGTCGTCTTGTTTCATGCATGTGCAGGATTGAAAGCGGTATTCTACGTATGCACATCTGTACACATTAATTGATCGGGCCTGTAACCCCGTATGAACAATGTTGCGAATTCAGAAGTATGTGTATGGTGGCGATGAGGAAGAAGCCAGTGGACTCGAGCTTAGGGGCGATCGGGGAGACATCGTCAGCGATCGGAGCTCATGCTATGAGTTCAGTTGCACGTAGTTGCCTTTGGGAAGTTAGCATGCATGCAAGCCTAGACAAGCGAAAGTGGACATACCTGGGAACTGGCCTTGCTTTACCCCTATCCGTCCGATCCACCATTCGTTGGTGTTGTCCGTCCGTGAAATGATCTCGATTGTGTCGCCAGCGGTGAAGGAAAGATCCCCTTCTGCTTGTGCTTCGTAATCGTACAATGCGGTGACTGTTTCTGTGCCTGGGTGGCCGCTCAATCGAGATGGCTTCGGCTTTGGTGGTGGAGGCGCAGCCTTCGCCTTTGCAGCTGCTACCCAGTTACTACCGGTGCTGTTTGCGCGGCCAATGTCTGATTCGCCAGCTGCTGAGTACGCAGGTGGTGCTTGATCGAAGGAGTCATGCGTAAGTCTTCTGCTCGGTGGGACAGAGCTTGAAGATGAGCCAGGTTTTCCATTTTCAATCGCCAACCTGTTACCATACTTCAACGCCGGCGGTGGGCGAGGGCGTCCTGTCGTCTTGAACTTGACTATTGACAACGCCTCCGTTTGTGCTTGAATTTCGCCGCGCTTGGCCTCGAATGCCTCCTCGATACCCAACGTAAGGTTGAAGTAGCCAATGTCGATACTCTGCATCGTTTCGTGGAGCGTGTAGAAGACGTTGAGCTGCATGTAGTAGAAGCTCTGGAACAAAGGCAGGATGAACTCCCTCTCCAGACTGAAGAGATGGGGCAATTCCTCCTTCAACAAGTTGTTGAAGTACTCGTATTCCTGAGTGGCCATTTCGACGTCGTTCTCGGCCTTGTAGAGAGCCTTCTCGTCCTTTAGCGACTTGTCCTTCTTGTCTTGCAGCTTCTTCAGGTTGTTCTTGTGCCGATCGTAGTCTAGCTGCTTATGATCTCGCTTGACTGCTGTCTTGCGGCAGAGCTTGATGATCTCCATCAGCTCGTCGGCCGGCTTGACCACGCGGTTCTCGATCATTTCGAGCTCCGGTTGCAGGCTAGCCTTCAGCTCGTTGACTATGTTCTCGTACTCCTCGCAGGCGCGAATTCCCTCTGGATTGCCATCTACTACGTACGAGTCCGGGTCGCTCGCTCTGCCTGAAATTGGTTTGTAGATTTCGGCGCATGCTTTGGAGAATTCAATCTGGTGATCCAGCATGCCATTGATCGCATCGAAGTATTTCTTGCTCTCGTCATGCAGCTTCTTGGTCTCCTTCTCCATCTCGGCGAATCGGCGTTCGGCATCGATGTATATAGCGTCCTTGGTGATGTCGCCCATACTGAAGCGCTGCTTGAAGGTTTGCGGCGCCTGCAACCGGTGTCAGTACATCTCTTTCCTCCCCGACCCTGCTATTGGGCCCGCAGGCATCGAGATTCCATACCCTCGTAACGCCCTTCGAGAAGCCTTTCCAACTCATCTTGGCGGTATTTGTGCGCAGATATGCTGGAGTCTTAAATCTCGTAAGTCGTTACTGGAGGCGCGAAGGAAGCAGAGCGGGCTGAAGTGCGAGCAGTGAGAGGGCGGTTTATGAAGAGGAAGTCGGAGCGCCGGGAGTCCGTGGCTGAGCAAGCAACGCGAGTTTGCGAGGGTGGTCAGAAGGACGAGCTCGCAGTGACGATGGTGGACTTGTCGGCAGCGGGCGCCGCAGTCACGTGATACTTCTCTCTCTAGCTTTGGACTAGATCCAAACTTCTTCTGCTCTGCTTCATCCATCCTGATATCATCAGACACTCTGCAATCATGTCGCATCTCGCCCCTAATGCCGCCCGCCAGGCCCTGCGACAATGTACTCGTCGCGCATCGACTTCACACCCGTTCGCCACCCGACTTCCTCGAGCATGCATCGTCGCCAGAGGCCGGAGGAGTTATGTATCCGAGTCGAGCCCGAAGAACGCCACCGTGAACATTGAGAACACCATTCGAGAGGATCAGAAGGCTTTCCTCGCCGAGACAGGAATCAAACCTCCAGATGCCCAGCTTCCCGGCACCGGGCAATCCGGCGACACAGCCATGAGTCCTGCTGCTGCCATTCTGAAGCAGGCTACTGTGATGGATGAGGGAACCAGACCCATCTATCTCGATATGCAAGCAACGACACCAACCGACCCTCGAGTACTGGATGCTATGCTACCCTTCTTCACGGGCTTGTACGGGAACCCACACTCGAGAACACACGCATACGGATGGGAGACCGAGAAGGCGGTTGAGCAAGCCCGAGCGAACATCGCAAGCTTGATCGGTGCCGATCCGAAAGAGATCATTTTCACAAGCGGCGCTACCGAGAGCAACAACATGAGCATCAAGGGTGTCGCGAGGTTTTTCAAGAAGGGCGGTAAGAAGAAACATATCATCACCTGCCAGACAGAACATAAATGCGTGTTGGACAGCTGCAGGCATTTGCAAGATGAGGGATGCGAGGTCACATACCTGCCGGTTCAAAATAATGGCTTGATCAGCATGGAGGACCTGGAGAAGGCTATTCGGCCGGAGACTGCATTGGTCTCCATCATGACCGTGAACAACGAGATTGGAGTCGTACAACCGATTGAAGAGATCGGAAAGCTCTGCAGGAGTAAGAAGATCTACTTCCACACTGATGCAGCGCAAGCGGTCGGAAAGATTCCACTCGACGTGAACAAGATGAACGTTGACCTGATGTCCATCTCTGGCCACAAGATTTATGGCCCGAAGGGCATTGGAGCCTGCTATGTCCGGAGGAGGCCGCGTGTGAGAATCGATCCCATAATCTCTGGTGGTGGCCAAGAGCGAGGTCTGCGTTCTGGAACGCTGGCGCCGCCGCTCATCATTGGAATGGGAGAAGCAGCCCGGATTTGCTCCGAGGAGATGGAGGTGAGTTAGCCCATCAACATGCGATTTGCCCTCCACCCGTCCAAATGATTATACGCTCAAACATGCATGGCTTTCTGAGTGCGCTTTGACCGGCGTGTCCCGAGCTGACACACAGCAACTTCTATGATTCTCGTCGCAACCCTTTCACACAATGACATCGACCATTCTTTTGAGACGTTTTACTGACAAGGTCTCCAGTACGACACCAAGCGTATTTCCGCTCTGTCCAAGCGGCTCAGCGATGGCCTCCTCGCCATGGAGCACACCTCACTGAACGGTGACCCGTCCGCCCACTACCCGGGCTGCGTCAACGTCTCGTTCGCCTACGTCGAAGGCGAGTCGTTACTCATGGCTCTGAAGGACATTGCTCTATCCTCCGGCTCCGCGTGTACATCGGCCTCCCTGGAACCCTCGTACGTCCTGCGAGCGCTCGGCAATTCCGATGAGAGTGCTCACTCCTCGATCCGCTTCGGCATCGGGAGATTTACGGCGGACGCGGAGATTGACTATGTGCTCAAGGCGGTCCAGGACCGCGTTACGTTCCTGAGAGAATTGAGCCCGCTCTGGGAGCTCGTGCAGGAAGGTGTGGATCTGAACACGATCGAGTGGTCGCAGCATTAGATTCGAATGAATGACGGGAGAGATCCAGACTGGGATCATTGTACATTTCGAGACGATTTGGCCTCATCATCGGCGCTGGCGTTGTTGGGAGTGGCCATGGGTACAGATCAGCCCCGGGGGATGCGCAGAGGTTTCACTTCAGTGTAACGTAACGTTATGATGATGACGAATCAGAAAGTAATCATTGCAGCCGAGAGAGAAAATTTTCCACCCTTTTCAATTTTTCTTGGAAGTTAGATACAAAGAGAGAGATCTGGGTATCTTATCGTACAAAGCGGACAGATTCTCTAATAGTGAAGAGGTAGGTGATGGAAGCAAAAAGTCGTTTTGTAAACCCCCCCCCCCCCCAAATCATGCCAAGGATTCCTGGAGCAGCGCTCTCGGGGTCCTAGCAAGTCAGAACATCAGGCCTTGCTGATTCTTCGATGAAGCAGTACCCTCAAACTTCCCCAGAGCAAAACCGGACCTCTCCTCCAACGGGGTCTGATAGCCTTCTTGCGGCGTCGTGAGTTCTCCGTCATCGGCTCCATCACCGACGGCATTGTTCTCGCTCTCAGATCCGCTGAATCTGGACATGTTCACCGGCTGCGGTGTCTCCCCAACGGCAGAAAGGCCTGAATCTCGCTGTGGTGAGTGTGGTGAGTGTGGCGCCGTGATCGGACTGCTCCCTTCTTCCGTCTCCCGTAGTAGTTCTTGCAACTTCGTTGACCCACCCGAGAGCATGTAGCTACTCCTTACACTATGCACGTTTGACGAAGCGGTTACTTGCGAATGCAAATCGGAGATCTCCTGGCGGAGGCCTCGGAGTTGAGTTTCGAGTTTGCGGCGCGCGGAACGCTCGTCTGCTAGCATCTGGTAGAGGGAGCTGAACGTGTAAGGCTGTGGCTTGCCCTTCGTAGTACTTGCCGGCGCTGGAGCTGGCGCTGGAGCTGGAGGCTGTTGGGGTGGTGGGTGCGATTGGTGTAGCGAGGGCATTTTGAACGACTCCGGTGGTCGCTCGGATGTGGACTTCTGAAGCGGCTCCGGAGGTTGACCAGTCTGATTGGGAGGGTGAGAGCGGAGGGCATTCGGCACCTTGGAGGCTTCGCGAGGTCGTTCTGCAGGTTGCGTCTTGGGCTTCTCGGGTCCGAATGGATTTTCGAGAGCAGCACCTGAGCTTTGCGAGGGGCCGAAGCCTTGTGCAGCAGGAGCAGTGGGCTGCAGTGAGGTTCGCCCGTACTCGTACTCATACGAAGACGGCTCGAGGGCATCGGCAAGCGTGTCAGCCAACAAGCTGGGAGTTCGCACATCTGTTGATGATCGTCCGGTGTTGATGCTGCCCATGACAATCGTCCTGCGGTTCCGTTCCGCCGTCAATCGCTGCAATGAGCGCTGGAAATCGTGCAGACCGGCCTCCAGCTTGGCTACGCGGTCTTCCAAATCCCTTGACATCTCGGTGTCAACGCCGGAAGAAGGCCTCATATCGCCCTCGCTAAGAGACTGCCCGTGGCGTCGCGATCGCGGAGGCGTACTTCTGATCGTTCGCGCTCCTGATCCCGACACAGCGGCAGAGGTCCAAGTCTCCAGCGTCTGCCTGTGAGCCGTCTTGTCCTGGTTATTCCCCTCTTGATCAACCTGTCCCAAGTCTCCAAATTCGAATCCGGCGCTTTGTGCTTGAGAGTCTTCCTGCTCTTGTTGTGTCTCCATTGCCACACAAAAACCACTCGCCCGTAATACCTCTGGTCGAACACTCTCTCGCCAACATCGTATCTCGTCACTTCTTTTCCGAGGCGATGCTGCCGTCGCAGAGCTCTTCAGATCATCTGCACTCCGCGATTTTCTTCTGCCCTTCTTGATGGAACTGAGAACGCGCTTCGGGACGGACGTAGGCGTATCGTGAGGTTGTTGAGTCTCGAAGGCCTGGTCTTCCCCCATGAGTTGTCTGGCGGCAAGTGCAGCTTCTGGGTCGTCAAAGACGATGCTCGGTAAGGTCTTGCGTCGTCTCAGCTGGTTTGGAGGGCCAATGGAAGGATTTCCAAGGTCCATTGGCTTTAAGCGCACGCTGTTTGGGAACTGCACTGCATACGGCGAGGCTGTCCGGATGAATGCCTGCGCTGGGCCCTCGAACGGGCCAGAGACGACGCGCCGGGCGAACTCGCTGTCCTGGTCATAGTGCGGTTCTGCGTCTTCGCGCGGAGGTGGTAGACCGGCCGGTTCGCTCTTGTGATACGCGTGTCTGCTGGAGAGGACTCGTGGTGCGAACACATCCGGACCCTGGAAGCCAACATCTCTCGAGCGTCTGCCGAAGATCTTTCGCACAGCATTTCGCAACGATCCTTTCCGGGCCTTGGTGCCTTCTACAAACCCACCTGCGTCTTGCTGAACGTTACTTGTGATGACGGCCGTGGCTGGCAATGGTCGCACATGGCTTGTGTTCTTCATGCCGGGTCCCGACTTCTGTTTCTGCAAACGCGGACTGCGCAGAGGTGCGGTCTCGAATGCGGATCCACCTTGGAGAGCTTTGGCAGCAGCTTCGTTGCCCGTTTTGGAGTAGCCGGCATCTTCGTTATACTGCTCCATGGAATCCAAAGGTATGATCCATACAGGCCAGAATACTGAAGCTGGCGATGGACGGCCGTGGGACTAGGGCTGGAGGTGGGGTGAAAAGACTTCGGTAGCGACTGTGAGTGGCAGCTATGTCCGCAGGCAAAGGCGCAAGAAAGAATGGCAGCCGATTGGATAGGTCAGAGAGGGTCTCTGGGTAGCAATGGCACACCCTCACGCCTCAGAAGGAAGGAAGGAGTCGATCAGGGCTGGATTGCAATGAGCGTAAGATCAAGCCACATTCCTGCCTGAACCAGAAAGAACGACCAGGGGCGAGGCGTGTGGCTGCTGGAGACGGCGTCTGTCCGGTGAGGTGTGAAGGGAAGAGGGGGGGATGCGGCACGGGTTCGGGTGCGAATGAAAGGTCAGCAGGGGCAGAGCTGCGATGGTGGTGATGGTGATGATGATGGTGACGACGATGGTGATGATGGTGTGAGGCGGCGGGAGAGGTAAGGTAGAGAAGGAGCGAGCGAGCGAGCGAGCCCAAAGGTGGCGTCGACGGAGGGAAAAGGCGGGCGTGGTAGGTAGTAGAGGGAGGTGGAGGTGGAGATGGGAAGGAGTAGTGGAGGAGGACGAGAACTAGCACCAAACAGGGCCGGCCAAGGCCAACGTTTGGAGGAGGAGAGTATAGTAGTTCTGCTGCCCGAGATGGAATAGCGGAGTTAATTACAGTACAACAGCGTGGCAGCCCTCCCTCCCGCCCCGTTTCGAAACGCGGCAACCGTGCGTGCAGCGTGTGAGGGAAGAGCGACATCCCGGCCGTCGCTGCAACGACCTGCTCCATCGCATAGGTTGGCACTCTACCTTACATCTCGTGCATCGCTGCATCCACCTACATGTACACCGCTGCTCCTCCTCCTCACCGCACTGCAGCGTCAGGCGACAATCGCGCACCAAGAACAGCAACCTGTGGAGCGCTTGTCGCGTCGCGTCGCGTCGCGCGTTGATACCTACTAGGTAGGTACGCATCTAGATGTCGGGTACTGTACCTCTCGGCTAGCGCGTCGCCCAAGGTCCACCCGATATGTGTGATCGTGCCCGTCGATCTTCCGCTAGGAGTGACAGCCCTGCTGCGAGGAGTAACAGCACGTATCGTCTCCGCTGTGTGGTCCTTGGTGGTGTGTCGATTGGGGGAAGCTGGACCCTGGACGACGAGGACGGGCGTGGACGTGAAACACGAGGCACAGAGGGTCTTGCAGGACGAACAGCGATGATGCTCCCACCCACCCGACCGCACGCATGCGACGAAACGCGCCATGTCCAATGATCCCCATGCCTACTGCTACAGTAATGACAAGCAACAGGCTGCACGGATGATTCGGCAAGCGCGCGGCGCCTGCTGATTCGTCGCCAGCACTGAGAGCTGGCCTCCCACTGTTCGTCCATCGCACATCGCATCGAACATTACGGCCCGCGGCTTCTGACTGCAGTACCAACCTTTACTCCATCGTGCCGGCGGGCTTGGTATGTATGCTGTCTGCCGTCCTGGCCTCGCTCCAGAGCAACAACCGCGATGCATGTACGGCGCGCCGTTCTTTAGCTGCACGCCGGACATTAGGTCTCGCTCTAATGTAGCTCCCTGCAGCGGCTAGCAGGACCTTCCTTTCATGCACTCCTGCATCTAACTTCCCTCCGAACCAGCCCGCCCCAAAGCTTACTAGAGAACCTCACCTGCTCCAATCGATTCCATCCCCCCAAGACAACCGGCGCCTCGCCCGGTACTTGCATTTGGGAGTCTTTGCACACTTGCTGGAGCCGTCGCGGAGTAGCCATCCCACCATGTCGTGGGTATTTGGAAATGCGCCGCGACCATGCGTTCGTGCCCTCCTATCCAGAAACCTCGGACGGGTCTGGATAGCGCAAATCTGCTTGATCCTCGAGAAACTTCATCCAATCCTGGAGGAACTTTGATCCTCTGACAGCTGTAGGTTAGCAAGGTTACGCACCTAATCTCAGCAACGCATACATGCACCAGAATGCAATCGCTCGTTGGCACCGTATGCTAAACCACTGCCGTCTGCGAACCACACGGCCAGACCAGCCTCACGACAAGTTCTTGGCAAGTGGCAGGGCAAGAGGCAGAGGCAGAGGCCAAGGCTACAACATTCACTCACCTACTGATTGTCTCCGAGTCACCAATGATGCATAGATGTCGTTTGGGCCGAGTCATTGCAACTGTCGAGAAGTCAGTCAACCGTTCGCCCTTTGATATCGTAGTGCTTGAAGGAATACCATTCAACCGACGCTTTTCTCCCAAGAATCCTACCTCACGCGCTGCATTGCTGCGCACCAGGCTCACAATGACTGCTTCTTTCTCGCGGCCCTGGAACCCGTCTACACTGCCAAGTTCGAGCCCAGGGAAGCGCTCCTTCAGCATCTGTGATAGTAGCGCCAGTTGTCCGTTGTACGGAGTGACAATCGCGATATCCTCGGCCTTTACACCCGCATCGACAAGGGCTGCAACGTGCTTTTGGACAATCGAGGCTTCCAGATCGTTGACTTTGCTCTCCGCTAGCAGTCCAGACTTGTGGGTCTTCGCATCCTCTTCATCTTCCGCCTTCTCGGGGAATTCTCCACCCTGCGTGTCGATGAAAACCAGCGGCTCCGACGTATCCTCTGTTTCTTGAACGTCATATGGCAAATCCTTGAGCAATCTCGTTCGGACGGCTTCTGCAGCCAGTAGCTTGTCTTCGTACAGAGCCTGAGACGGAAATCGCATAATCTTCTCGTGCATTCGGTACTGCGTCGTCAGCATGCGTTTGATCTTGTCGCCGTGGAGCGACAGCAGTCGGTCGAAGAGGGTGGTTTCGAGTTTGACGGAGTCGGCATCTCTCTTCCCGCTGCTCACACTCGTCTTCTTGTCTTTCGGCTTTCCGGCACTATCGTCTGTCGCTTGATTCGATTCGTCGTGGGCGGTACCGTTGAGAAATTTCTTACTGGATTTGGAGTTGGAAGACTTGATGGTGGGCGGCAACTGGAGATGGTCGCCTGCCAATACCAGGCGAGATGCACCGCTGTTGAGCACAGGTATCCAACACTGGGCTTCGAGTGCTTGGCTTGCTTCATCAATGATCACGACGTCGAAGAGTTGGTCTTGCAGTTGGTATCCGCCCGCACCATGAAGCGTTGCCAAAACGACGTTGCTGCCTCGCAGCAAGTCACCGACGACACGAGCTTCGCGCTGCCTGAGTTCTTTGCGCAGCTCCTTGAGCTCGCCATAGATGGCTTTACGTTCGCGACCGTTACGAGTCTTCCGGATTGACGCCTGTTTCGCATCCATCTCCGAGCGAATATCGCTGACAATAGCCGCCGCGTCGCTTGCTCTCGTCAACACCTCCATGCTGTGGTTGAGCACCGTGGGTAGCAGTCGTGCCGGATGGCCAAGCCGCACCATGGTCACCTTGTGCGGAGCAAGCCTCTCGACAATGTTGTCCACACTGATATTGCTGGGTCCGCAGACGAGAATGCGCAGCTTTTGCTTCAGAAGCTGCAGGATCAACTCGATCAGCGTATGTGTCTTTCCGGTACCCGGAGGCCCATGTATGAGGGCTATCTCCCGACTCGCCAGTGCGAACTTGATGGCCTCTTTCTGACTATCGTTGAGGCTGGCATCGTGCCAAGGCACATGCTGATTGAGATCTGACTCAGGAATAGGCGTAGGAGATGCTTGACCAAAGAGAACTTGGGTAAGAGAACTGTGCTCAGATGATTGCATCTTCTGCAGCTTGGTCATGGTCTGATTGAGACGCTTGTACGTGACATGGTTGGCGAGCTTCACACTACAGAGGCCCGCTTGTATTAGCTTGTGAGAGGACTTACCATTCTGCTGGGCGAACATACAGCCAGAGCTTGCCATTGGGTATATCCGCGTCCTCCCTGTCCAGCGCTACAGTCACCGACGTCTTGTTTGTTCTTGTAACTACGCCCTCGACGCCTCGCTTCTCCATCCCTTCTCGCTCTTTCTTCCTCTCAGCTCCCTTTGGTTGCTCGGCCACGCCGCAGATGTCGCCGACACGCAAGCCATGCTCAGGCAGTTCTCCGCCCGTAGAAACGGCGGCATCTATTCCAAGCTCGAGCAGCGTCTTGCCTCCTAGACCGGTGCGTTGCGAGACAACTGTGAGATTGAGAAGCGCGAGGCCGGCGCGTTGGAGTGTCGTGGGCGCATGGGTCGAGGTCAGCAGCTGTGTCTCCGCCAACTCCGCCTGTAGCTCGGCGTCCAGCAGTGAGAGCTGACGCGTAGCAAACGCGGAGATGTCGGTACCATTCATGTCTTCATCTAGGTATCTTCGCGACACGAGTTGCGCGATCCAGAGTTGTGTTGATCAAGTCTGCAGAAGCAGGTCAATGGGTCGTCATTCACTTGGCAGTGATCGGCGCTCGGGATCAGCCTTGCCGACTTTCGACTACAGGCCCATTGTGCAGTGGATACAGGCCTTGTACGCATCTCTGCTGCATGTGAGTATGACTGAGCTCACGACGAGTGCTATTTGGACCTAGCCTTCACGTTAACAGCATAGAAGATAACCCGCCTCTGGCCGATAAAACCAGATATCGTCATAAATTGTACCCCTGCACAAAGTGCCATGTTTCCACCCAATACTCGAGGGTTACACGGTTATCTGATTTCTACAGCTGCTACCTCTTGATATTCTCGCTTCTCCAGTAGCTAGTACAGGCTTCTGCGGCCTCCAGCTCGTCCAACATGGACGTCAGCATTCGACCCGAAATGTTACACCTCATGGCAGTTCGGAAGCTGTTGTCGATGCTTCCTGGTGCACTGCCTTGATGGAAGCTTTCGTTGTCGGCAGTAATTTGTCCTGCTCCGCCGACCGTCTGCGTCGACTGCATGCTCTGAGTGGTGCGAAGTAGACTGTGCGTGTCTACAGGCCTCACAAGATTCTCTGTCGCAATGTTTCAGGTCTGTATAGGCTGGTCGCAATCCCAGTGGCTTATTGACGGCTCTCACGTCTCCAGTCAACGACTTTGCTGCGTTAAGAGTGATATCGATAGGGTTCCAATGCAGAAAGGTGTGCATCATTTTGAAGTTCTTGTAGGCCTTTGGGGAGGTGGTACCGTTCTGGGCAGCGTACTGGATGGCTTCCGGTTCATCATCGTCACTGGACTTTTCTTATCCTTCAGCGCCAGGATCTTACTCTTCTCCATCGGTTCCATTCCCTCCCCTTCTCGTGGTATCTGCTGCCACATCTTCTCCCACACACCCGGCGCAGCGCTTCGATTTCTGCCTTCTGTCGAGAGCCAGAACTGTCCCAAAGACCTCCGAACAAGCGGCTCCCAAATCGTATTTGAATGTTCGCTGTACTGATTCGCGTCAGGAAGGTGCTCCAGATTTGCGAGTCCAGCCCTGAAGGATGGTCGTATCTTCCTCAAATTCGCGAAGGTAACATCCCTTCTCGTAGGGTAAGGTTTGAATCTAATACAGGAGAGCTGCAAACGTGTATCGAGTGGAGTATCATCGGCGAAACGGATCAAATTCTCTCGCGATCGCCGAGCCCACGTTGGCAGTAAGACTTTCACGGAATGGACTACGGGTCCTGTGGTGAGGCTCAAAGCGACTGCTGGTACCGCCGAGCCAAGTACAGCGATCGGAATCCAGAAGTTGGAATGGTCTGGCGAGAGGAAGAGACTGGGTGCATAGAGGATTGAGCCAACCAAGAAGATAACGCATGACGTGAGTCCACACAAGCCGATTATGACGGTCGCTCCAGTGTTAACTCGATAGACGTTCAGCCATTCCGGATATTTCAGGTTGGGCGTTTTTTGAGCGCGTGCAGCTGCTGTGCTCTCCCCGCGGGCCAATGCAGGAGACTTCGTGAGTGACTTCCATACCAACCGGCAGGATCTCAGTTGGTGTGTAGAAGGAAGCAGGACATTTCGACGGGCTGAGGTGATCCCTGAGCAGACGGCGCTGCGCCGCAAGCGATTCAACACGAACATCACATGCTAATGCTGAATGATGGACCAGGAGGACGGAGAAGATTGGATGGAAGTACCAGGCTCATGGCCGCGGAGGTGAGCCTTGGCTTTGGGGTAGAGGGCGGTGGCCTGAGCTTACAAATCCGCAAAATGGTTTTGCCGACTGCCGAAGCGGCACTCGCTGTGAGTCGCGACTCACTCTACCACCACAATAACAACTTACGACGGCGACAATGAGGCTCCACGAGTGTCGCGCACCGCTATTGTCGACGTAAACGGTCAATATAAAGTTAGGCGCAGCTTTTAGCTTTATATTAAACCCGTTAATAGCGGTACGCGGCTTTATATTAATTAAAAGCTATTGTCGCGCTTATACTATTGTAAGTGCGAGTCTATAATATCGAACAATAAGGCAGCTACTAACAATAAGTAGGCTATTTTATAAGAAGGCATTCTTATCTAGCGAACCTAGACCTCTTTTCCTACCTAGATTGTACTCGTAGACTCGTAAATCGACAATTTATAGTATTAATCGACTAGGAGACTCTTACATTTATCTATAGACGACTCTACGACCAATACTAGCCTAATTATTAACCTACTCCTTCGCCTCCGCCTTAGTCTACGCCCGAGAGCGCCCTAGTAGTAACTATATCGGCCCTAAGGTAAGCTATCCGAAGCCTAAAGAATAGGCAAAAGCTAATTAGCGAGTCTAGCGAGTCCTACCGTAAACTAGAGACGTAGGATAAGACTACATTCTAGTATATCTCCGATAAGGATTAGTAGCGCTATTTAAACAATCTTAAATCTAGTAATAAGTAGGTTCGTAAGTCCGCGGCTAATAGCCTACGGCGGTTTACTTACGCTAGCGAGATAATAGAGACGGATCTAGGTATGCTTTTTCTAATTTATATAGACTCGCTACTAAAATCTAATCGACTCGTAGGTATACTATCTTCTAAGCCTAGCGGCTATAAGTAGTACGCTACGAGAGGTCTAGATTATATTATCTATAAAGGTAAGGAATACACTTAATACGCGTTCTATAAGCGCTACGGTCGCCTAGGTTGTAATAGTAAGCTCTAGAAGAAGTACGAGAAGTAGAAGGATAAGTAGGATAACTCGCTAAAGCCTAAGCCGGACTCGTAGGCTACTATAGGTAATTCTAGGGCTACTATAGGTAACTCTAGGGCTGAGATAGGCGACTCGTAGAAGCCTACGAGTCTTTAAACTAAGATTGCTAGGCTTAAGAAGGGTTTAGGGTTTGCCTATAAGCGTATTAATAATCTAGAGGCTAAGCTCTACTATATAATAGACTTTATTACGTAGCTACCGGGTAGCGAGTAGTTCGTAGCTAAATATAAGGGCAAATATACTTAGTAGATAGTATAGATCAATTCTAGCCTACGAGTTATAGCGAGTATAGCTAATTTTAGCCTACGATTCCGTACGAGTCGGGTAGCTTAGGACATATAGAATCTTAGAGCGATTAAATCGCCTACGAATCTAGCAATTTTAGGCCTACGAGTCGGGCAAATTATAATACTACGAATCTTAGAGATCGTAGAATCCCTAAATCGCCCGCGAGTCTACCTAATTTTAGCCTACGAGTCGGGAGAATGTTAATATTAGAGATCTCTAAGCCTTTAATCGTTATTATATTTATACTATTAACCCTATACGCCCTTCTGTCCTTTTAAAGCCTCGCTACTAACTCGCTACCGACTCGCTATAGCTTCTTTAACGCCCTTATAACCCTTTAAAACTCCGGAATCCTTACATACTCCTTCCTTAGCTTCTTATTCCTTATTACCTCCGCTAGTACACTCGTAGTACTCGCTAGTCCGCTCGGGGGCGTACTCGTAGGCTCCGCTAGTACACTCGTAGCCTTAGTATCCTTAGGTAAGCTAGTAACCTACCTATCGCCCTAAATCTCCGTCGCTACCGGCGACTCGCTAGCGACTCGCTCTACTAAATCCGTAGGAGTAATCTCTATTCCTTCTTTAATAGTACTTAAATCTATAGGCTCCTTCTTTATTACTATACGTGCCTCCTACTTTACTACTAGCTTGCTTTTAGGCACTCGTACGTACGTAGGCTCGTCGTCGTCGTTATTATTAGTAAGGTTAATAATATCGATAGGGTTATAGGCGCTTAATCCCTAGGTACCGGATATAGACGAAGGAGTGGATCGATAGGGTAATTCGCGACTCGCTTAACGTTTGTAACTAACTAGCGGACTAGTAGAGGCCTCTTTCTCGGTAGATTAGGCACTCGTAGAGGGACTCGTAGGCTAGCGGAATTTAGCTAGTTTATTAGGGCTAGTAGAAGGCACTACTTTAGATTCGCTAGTACTCGCTACTATACTCGCTACTACACTCGCTACTACCTCCTTAGCTATCTTTCTTTTAGCTTTAGTACTAGGCCTCTAACCTAGACGCCTACTACGATAGCGCCTATTAAGGCTCTTTATTAGATCCGGATCTAAAGAGGAGCTGTCGTCGGTAGACTCGCTAGACTCGCCGTAGTCCTTCGGAAGCCTATTCTACCGCTTATCTTTAGCTACAAGGATAGCGACCCTAATATCTACCTCCTTTCGCGTAGGATTTGCCTAGTACCTACGCTTAAATAGTAGTAATTGCTCGTTAAGGTCGTCTTTGTCTCTACTGTTCGAGCTTAGTATAATTAAGAGCTTCTACTCTTTGTCGTACCGGGTATATATAAACGGACGTTTGTAGTACTATAGGCCGGTAACCTTCTTAACCTTAATATAGCTAGCGTACAAAGCCTAGTAGTAAAGCTAGTTACGAGTACGCGGCGAGTCGAGTAGTAGGGCCTTAAAGTCGCTCTAGTAGCCTACGATAGACTAGTAATCGACTAGCTCTAGATTATCTCTAACCGTCCACCTCTACTAGCCTTCCTTCTTAACTACATTAACTACTACTTTGCTTATATATACTATAACGTAAAGCTTAGGGCCCTTTAGTACTTTCTTCGGTCTACTACCCTTGTTCTACGACTACGAGTCGGCCTACGAGTCGTCTCGTAGCTCGGTACTACTACTACTACCCGCCTTAAGTCGATTCGTAGCGATTAGCGTGCTCCTATATAGACTCGCTTTACTAGTACGAGGACCTTATACCTCTCCGGATAACGGATTAATACCTATATTACTAAGCGGGCGGATATGCTACTTCTTATTAGCGGCTAAAACGGCATTAGTACGGCTAAATAAGCTTTTAGCGAGTCTAGTAAAGCTACTATAGCCCTTTATAGACGCGGGCTCCTTCCGCCGTAGAGTAGGGGAATCGATCGGATCCGGTACTAGTATTAAGGAAGGGCCTACAGTCGACTCGCGGCGACTCGCTATATTAGTGTCTACTATAGTAAAGAACGGGTTCCTAAGGCCGCATTTACTATAGCGGGGCTTATCGCTATACTCTTTAGTATAATTAAGAGTATAATCTACCTTATTAGATATATAGAAGTCTTCCTAGAAGTTAGTAGAAGAAGCTATAATAGACGTATATAGAAAGATAAGACGTAGTATTAAGGAATATAACGTTACGAGTCTACTACGAGTATATACGAAGCTTTATAGAGGCTCCCTAGTAGTAGTAAAGACGGTTCTCGTACGATTAGACGGCTCGAGGCTATTTAAGCGAGTCGGCGCGATATACTTAGCGAGTCGTCTACTAGTATCTAGGTACTACTTAGCTACTCCTCGGAGGTACTAATAAGCGTATATATAAAGCTTCTTAGGCCTATTACCGAATCCGGGTTCGCTACCTTTAAAGGTTAACGGGTAGCTAGCGAGTACGAGCTGTTCGTTTACCTATTATAGAGTTGTCGGAGGCAGGTATAAGCTAAGGTCTATATATAGCGAGGCGTAGTTAGCGTAGGAGTAAGAGAGGGGTAACTCTATAGGCGGGTAGCTAGAGCTGCGAGTGACTACGAGTACAGCTAAATTGGCTACGAGTACGGTCCAATTTCGAGCTACTTACCTAGTACTAATATAGAAAGCTCTTTAATTACCCGCGGAGCTTACTATAGCCGTCTATCCGGTTTATCTACTACTTAAGAGTAGTACTCGCTAGACTCTTAGGGTTAATTAGATGCCTACGCTAGGTAGTGTCCTCGAGCTCTAGATACTCGTAGAGCAAATCCGGTATACTACTAATATAGCTCTTAAGGTTTTATACTCGTACCGGGTGCCGATTCTACTCTAAGACAAAGTAACTAACTATATAGCGTATAATTAGAGTATAGATTACGAGGAAGGCGAGTCGATTAGATAGCTTAGCGGCCTCGAAAAGGTGTAGGTTAATATACTAGTTAAATAGGTCTCTCTAGCGATTTATAGCTAATTTAGCTATCTCGCCCTACTAGTACTTAATAGTCTAATTGCCTTTACTCGTAGTATATAAGAAGGCCTTAATAAAGTCGATATTACGGCCCTCGATAAGCTCTCGAAGCCGTAGATAGGCGTCTACTAGTATAGGTGTCTCGACACCTTAATTAGAGCGGACTCGCTAAGGGACTCGCTAGATATAGTTAATTATAGTATAGTACTACGAAAACACTAAGTACTTTGTCTTTACTATTAGGCTAACGTAGAACTAGATAATCCGGCGTAAGTAGACGTTAATATAGGCGTAAATCTAAATGCCGAATTGCTCGATTTTATAGAAGGCATTAATTAACTAGACGTAGTTAGGCCTATTAGCTTTTAGTCGTACGTACCGTAGCCTATTCGGATAGCGATTACGTAGTTCGCGAAGCTTATATAGTAGAGCGTTAATTTGCCGTGAAATCCGGTAGATACGGTCCCTAGTAGGCATTAGTATAGTAAGAAGAGGGCTACGAGTCGGCTACGAGTCGATTCCCTACCTACCTATAATATACTAGTAGGTTCTCAACTCTCGTACGAGCTTACGATAGCTAAAGTCTTAGGTTTGCCTATTAATTAGTACTACTCGAAGCACCTTATCGACGTAGGTAGTAGCTACTCCTAATTCCTCGTGTTCTAGTCGACGCTTAAGGCCGTAAGTACGGCGGAGCTCTTAATACTGCCTTAAAGAGATATTATAGCTATTAAGCCGTAGTATAGTATGGCTCTTCTTGTCGCTAATAGTATATAGCTAGAATAGCTCGGTAATCCGCTTAATTAGTACTACGTTACTACTATAGTTAATTCGAGGGCGAGTAGTCACTCCCTATCGCGATAAGTGTGTCTATAGAGTTCTAATACCGTAGCGAATGCCCTTAGTATTATATAGGCTCTATACGACTCGCTAGTAGGTATATCTAGTATAAATCTAAAGCTTAATCTAGAGCCGATAGGGCTATAAATCGAGGGCCTAAGGCGGTATAACGACAAAGTAGACAATAAAGGACCTAATAGATAGATTGCGAGTCGATAGCGAGTACATCAGTGCCTAACCACTGCGATTACGGTGTGTGAGAGTGTGGTGGTGCGGTGCCAAAACCGGCAAAACCATTTTGCGGATTTGTAAGCTCAGGCCACCGCCAGAGCTCCAGAGCGGCCCGTACCTCAGAGCTTCCGGTTCATCGGTAGACTGGCTTGGTAATAAGACGACCTATTTCATTTGAGTACTTCATCATCTGAATACAACGTCCTACGCACCGCCCAACATGTCCGAATACTGGAAGTCGACACCTTCGTACTGGTGCAAATTCTGCAGCCAGTATGTCCGCGACACCACCATCGAGCGCAAGAATCACGAGGCAACCGCCAAGCATCAGAACAGCATTCAGCGCAGTCTGCGAGAACTGCACAAGAACCAGGAGCGTGAGAAGCGTGAGGAGCAGCAAGCGAAAGCCGAAGTTGCCAGGCTCAATGGAATGTTTGGCAGCAAATCAGACACTTCCAAACCACCAACACGGGCGCCGGCGCCTACGCCATCGTCGAACGGCCCGCAGCTGGGGACTGCGGCACAGAGAAAGGCGCATGCTGAGCAGCTGGCAGCTCTAGGTGTTGAACTGCCCGATGAGCTGAAGAAGGAGGTCACTGGCGTGGAGAATTATAAGACAGTGACGGAGTGCGAAGTGCAGCCCGTGCAAGATGGCACGGTAACGGTCAATCGGTCATTGGCAGATATTCTGGCAGAAGCCCGGCGAAAGGAAGAGAACCTGAAGCAAGAGACACAGGACGAAGATGAGCTACATTCGCTGGCCATGGGCGTCTCTAAGCGAAAGGCAGAAGACGACGAAGATATACGGGATGAAGAAGCCGCGCCGAAAAGGAAGGCCTGGGGAAGCAATTTCAAAAGATATCCTGGTGCCAACAACGATCAAGACGATGGAGCTGACTTAGATGCATTGCTGAGCGGAGTGTCCAATAAGAAGAAGGTGCCCGCAATTAAGACCGAAATATCGGGAGAAGGAGAAGCTGCGAAGCAAGAAGAGGTTGACGAGCCGTCGAAGTCCATGGCTGCCATTCCGGAGGTTGGTGAGCTTGCAGGCGCTGCCAAGCAAGAGAACAGTGACGGTGCCCCTGCTGTCGTCTTCAAGAAAAGGAAAGGCAAGAAGTGAGCTGCTGAGCAATGAGGATTCAAGGCACAGCAATTACCTTGCATTCAAATGAATACACTGTTGCCTTCGAGCACAGTGAGGATCGAGCACAATTGAAAGTCGTGAGCAATGTTTGGGCGAGCCTGATGATGTTGAAACGACTTCGGCAAGCCTTGTAAGAATGTTCTGGTTACTCCAGCTTGCTACTCAATCTGACATCTTTCACAGGCGAACAATCAGGTCTCAGAAAACGGCGGCTTGATGTCTGCACAACCCGTGCAGCGCCTGCACATGCCACACTTTGGCTCGGCGTATCCCCTCCAAGGTCTTACCTCCCTCCCTTCCCAGCACGCGGAAACTTCAATTCACGGCCAGTTAGATGTCGGAGTCTTATCAGCAAATCGAGCCCGTGAAGAGATTACAGCTTGTCACAAACCCGACGATGCCTGAAGCCCTCAGTTCGCGGGACTGGATATCTTTTGACGACGACGCTAGGATCCCACCTCCGCGCGCAGATTCAGATTCTCCTCAAAGAAGAACCTTTGGCTATGGCGCAATGTCCAACCACGCGCTCAGCGAGCCAGAGACAACTGATGGGACTTGGCCTGGAAGGATTCGTGCTAGCTTAACGCATCTGGCTTTGAATTGCCTGTGCCTTGGTGCCGAGGCTAGCGAGGAGGACGGGGACGGTATGTCAACCGAGGGCACCGCGGTTAAGAGCAGTCGGTACAGCAGCATTTGGGGCGCCATTTGGCCCAGGTCTACTGCTAGTGTGAAGCGAAATCCCGAAGAGTCGGAGCAGCCTAACAGTGAGGAATATCGGTGATGCTGATGGAGAAGATGACGAGAATGCCACTAGTCTCGGGGTCCGCGCCGCAGCATATGGTGTTCGTTTTTGCAACCTGCACTCAGTTGTTCCGGAGATGTGTAAACCTAACATAATGCCACTTCCGCTGGTCATACTGCTGGATGCTCACCAGGGCAAGTCCTTAGTGGTTTGCTGTCGAATCCCTGCACTCCTCCCCCTTCTCAGCGCTTGCTCCAGCTTCCTCTCCAACAAGTTGCCTATCGTGTCCATTCTCATCCTCGCGCTCCGTGCCTGTCCGGGCCTCAGTAACTCATTCACGAATTCTGTTCTCTCCTTCAGATCATCCTTTTCCTGCCATAGCCGTTGATATTGTTCCAGCTCCTGGGGCCCCTCGAAGCAGATCGCATACATGCGACATAGGGCTTCAAATTCCGGGGTACAATCCTCTGCCTCTTCCAGGAACAACCATGGCCACATGTGCTCCCAAACTCTCCCGCTTATGTAGTCGCTCCAGTCGGTGTTGACTAACCACTCCATATACCTCTTGTACTCCTCTTTCGATCTTCTTTGTATGGCATCGCGCGTGACTGCAAACTGCGAGCAACAAGGACCAGCCAGTATCTCCGGTACAGGGACGTCATGTCCAAAGTTCGCATGGAAAGCCTCTGCCATAAATGGCTCTTCTTGCTTGATGGATTCCTCTGGCGTCTTTGTGGTATTGATCCATGCCGGACAGGCATCTTTCCAGCTCACGCGAAGATTAAAGTACTGCTTCCGCATCACTTGATGCACGTCGAGCTGGGAGAGTGCGAATGTCATGGATTGGCGGAGCGCGGGGTCGACGTGCCATGGATTCTCGTGCGAGTGGATAAAGATACTGATATCTGGAAGGTCGTCGTAAAAGTCGTGCAGGTAGGTATGGTATATCAGCGCTTCTCTGCCCCTGGCCACGGGCGGGTGGAATGATGCGAAGGGCGAATCGCTCTCATAGCGGATGATATTGAGGTTGGGGATTGGCAGGGTGGAGGTCCAGGAGATGTCGTCGGCTGCTAATGTCGCTACGACCAAGTTGATGGAGATGTTGGAGATTTGAGCCTCGGGTGAGTACTGAACAGATTCATGATGAGACTGTTGCGCAGTCTGTTGAAAGGCGTGATGGTAGACTGCTGGTCTGACATGGGAGAAGAGGAGGTAGAACGAGGTGAGAAGAAATATTGCCAACAGGATGGTCTTCGAGCGGGACAAACCGTGCGCAAAGAGTATCATGTCGAGGCTGCTTCCAATACATTGTGGGAGAGCGTGTTATCTGTGGGCGAGTCTGGGATCGAACATCACATTCGCGTCTGCTGCCGATTATTTATAAGGGCAAATGAAGTGATAGGACACGGGATGAGAGGAGTGAATTCAAGTGTCCAAATCAACTTAGTAAGGAGCTCCAGATGTCCGAGACAATTGCGAGGTCCGAGGTCCGAACGAACGTTTTCAACTTTCCAGTGCGGAAGCCATATATATCTGAGAAGGCAGTCTCGGCTGCCAAAACGAACAATCATCGATCAGCAGATGTCTCAGGCAGGACCTTGGGATGCTGCGATCGGAGATCGTCCCAGAAGTGAGGGACACCTCGTTAGGGGATAAACGGACAACTTCGCCGTACTTCTCATGCAGAGCCATCACGTTCTAACTCGTGGTGCCTTTCAAGACATGCCGAACGTAGGGAATCCGGGAGACTGCGCGTTGATCTTTGATCCGGTTATGTTACTTAGCGGGCGAAGATACAGATCATAGACTGCTTTGCCCAGGAGGTATGAGAGAGACTAGCTCTGCTGTCAGGCGTACAACCAGATTCAACGCAACGGTGTGGCCCACCAGCACGATGACTATTCCCATGAGCGACCATGGCTTATTGGCGACTTCTTCTTTTGCCAGTTCCATGGCTAGGGCAGCTCGTCAATTGGTGTCCGGGTGACGTCGCAAAGCAGGTTCAGGAGGCCTTCTCCGTAAGGTGAATGAAAGATGTGCAGACAACTATGTGTCGTGCGTCCAAAGGCGAAGTTGAGATAATCCAATTGGATTCGTCCAGACGGATGAGGCTGCCGATGTGCTAGCTGAGACAATATGGTGAAGCAAGCATCCGGACAAGGTCTTAAATCTGAGGAACTGGAGGGTAGCACTGGCACCTTCCACGTTTTATTAGAAGTGCTCCAGTAGAGATTACATACGGGAGCCATTACTTCTGCCCCTGTCAGGGCATGGTTTTGGCGTTGGCCCAGGTTGGCAGAGAGTCCCCCGACGAGGCAACTTCACGATTCCCGTACCTAGCTTTCCGGACGATACTGGCGACGTACTGTACAAGGCCTTGAACACGGCATTTCGCGTCGCTCAGTTGCATCCTCCACCCGAAGGTATACGGCCAGGCAACACGTGCAGAGTCGCCCTTGCCTTGGCACAGTCGAGATGCTGACACTGCGCGCCTGAAGAGGCAGGGCCAACAGTAACGAAGACGAGACTGTGATGGCGTCGTCCAGCACACTTGTTACCAAACACCATTCGAGTCGTCCTTACACGACGACCTTCCTTCCTTTTCCGGTAAGTGGTAAGCCAGCCTGGCACGACCAGTATTCGTGTAAACGCTTCCACTACGGTTCTTCCAGCAAATGTTCCCCCCCACCAAGAGGCTCCGGACGATGGGAGAAAATGATCTTGTGCCGCACAACCTCTGCGATCTCTACTTCGTCTCCTGTGCCAGAGCTAGCGCGGTCGTCATTCGTGGTCCTGCGCCGGAGGACGGCGACAGGTTTCACGAGCTTCTTCACTTCTCCGGCCATGCGCTGGTGGGTGCGTTCAGGCGAGGATCCAACGAACAGAAATACCTTCTTGCCGTCCCAGACGCCATCTTCCTCGGGAAACACAAGTTTGCCCAGTCGCAGGGCCGTGGAAACATTCTCAATGTGCTCGTCCTCGCTGAGTACACTGCCCTGTAGCTCGATCATGGCAAGGCCAGAGGGTGTGTGCAGTAGCGGTGGCAGGGCATTGTCAGTGTCGCTGCCTTTCCGTTGCTCTACAATTGGCGGATGCAAGGGCACCGAAGGCATGATGTTGGAGTACGGTCCAGAGCACCTCGAGTTGCCCGGGTGAGGTGTAGGTGGTCGTTCGTAAATTTGCCAGCAGGGCTTGTTTATTGCGTTCCTGACATGGGGCGAGAGGTGAAGGCATTCACCGGCAGGGTACCTGCTTATGTAACCGCCAACCTAGTCCTGCATCCATGATCAACTCTTTTTTTTTAATCTACCTTGCCCCCTAAGATACAAACGCCAAACGCTAGCCCCTCGCTGACGTCGGAAAGTATAGTATGGTATGAGATGGAGGACGGTGGGATTGAAAAAGCCCAGAGCGAAGACCGGAATTACTAGCCTCTACGCTACCAAGAACATGCAGCGAACAGACACACCATGCCATTTACCAGCGCAATCTCTCCTTCGTCAAGTATCACGAACGCGGATCGAATCCGAAGTAGTCGGACCATGAGGAGTTCATCGGCATTGCTCCTCTACAGCTGTACATGAATCGCAGTTCTTTTGGCTATCGTACATCCGCTCATACAGCTGTGCATTTCACATGCCATCTTTGACTACATCTGCGCTCGGTATGCGCTCGTCCAAAGTGGAGAATTTACACCAGTCCCATCATTTCGCTATCCACACAGCGTCACCATCTCTGGAGAAGAAAACCGAAGGTTACGAGTCGAATTCCAATCTAATCACATCACGAGTTCTTGACAACGCCAACCTTGGCAGCCTGGGAAAAGTTGTCAGCGAATCTTCTCGTGGTCTTGACATCTCAGCAACTTACCCTCAGCACTCTTCCATTGTACAAGAATCCCTTCTGCTGTGTGTAGAACACAGTACCATCCTTCTTGTCTGGCTGTGGCGCTTGGAATGTCGCCTCGTGCACATTGGGATTGAACACCTCTCCCTCGACGCTGGGATCTATTCGCTCCATACCGTGCTTCTTCAGTGTCTTCATCAGAATGTCCTCGGTCATCCTCAGACCATTATACAGATCCTTCAGTTCCTTGTTGTCATCAGTGAGCTTCTCCACAGGGACGTTGCCAAGCGCGCGATCCAGGTTGTCGACGCTGTCGAGAAGATCCTTGGCGAACTTCTGCAATGCAAAGTCTCTGGCTGCGGCGACCTCGCGTTTCGTCTGTTCTTGAAGATTGCGGTAGTCGGCAACCTGGCGTTTTAATCGGTCCTGCAACAAAACGACATCAGTCTCTATTCCTGGACGCGATAGCATTGTCATGGACGTACTGTCAGATCAAGGACTTCCTTCTTCTTCGCCTCCAACTCTTTCTGCACTGGGTCGTCCTTTGCTGCATCACCCTCTTGCGCCTTGTTACCCTCCGATTCCTCCTTTAGCATTTCTTCCTCCTTCTTTTCAGACTCCTCCTTGGACGAATACCATCTTCGCGACGGGACTTGTTGCGATGCGATGGGCGCAACTCTGAATTTGGAGGCGGAGAAAGGTGTGCTGGTCACTCTCCATGCCCGTAGTGTTTGCGGTTGTCTGGCGAGAGATTGTAGTGATCGAGCGAACCGTTGCTGTAGCATTTTCGTAGCACTTAGGAAGTATGAGAGGGTGTCGTGCGATGGCAACCGAGCCGCGAGTTTTGGAGAGAGGATGGAGCTCGCACGATGCCGTCAACTTTTTTGAGAGGATTCGCCCCAGCCAGCTCGAGCTCGGGCCTCTTCGGGCGATGTCGCGTGCTCTGACACTTTAGTGCATTTCGACGACATGTATCTTCATGCTTCTGCCACTTTCCTGCACATGCGTGACATTTCAACACCGCGAGGTCACGAGAAAGATGAAGCTACTTTATTGTCTTTGATAGTGGAAGCTGTGCTTGTAGAGATTTTAATCATGTACATCCGTCTAATCAGACTCTAGTAGTACGCTATCATCCACCAACGTCAAGGAACGAGCCAGGACTACTCATTTCGTGCTGCCCTCCACTATCGCAGTGTGCAGAAGGAGCCCGTCTTTGCTGTCCACCTCGAGATCGACTCCGTGGGCAATAAAGTACACCGCACCTTCGTGAAGGGGGTAACTCTTGCCGCCGGCCAGCAGTGTTCCACTGCCTCTTGTCGCTAACAGAATGCTAGGTCCACCAGCAGCACCCAACGTCTCCTGATCCCCTGGTCCGAGTTCTGTCTGCAGCATGTCAAATTCACTCATCGGCGGTGCGTAGATCTGCGTCTTGCCATTCTTTCCGCGTTCGTAAAGCTTCGGCTTCAGCATGCACTCTTCAGCAGAGTGAGGCGTAAAAGTAAGACATTCGACGAAGAGGTCGATGTTGCTCCGGTCTGCTCGTGGACAAAAGCCGGTGTTGAGAACATTGTTGCTACGGGCCATGCACTCGATAATGTCGCCTGCGAGGTAGGCATGGATGCCATCGGCTGGGATGTAGATACTATCCCCGGGTTGTAGAACCAGGTAGTTCATAGTAACAAGAGCTACCAGAATTCCAGGGTCGGTCTCGCCATACTGATCTGCTAGCCTTGGCGCGAGCTTCGGGATGTGGTTGTATTTGCCAAACTTCGACTCGGGCAGTTTGGTCAATCCATTATATACATCCCGAACGGTGTCTTGCTCCGCAAGCAGCATCTCGCGTACGACAGCTCTGAGCTGCTCGTTGCTGAAGTCGCTGAGCTGTTTCTGTTGTACAAAACGCTGCAGCGGCTCAAGCTTAAGCAGCTCGGCGATGTCGGCAAGTGGATTGAAGCCGCAGAAAGCCTCGAACTTACTCAGGGCAAGGGCAATCTCGGGCTTGTGGTTTGGGTCCGTGAAAGCATCGGGCTTCTGTTGGTGGAGCTTTGCCGAACGCTCCTTGTCCGGATGAAGTTGGAGAGGCAGTGCTTTTGCTATCGAGAGGACCTTGGGTAGGTAGGGCAGTTTGGAGTGGCCGAATTTCTTGATGGTCTCCTCGCCGATGAGGTCCTTCGGATATCGATCGAGAACGTCCTGGAGATCTTCGCCGCTATCCTCTACGTAGGAGGGCAGCACGGGATACGTGCCCATCCACATCTCAGCGTATGGCTTGCTTTCGTCGATCTTGAACTTGGTGCCGGGACCATCGCCATCCCAGCCCTGCTGGTTCTGACAGAGTCTGGCGGAGATAGACTCGGAGCCCGTCTTCCCCCATGGGTATTGGTTGCAGGAACAGAGCAATTTGTAGACCGATTCTACCTTGGTGGCCATCTTGCTGCGTGCTTTAGTTCGATGTTGTGGCTACGAAAGTCGAGGATGGATTTCTGCAGTTGCAGAGTCAAAGAATGGACGTGCAGTCTAATACCTTAATGCTTCCTGTGTCTGGCGACATCGAAGCGCAACCATGACGGCTCTCCAACGTCATGAAGACGATTTCCGGTTGCCCGCTCAGGAGCCCACGGCGTCTCGTCAGCGATTGCTAATCACATACCTGAGCGCGAGAATTGAACATTCGCCAAGATAACGCATTGAGAATGCGTGGGAGCTCCTACACGTAGACCGCCCTGTACCGCGACGCAACGCGTGAAAGGCAAAGCGCGTCTCATCCGCGGCGTTTAGGCCGTCACATCGTATGTTGTGAGGAGCCGAGCGAGCTTGACGCTCCAAGGGCGGACAGTTCGCCCACCGCATAACTTCCATGTCGGGCACGTCTCTCACCCGGAAAGACCTGCGACTTGCGTAAAGAGTTTCATCGCACTTGCACTTCCAGGACGGTGAGGTTTGTGAGGCGCTCGGGCCTCCCGCAGTGAGCCGAGAGTCTGCCGGCCACATATCGATATCTAACCGGACGTGCGGAAATTTGTCCCTTGAATTGCCAACGCACAAGACGAACTTCTCTGCCCATTTCGAGCACACAACCCAGAACGACAAAGTGGCGTCTCTCGCTTTCCGCTTCAAGGCCGGCGGCGACGGCTGCAAAGGCGCCTCCATGGCTCAAACCCAACACCATCACCGCTCCACGACGAAGACGGCCAACAAGCCCTTCAAGGCCCGCCACGCATCGAAATCCTCCCTCAAGAACCAAGCAAAGGGAAAAGTCGAAGATTGGGAGAGGGGCACCCGCAAGACTCCTCATCAGCAGGTGATGTCGAAGCTGGATAGGCGTAACCGGGCAAAGCAGCTTCGGGTGAATCACAATGCAGAGAGGGAGGAGAAGGCCTCGGTCTTCGCAGGCAGGGACGGGGCTCCTCGAATAGTTTCTGTCGTGCCGCTGTGTCAGGACATTACGCTGCACGAAGTATTGAACTCTTTGAATGCAAGCGTCGACGTTGAGGAAGAGGTGTCACAACAATCTCACTCGTCGAGAGTCGAAATTCCACGGTTCAAGCAGAGAGTCCACTACCTGACTCCAGCACGAGACCTGATACAGACCCTGGACGCTTGCAGGACCGCGGACTTCGTGTTGTTTGTCTTGAGCGCAAACGAGGAGGTCGATTCGCTTGGGGAACAGATGCTGCGATGTATCGAGTCCCAAGGAGTTTCCACTGTCCTGACGGGCGTTTACGGCTTAGACAAAGTCGAGCCGGCCAAGAAGAGGCCAGATGTCGTGAAAAGCCTCAAGAGCTTCATTGCGCACTTCTTCGCCGCCCAGGAAAAAGTCCACGACCTCAGCAGCAGACAGGATTGCAGCAATGTCATGCGTAGCTTATGCACGACGATGCCAAAGGGCATTCGATGGCGAGAGGATCGTAGTTGGATGTTGTTGGAAGACTGTGCATTCGATGGTGACCATGCGATTGTCACTGGAGTAGTGAGAGGCAAGGGGCTGAAGGCCGATCGTTTGGTGCAGATCGGAGATTGGGGTGATTTACAAATCGACAAGATTACTGCGGCACCTGCGCAGACCCGATCGAGACGAGCCAAGGTAGATGAAATGACAGTTGATGCTCCAGATGGCGAGAAGGTCCTGGACAGTCCGACGGAAGAACAGGACGACCTTGCCGAGCTTGCTCCGGAAGAAGCCATCATGGAGGACATAGCCGCTACCTCTATCGCACCCTCAGAGCGCAAAGCAGTGTTACTGGACGATCATCACTATTTTGACGAAGACGACAGGAACCAGCTGCCGGCCCCTAAGCGGCTGCCTAAAGGTACAAGCAAATATCAAGCTGCATGGTATCTAGGAGACGTGTCAGATTCTGGGTCGGATCTTGAAGATGTGGATGACGAAGACGACGATGATATGGACTTTGATGGTTCGGTGGCAGCAGGACCTGCAGACGGCCATTTTGACGATGTGATGAGAGAACCTACTGAAGCCGGTGCTCCTTCTGAGTATCCGCAAAGCGAAGCATTCGGTGATCACGCTCCAGAAGATGAGGCAGATCAGATCGAGGCATATCGTCAGCAGCGACGTGATGAGGCTGAAGATGATCTCGAGTTCCCGGATGAAATTGAATTGCATCCCGGCGTGAACGCGCGAGAGCGCTTGGCGCGTTATCGAGGTCTTAAAAGCTTACGAACAAGCCATTGGGAGACTGAAGAGGACAAGCCATACGAGCCTGACGAGTGGACTCGCTTGCTGGAAATCGCAGACTACAAATCAGCAAAGAATCGTGTGTTGAAGGAAGCCTTGCATGGCGGTGTAAAGCCTGGCACCAGGGTCCACGTTCACTTGCGCATTCCGGAAGGTCGTTTGAATGAACTTCACAGCCTTCCTCGACCAACCGCACTCTTCTCGCTACTCCGCCACGAACACAAACGCACCGCAGTGAACGTCTCCCTGACACTGTCATCGGATTATCCGGCACCACTCAAGAGTAAAGAGGAGCTCATTCTGCAGTGTGGTCCGCGGAGGCTCGTGATCAATCCTCTGTTCAGCCAGGCTGGCAACACACCTAACAATGTGCATAAGTTTGACCGGTACATGCACCCTGGCCGGACTGCGGTTGCTACGTTCATTGGTCCTGTTACGTGGGGAAGTGTCCCATGCCTTTTTTTCAAACCCTCAACGCCGCGAGCCCCGATCGATGCCATTGAAGACCTTGCGGCCTCACTAGCGCCCTCGAAGGAGCCGGCTCTTGGGCTTATCGCCACCGGAACCACCTTACCGCCATCCACACAGCGCATAATTGCGAAGCGAATCATATTGGCGGGTCATCCGTACAAGATTCACAAGAAGCTTGTCACAGTTCGTTACATGTTTTTCAGCGCGGAAGACGTTCAATATTTCCGGGCACTGCAGCTGTGGACCAAACGGGGCAGAAGCGGTTTCATCAAAGAGACATTGGGAACTCACGGATACTTCAAGGCTACGTTTGACGGCAAGGTCAATCCTCTGGATGCCGTGGCGGTCAGCTTGTACAAGAGAGTGTGGCCGCGGCAAGCTCGATCTTGGAATTCTCAGCGTAATGGTGATTCCGACGAGGCGCCACAACTCGTCAGCGCTCAGGCAGGCGATGGGATGGTCGAGTAAAAGCTCGGTGATGAATTGATGTCTGCAAAGGCTATATTGAGTAGCAATGAGGAGGTGGTGTCCCTTTGTTCGACCCCATGAAAGACTCTCATCGAAACGTAGCGACCGATTTCAAGTCATATCGGCCATTTTCCGCATCCCTGGCTTCTCATTTCCATCCGCCAATTTCGATTCGCATGTCGACTTCAAACAACACTCTTCATCTGATCCCTCTCGTCATCTCAACGCAGTCTTAGTCAGCTTCGGACACATTGCTTTCACGTCTCCGATGGACATCGATTGCCATTTCAGTGAACGCTGTCCTCCAGCTTCCGCAGCATCTTCTCGACATCCCTGATCGGCGAAGAGCGCGGACTGACATATTCTCCGCAGGAATCGCGCTTCACCGCGCTGCATCCCGGCTGCCAACCCATGAAGACGCCGGGCTTGCAGGATGGCGGAGAGGCGAATGCACAGCTCTACAATTTAAAATGACCAGTCAGCCAATGCTCTCAACCCAGCGCGTGGATCAAAGTCTCGATACCTTGCAGTAAGCGCAGTGAGCCGTCTCACACTGCTCGACGTAGAGCGGGCGTGGAGCAAGCAAACTGCCGTAGATTTGGCTCTCATTGCCAGGGGAAGAAGCCGCGTGCTGGACGACGCGGGCTCCATAGCCGATCGGAGGGCCCTTGTAGGTGACGGGGCTGTTGTCGTCCGGTTCGGAGGTGAGGAGGAGGGTCTGCACACAGTTAGCATGATGCCTCGCCGCGAGAGAGAGAGAGAGAGAAGAGAGGCAAAAATATATATACCTGGTAGTCACGATGCATTTCGAATGTCTGTCTCCGTGGCGGAATTCTCGGATGTGGTTGGCTTGGAGCTGAGTAATGGCTTGGGAGGTGACACTGGTTGCAAGATGTAGAGGTCGATCGGAGATGGAAGGTTTGCACAACAAGGACGGAGAGAGTAGACGACGGCGCTTGAAAGGTATATGTAGTTCACTTTCATCTTGCCTCCTGTTGTGAGAGATGGTTGTCCTCATCTTATTGTCCTCATCGATCGAACATGCATGAACAGGTGAATAGCATTACACAATGGTAAGACCATGCTCGAGACAATAAGATGTCAGCAAGCCGTCCTCACAATGACGAAAGCCTTGCAACAATAGCGTGAAGGTCTCAGCTTTTGCCAAGGCGGCGCTAGTCCCCCATTTTCCATGTGAAGTCACCTGATTGAACTGTGTCAGAGGAAAATGGATTTGTTTGCTATGATACATCGTTAAAGCGTAACAAATGTACATCGAAATCTTAGAATCTCATCACAGAATTTTCAAGCGATCCGAAAGAACTACTTTGACTCATTCTGCTTCCTCAGCTCCTGTGCATCGGCTTCTTCCTCCATGTCACGCGGTCCGAAACCGCCCCATCCATCAAACTCGTCCGCCATCTTCACAGCGGCTTTGAGGTAGAATTGGTTCGCGTCTCCCCATGTCTTGCTTGCCTCATGCATCGAGCGCAGGGACTTGACATAATGTGCGTCCGTTCGGTATTTGCCCTGGACTGCCTTCTCCGTCACGTATTTCCAGTCGCGGCCCTCGAGTTCCACCAGCTTGATTTTATCGATGTTGATCCTCGGGCGTAGCTGAGCAATGTATACAAGCAATGTGAACAGCCACCATTGCCGAACGAGCGAGATGTGGTATTTGTTCGGTAACGAGGGTAAAAGTATCCGGACAGCGTGAGAGCTTGTCAGCAGGTGTACAGCGAAGAAGTCGTAGCGCTTATCGTCTTTCTTTCGAGACTGCGCTGCCACGAGAAGCGCCACTGCTAGTTTCTGGGATTCAGCGAACTGTTCTCGCGGCTTCTTGAGTTCCCACGAATTCCAATATTGCAGCGCCGTCGATGCGAGCTCCTCATCGCCGAGAATCTTGTCAATATTGTCGCTCCCCAAGTGATCAGATAGATTATCGAACTTTTGATCCTCGGCGACTCTACTCAGGATGCTAAACAGTGAGTCGGAAGGATTCGGAGCCGGCTTTGTGTACTTTGGATCGTCAAGGAAGACGTGCCAGTCGTTGTAGAAGCAAGCTGCGAGACCCAACGCCTCAGTGGCAACTGTGCGGGATGAGAGCTCATGCGCATAGCCGAGATGTATGAGGGGATGCGCAAGGCCGGATATCAGATTGTTTATGAGCGGCTCTCTGCCAGAGAGGAGAAATTCATCCAACAACGCGTGCCAGTCGTAGCCGTGTTGTACCAGTTGGTCTTCGAAGAAGTCAATGAAAGCTCGTTGATACCTGGTACTCACGATTAGCTTTGATCTGCCAGAGATGCCCGTCGCATGTTGTCTCTAAGATGAAATCCGGGCTTCCGTGACCGTGAAGGACTCCCCTCGTCTAATAGACCAAAGCTCTTGAAAGCAGTCACAGTTGTACCGCACAATGCAGAAAAGGCGCCCACATACTCTCTCTTGCCCAAGAATTCCCTCCAATCGTGACTTGCTATCTCGCCCGGACTGTCCCTCCAAGGCTCCAAGCTCTTGCTCTCGTCCTCGTAGATTCCGGTCAACTCGTCGGCATCGGCGCCTAGGATATACGCCGAGCCGAGAATGTGAGGCGTGTGATTATGGAATCGGAGCTTGTTGTAGATGATGCTGTGGTTGATGTGGTTCGCCTTGAGTAGGTGTTTCAATGTTCTCGCGCGCTTCTCGGGTCGCTCTTCGACGTCGTGGAGCGCGGCTTTGGGGATCTGGATGCCTCCCTGGAAGAGATTCCCCAATGATGGCAGCTGAGGGAGTCTGAATTGGAACATGCTAGTCGTCGTGCTCAATCAGTAGGAATCGGTAGGTACATCTGTGTTGAGACATAACAAGAGAGCAATCCGCTGAGGCTGACCATCTCCATCATTGTATTGACGTCGTTCTCGCTCTCGTGAAGCTCTCCCCGCAGTGGATCTCAGGCACGTGGGATATACCGAAGAAGCGCCGACCCGTGCGCGTGAAATAGTCATTCACCAACTTCAGGTTCACATGCCAAACTTCAACAGACCGTCGACAACCGGCAACGCCACTGTGAGAGACATGGCTGGACCACCTAAGAAGCGACAACGACGCGAAGAGCGGCCAGATGGAGAGCTGCCTCAGAAGAAATACTATCGGCAACGAGCGCATGCGAATCCATTCTCGGATCATGACTTGACATAGTAAGTCAAAACCGAATCGCCTTCTTCGCCACATGCAACCCGTCTAAATTAATTCCCACACATAGCCCAGAATCGCCCGAAGCGATGGATTGGAGTCTACACTTCCCAGCATATCCCGACAAACGCGTAACCGTCGCGGACATTGGTTGTGGGTTTGGCGGGCTCCTGTTCGCCTTGGCACCGCGACTGCCGGATCAACTCCTCCTGGGCATGGTACGTCAAGCCCCCTTCCCCGACGACGACATGCCACGAAAAACCAAAGGAACAAGACATCCATCTCTGCTTTGCTATCCAAGCCCCCCCACGACATGGCATGTTCGTCGTCGAATCTCCCTCCCTCACAACGAACACAAAAAAGAAAATCCCCTTTTCCTAACGAACCCCATCTCACTCACCCCTCCCCACTTTCAACAGGAAATCCGCACATCCGTAACCTCCTTCGTGCAAGAAAAAATCAAAGCCCTTCGGACCCAACATTCCACCACCACCACCACAAGCATCAACCCTCCACCACCACCACCACCACCAACAACAACAACAACAACAACCTCCCCCTCCCCCTCCCTCCACGACTCCAACTTCAACTCCTCCTATCAAAACATCTCCTGCCTGCGCGCCAACAGCATGAAATTCCTCCCCAACTTCTTCCCCAAAGCCTCCCTGCGCAAGATCTTCCTCTGCTTCCCGGACCCGCACTTCAAAGCGCGCAAACACAAGGCCCGCATCGTCTCGACGACGCTCAATGCGGAATATGCCTATGTCCTGCAGCCCGGAGGGATGGTGTATACCATTACGGATGTGGAGGATCTGCATCGGTGGATGGTGGAGCATCTGCGGGGGCATCCGAGTTTCGAGCGGGTTGGGGAGGAGGAGGTCGAGGCGGATGAGTGTGTGCGTGTCATGCGGACGGAGACGGAAGAGGGCAAGAAGGTCGAGCGGAATGGGGGGAAGAAATTCGTCGCGGTTTTCAGGAGGGTGCAGGATCCCTCGTGGCCTTGAAAATTACTCTCGTGGGGTGGTCTCTAGATGCAATGCCATCAGTCTCACGAATGGAAAGATTGGAAGAAATGGCAAAAGATTACGATGCGGATGCTTCTCATGAGAGTCCTGCGAATATCGTATATATATATATATATATATGTTTCGTTGAATCCTAATTCTTGCCTCTCGGTCCAAGAGGAGGTCCCGATCACCCATTATGCTGTCTGCTTCCAGCTTAATTCCAGTCCAGTACCCCATGCGCGCGTGCCCGGCTTCAACAACGCAACATACTGTACAAATTTCTTCGTCATCAAGCGTGTCCATATTCGAGCCCTCAATAGATCCTTCTTTTTGGCAGGTCCCATGCATTACACACACGTAACGACACTCATGTCGTCAATTTTTTGGTATCCCGCATTTCATTAATCCCAGACCGCTAATCCCACACGAAAATGAAATATTAGATGGTGCGTGGCAAGCCCTCAACTCACACTCGGGCTGCCCTAGATTGTAACGCCGACCTTACTCCGCCGTCTTCCCAAAACACATTATACTCAGAGGTGTGGTGTACAATGTGTTCATGAACTGGACGCCGCACTGGATGGGCTGCTGTTTGCGGTGCCGTTCTTGGCCTCTTGACCCTTTTTCACCTTTTCCTTTCCGAAATGCTCCGGGCCTTGGTTGGCGAAGGTATAGTTCTTCGGACCGGAGTCAGCGGGAACTTTCCGTTGCGTGGCAGATCGCTTCATGTCGTGTGGAGGGGTATATTCGTGGACAAAGAATTCCGTCACGGGCTGCGATTGTTGCTTGGGCATCTGGGCAGTGATCTGCTGCGCGCCTGCGGTAATACTGTTGTGGGCCATGAAGTTGTATTGACCTCCTTGAGATTGAGCCTGGTGGAGATTCTGGACTCGAGGTGGCGTATGCTGGACGAACTGCATCTGTGGTGGAAATGCCATTGTCAATTGGCCCTGGGCATTCACGACCGGAACGCCATTGGCAAACTGCATGGGCATTTGCTGCTGTGCCTCTGATGTCGGAACGGCAAAGCCCTGTGCAGAACGGTAGGCAGGAATTCGAAACTGCTGCTCGGCCATGGACACATTCATGAACTGCTGCTGCGATTGCGAAGGCATGCATGACGGTGCTTGCTGTGATTGCGTCGATGCTGGGTGCTGTTGCGAAAGCATGAACACATCCGCCGGAAACGATTGCTGTACGGCAGGGGCAGACTGAGGCGGAGTGTTCTCCGTGATAACATTATTTCCCACGCGCGCGGATGCAAGATTTTGCGGATATTGCTGATGGTGATGGTACATGGGGGTGTGAGGCGGCGATGATGCGTTTTGTTGCTGTTGCATGGATCCGTTCGACATCACGGGCACCTGGTGCTCCGCATCTGTCTCGCTGATACTTGCCTGACGGCTAAAATGGCCATTGGATTGCCAGGGCGGGAAGTGCGATCTGGCGTGTTCCGGTGCAGGCATAGGCAGCTCGTTGGGCGACATTGGTGTTGGTGGGGCGAGATTGTTGACAGATGGTGTCGAGGCGTGGCGCACTGCCTCTGGCGAATTCATTGCATCTGCAAAAGTCCAGCTCAGGGGCGAGCGCTGTGCGGAGCCGGGTATACTTTTCATGACGCGGCCCTGCGCTACACCATTGATTACATTAGATGAACGTATGCGACGTAGCTGTTGGGCGGGCGCGAGGTTCTGTGCAGCGTGGCTTGGGGAGGCAGGCTGAACCGCACCACTGTAGGATTGGCTGCGTAGAGACGCTAGTCCAAGAGCTGCGGGTCGCGGCCTCTGTCGTCTGGCTGCGATGCCGCCATTAGCCTCCCCTGGAGGAGCGGGGCATTCGAAGGTCGCTGTCTGCTGTGGTTGGGGTGTCTGGATTGCGAAGCCGCTCATCTGCTGTGCTAACATGGTGCCACTTTGCGAATCCCGTCGCACGAACGCCTCGTCGGCGGGCCAGGCTAGAGGCTGTTCCGACTGTGGCCGATGGGCCTGTTGTTGCGCCTGCCATTGCGCGTCGCGAAACTGCTGCTGCAAATCGCTTGGGTCGACCGGAATGGATTGCCCAGGCTGCCACTGAGACGTAGTGATGGCGGGTTGTTGCGGCGCAGCTGATGCTTGCTGATAAGTTGCGGAGTCCTGGCTGGGGGCGAGCGAGACCGAGGAGCTCCGACTTTCTGCCCACTCGGAGGATGTCGCAGACAGTGTGGCCGGCTCTTGCATCGACGTCGAAGATGGAAACATGGACTGCTCGGAGATGGTCGAGGGAACACTAGAGTCGTTGCTTGACAGTGGAGCTCCGATTGGCGCCGGAAAGGCAAAGGTGTCGTGTGATTTGAAATCGCCATTCTGCACGTCCGGGAAGACCTGATGCAAGACATCTGCGTCTCCCGAAAAGCCTTGTTGCAGCGGATCGAATTGACCCGATTGCATCATGCCACCATTCTGCGCAAACGCGTCAAACTGCTCCTGCGTGAGTGTCCTCCGATTCATATCCTGAGGACTATCGAACAGATCGGCGGAGAGCTGCTGCGACAGATGGGAATTGTCGAATTGATCGGTGGAGGACGGGGTGGAGCTGTAGGGCGGGCCATTGGGTGGTTGTTGTTGCTGCTGCTGCTGCTGCTGCTGCTGCTGCTGCTGCTGCTGCTCCGTGTATTGCGACATGTCGCTCATGCCAATGTCCTGATCGTCGGCGCCGGTGCATTGCTGCATCATGGAATAGTAGTCGGGAGAGGTGAACGCGGGGGAGGATTCGGAATCGGATGTCAGGCTGAAGGAGCCATTTTGCTTCTGGGCAAAGAGGTTGTATGCGCCGGCCTGTTTCTTCGCATCTTGTTTCGCCTTGGCACGTCGGTTCTGGAACCAATTCTACGGGCGACTGGTCAGCCGCAGCTGGGTGCAGGAGAGAGGGGGGAATTCATGGGACGGATCAGCGGCTCTCTCGGGTGCACTTACATTGACCTTGTCGAGCGAGACGTTGAGCGACTCTGCGAAACCCTTCTTGGTGTTGGTGTTGGGCTTGCTCTGTTTCTGGTAGTGGGACTCGAGGATGTCGTGCTGCTCCTTGGTGAGGCGCGGCTTGATGTCGCAAGACATGTGGTGCGGCGGGGGCACGTTGGGATTGTAGTAGGCAGACGGCGCGGCAGCGTCATGCAAGGAAGGGTTCACGAATTGCGGCGGGTGCTGATGGTGGTGCTGGTGTTGATGCTGAGGCGGGTGCTGATGTGGCTGCTGGAGGTGGTGAGGGCCGGCATGGAGATCAAGGTAGGAGGGCGGGTCGGCGGCGGCGGCGTCGTGAAAGAAGTTGAGGGAAGCGGCATCGTAGGCCATGTCGGACGGCGTCTGGTGCGAGCCAAGCTACCTACCTTTGCGGTGGTCGGGGTTGGGGTTCGGGGTCGCGGTCGGGGTCGCGGCTGGCTGTGCAGGCGGTAGGAGGGAGGGTTGCAAGGCTGAGGAGGAGTCTCCGCTGCCTTCCCAGCAGGACCGGGCTGGCTCACAAGCCGGCTGGGCAGCGTAGCACAGCGCAGCGCGCAAGAGAGAGGGTGAGGGTGAGGGTGAGCGGAGGGTGAGCGCCGGGCTGGATGCTGGGTGCTGTATGCTGGATACCGTATGCTGGATACCGTATGCTGGATACTACTGTGCGCTGGATGCTGGATGCTGGATGCTGGCTGTAGCCTGTCGTGATGCTCTAGGTGGCCCGTCGCAGGTCGTCGACGATGCGCGGCCAGGTCAGGTCAGCCCAGCAGCGGGCCCAGACTCCGCGGAAGCAAGCGAGAGACTTGCCGTTGTCGATGGGCCGGGGCGAGGAGGGGGACGGGGTGCAGGCGACGAGGGAAACGAGTGGAGCGGCGGCAGGCGAGGAGTGCGGAGTAGCGAGCGTGGGTGGCGAGGGGAGGTGAGGTGAGGTGAGGTGAGAGGAGGTAAAGTGAGGTGAGGTGAGGTGAAGGGAGTGAGGAAGTGGATGGAAGCGGAGAGTGTGAGAGATGGAGGGAAGTGGTAGGAATAGGCTAGTGAGAGGTAGGAGAGGTGGTAGGTAGTGTCGCGACGAAACGCAGCAGTATAGCAGTAGCAGTAGCAGTAGCGGGAGCGGTAGCGGTAGCGATAACAGTAGGTAGCGATAGTAGCAGCAGTAACAGTAGCAGTAAGGGTAGCAGTCGCAGTCGCAGTCGCAGTCGCAGTCGCCGTCGCCGTCGCAGCTGCTTACAGTAAGGTACCCACCGGGAGTCTTGCCGCTGTGCCGCTCCGTGTGTGCAGGGCAGGGTACAGTACAGTACAGGCGCCTCGCACAACAACGCAGCAGCACAGCACACAGGCAGCACACTTCGTCAGCGGGTACGGGCCATCTGCTCGCTCCTCATTGGCCGGCCACGCTCCTATCCTATTTTTACCCTGCTGCCATTTGCGATGCACGGAGAGATATCACGGATGCTACGCTACCTACTGAACACGTGCTCTGCGAAGCGAGAACTGCATCGCGAGAACATGTGCTCTGCGTGGCGAAATACGCGCTGCCCGTCCGCCTCGCACGCTTCGCTTCTTGTCTTGTTGCTGCTGCCAGCGCCGCGCCAGGAGCCGAAAAGGAGCCAGCAATTCCCGACTATAATAATAGCCAACTTCCTGCCCTGACTATGTATACCGGCACCGAGCGCGGCCTATCGACTATCGGGTTTAGCCTGAGATTGCCTAGGCCTTGAGATGGCTTGAGATGCGTCCCGTCCGGGGCTTGTCCCGCGGCGAGTCGGGAAGATCAACGCTGCTGATTTGGAACTACGCCCTCGCTTTGATGAGCATTGCATGATATAACATGATTGATGAAGATGAATGATGAACACGGATGATGAACAGTGAATCATGACGACCGCACGTCTACCGTACGTCCACTCCTCCTCCGTACTATCTACGCGCCCGGCGTCGTATACGGCACTCCGGGCACGGCACGCGGTGTCGCAGAGTGCGTCCTTGACATCATCTCTCCCGCTGGCGGGCCGACCGGCCGTCGCTTCTGACGCCAATCACACCATGTGCCGCCCGCCCTCAGCCCCGCGCATCGGCGAGAGGTGCGCCAAGTCGGCCCGCGCGGTGAGTCCAGCACCGCTCGTGCTGTCCGCTCGCTCCCCTCCTCTGTGCTCCAGCCAGCCGAGCCGCTGCAATGCAAATTGCAGTGTGCGTCGCCATGCGTGCCATGTCATCGGAACGCACACCGTGGCACGCCCGCATCACAGGAAATCTCCACGCACTTCGCTGTACAGTACACGTCGTGCTGCTGCCCTGTCTGCCCCGTCTGCCTCGCCCGAGATTGGCCGGTGCGACGCGAATTAGCCTTCCACCATGTTATGTCGTCGAAAAAGTAATGCTATCATCATACCACCCTCCCCAACATTCGAACCCCACCGCTGCCATCTCAACTCTGCACCAGGTACGTACCTGCTGGCCCAGATGGTACGTATGTATGTACTTGTACCCAGTAGTCTGTGGACAGAGTCCCCTGAACAGACTTTGTCCTGCCCCAGGTTGTTCCTTGCCCTTGCAGGAAGACACGGCCTCTCGGGATTGCCCACACACTTCCATCTGGTGCAACCGCGCCAAGATAGAACAACTCTCATCATCACACAGTCGTACAGCGAATCAAACATTCATCTTGCGCTTCCCTGATCAGTGCCGTCTCGAGGAATCCGTGCTCCTCCTCTGTCTGCTGGGAGCTGCAGACCCGACCTGCTGCATAGCTCAGGAGTGATAAGGGCTGATCATCATGTCGAGTCAGACCGACAGAGGCCGACTGCTGCACTCGGCAGCTTCCGACGCCGACACGCTGGAAGAACCGAGATATGCCAGGGATGCCGCTATCCGACCGTCCTTTCCGTGTTCCTACATGACGACGTCGGATGCAGTGTCGACACTTATACTCCCCAACATATAGCTGCGACCACACCACAATTCGAGTGAGGCGCATTCGCGTTTCGAGACCGACGTTGCTGAAACAGGAGCCACGGGACAAACTTGCTTGTCGACTGATCGGCGAGGACGCGCATGCGCCACTCCGACGATAACTTATCCACATGCGCAAAGCTGAGCGATATGGCTCTCCCGACCCTCCTTCGCGCGGGGTATGGAAGAGGTTTCCCTGGTGATCGTTATTTTCGAGATTGTGTCCACAATCGAGAACGCCTTCTGTCTTGCCCTGGCGAAGACCTGATGTCGGCAGCATCTTTCCTGTTCACGCTCCATCATGAGAGCTGAGCTGAGCTGAGCTGAGCTGAGCTGAGCTGCAATGGTTGTGGCGGAAGACAGGGTCATGAAGCATACGACACTGAAGACCTGGTTGATACGCGCAATCACGTGCAGCTGGCGGAAGTCTGGGAGCCAGCTTAGAGAGCTTCGACCTCGTGCTTCCAGGCCAGACGCCATTGGTTGCTCTGTCCTGCGTTGCCATGTCGGAGGCTTCAAAACCCTCCTCGTGCCCTCATGTCACGCACTCTTGACAAAGTGCGGACTCGATAAGCTGATGCTCTATGCTCGATTGATATCACCTGCTGCAATATCGCCCACCGCGACCCATTTCGAGTCCGATTCGCAAACGGTCGGAAGCAGTCTGGGCGACCGCAAGCATGCCGACTATGCAGTAGGTACTCTGAACGCGAGACGAGCCACTGAACACAATCTCACTGAGGCGCAACCAAAGAGATACTCGGGCGTCGCAGACCGAGGAGCAGCGACAGTACGAACAGAAGGTCCACGAGCAGCAAGATCTCAACAATTCGACCGAGGACCTCGAGAAGGACTTCCAGAGGATGGAAACGCACGATGGCGCGCCCAAGAAAGACAACATGTTCAAGAGAAAGTCCTCCGCTTTCTATCAGAAGGTCATCAAACCCGCATTCCCGGAGGCCATTACGGACATCAAGATCATGGGTGGCATGACAGCTCTGGAGACTCGCGTGGCGCACGAAATCAACGACCCGAAGATCTTTCCCGAGATTCAGAAAGTAGCAGAGGTCCGACGTGGTCTTGATCTTTGCCCGGAAGAGCAGGCTTTCCTCGCCAAAAGGAAAGTCACGGCGAGAGATAACTTTGCCAAGTATCTCGGCCTGAAACCCGAGGATGTGGATCCACAAGACGTCCCTACCGTCTCCTTTGGAGGAAGTGGCGGCGGGTTCAGAGCCATGATAGGAACCTTGGGCTACTGCGAGCAATTCAAGCGGAGTGGCCTGTGGGATTGCTTGAGCTATGTCTCCGGCGTTTCTGGAGCTTGCTGGTCACTGGCTGCATACTATACTATAGGGAAAGGCAGCATGCAAGCCGTGATCGACCACTGTAAGAAGCGCTTCCACCCATATCATCCTCTATCGGGCGACGCTATTAGGACTATCTTGAGCGCTCCTGGAGGCGCAAGAGTCACCGTAAGTGCCCATGTCCTTCCTACGACTTTTCCAATAATTTGTACGATCATTTTCAGCTAGGACCGCTCATCCAAAAGAGCAAAAGCGGACTCCAGACCGTAGCCATGGATCTTTACTCCGTCTTCACAACAGGATGGATCTTCTTCCAAGACGACCCGGCAAGCCATCCCGGAGGCCACGCCAACAACGAGGTCGCAGGCTTCCAGAAAACGTGGTATAGATTCTCAAGCGCGCGCGAATACACCGATAGCGGTCGTGAGCCATTGCCCATCATGACGGCTATCCGGCACGAAAGGCCCTGGAAAGACTGGGAAGACAAGGAGCACCCATTCAAAGAGCCAGACCACTCGACCGGAGACCACGCCGACGCTGCCGACGCGTGGTTTCAGTGGTTTGAGTTCACCCCCTATGAGGTCGGATGCGACGAGATTGAAGCCTGGGTGCCGACTTGGGGCTTTGGAAGACCTTTCAAGGAAGGAAAGTCCACAATGCAACTCCCGGAGCAATCTCTGGCTTTGCTCTTGGGCTTGGCGACGAGTGCTCCAGCTGGCCCTCTGACTTCGTACATCTCCACGATCAGCCGGAATCTCCCATCTGGCTTTCTGGGCAATTCGATTCGGAAAATGGCACATGCGGTGACCAAATTCTGGGGCAAAGAGGGCACAGAGGAGTTCCAGAACCACCATCCTCTTCACGCATGCAATGAGCAGTAAGTACGTGCCAGATCTGTCCGCTCTCTTCCGTCCAATGTTTTCTGACCAACCGCGCAGCAATTTCATGTACCAGTACACTCACGTATCTCCCGATGTCGGCCGCCCGCCTGGTCTCGAGAATTCTCCTCGAATCCACCTCATCGACTCGGGAATGGACAACAACTGCCCCACCTACGTCCTCCTACACCCGGCCCGCCAAGCCGACGTGATCATCAACATGGACGCCTCCAGCGACGTCCAAAAGGACACCTTCCCCGAACGCGTCGCCCAGATCGGTTCCCGCCGCGGCCTCCAATTCACACGCCGCCACCCGGATCTCAAACCCTCCGACGACGAACAGGACCCCGATCGCTTCCACGGCCTCTACGCTCAGATCTACGACGGCGTGCCGACCGAGCGGCCCGAGACGGTCGTGGACTCGTACGGACGCACGGTCAGGAATCCCCCCGCGCCCGTGTATGGGCGAGCGTGCACGATGATCTATATGCCGTTGTTGCCGAATGAGCGGGCCGTGAGGGATTTCGACCCCAGCACGGCCAAGTTCTCCGGGAGCTATAATCTGGTCTGGACGCCGGAGCAGGTGGATACGCTCGTCCAGGTGTGTATTGCCAACTATGAGGACGGGGAGAGGACGGTGAAGGAAGCTCTGCATGAGGCGTGGCAGAGGAAGAAGGCGGAGCGGGAAGGACGAGAGATGAAGTGTGGGAACGCGAATGGAGGAGCAGTGGGTGGGTTAAGCGTAAGGGGTTGACAGAATCCACTGTCTGCAGTCTTCTCTCTATTCTCTAAAAACCCAACGCTGCACACAAACGTTCCTGCTCGTAATCATGGCCGCGTCTATCTTCTATCCTCTATTCTAAGTCTATCGTTCGCTCGATGCGCTCCGAGAGGCCACAACACAACCAACCAACCCCTTTCTCGATCCCCTCATGCTGCCATCAACAACGCATCCCTGATCTCGATACTGACCCGTCCCGTCTCCGCATCCTTGCCCAAAAATCTCACGCTCCTCATGTCCCTCACAATCCAATCCGCCCCCGAAAGCCTCAACTCCTGGACAGCATGCGTCGTGGCCAGCGCAACCACCCTATACCCCGCCGCCTTGCCCGCGCGGATCCCACTCGGCGCATCCTCCAGCACCAAAATCTCGCCGCCGCGGCGACGACCACCACCACCACCACCATCACCATCACCATCACCACCCCCATCATCAAACCCCAACCGCCTCGCCCCCACCCGATAACATTCCGGATCCGGCTTCCCCCTGCTCACCTCCTCGGCGCTCACCAAATTCCCGGGCAACGCAAGCCGCATCCTCCCCAACCAGCCGGTCACCAGCGGCCTCGTGCCCGAAGTCACGATCGCCCAAGGCACTTTGGCGTCTTCCAATTGCTCCAGCAGCGCGCGACTGCCCGGAATTTCCGTGGCGTCGTCCCCATACGCGATCGGAATCCGGCCCTCGGCCGCGCAGACGTAGTCCCAAGTCGCGCGCTGCGGGGCCAGCAGCGCGAGCACGTCGATACTCCGACGGCCGTGGGAGGTTTTGAGGATTTCTTTGGAAAAACATTTCGTGTTAGTCGACGGTTGTTGTTGTTGTTGTTGTTGTTGTTGTTGTTCTTCTGGCTGTAGGAGGGAGGGAGACGAGCTGGGTTCTGGTAGGTAGGTAGGTGTATACGTACCATCGCCAGGGACGCCGATTTCCTCCCCAATCTGCTGCCAGTGCTTCACGATCGCGGCGGTCGAATCGATGATGGTGCCGTCCATGTCGAACAGCAGGGCCGCGAACTCATGCACCTGCGGCCCACCACCACATGTCAGTTCAGTTCAGTTCAGTTCAGTGGCGTCTCGATTGGAACAGAAAAGGTCTGTGTGTGTGTGTGTGTGTGTGTGTGTCCATTCCATTCCATTCCAAGCGGCCGGCGTGACCTTACCTCTGGCGGTGCAGAGAAATCGTTGTCTTCGTGATGATGAGGAGGCATGGTGAGATTTTTGGTTTTACGCACGCCCGGGCAGCAGCAACGTCTCAGACGGTCGGGCGTGTTGGCTGGGGTTTGTGATGGAAACGAGTTGAGGTGTCGTTGGAAAAATTTATAAGAGGTCGGCCGCAGGAGCGGAGGCGGGCCCCCCATTTCAGGTAAGCCGCTCTCGTCACATGGAAATGGCACGCGGACGACAAGTGAGGGAGGAAGGAAACTTTGCCATCGGTCTGCGCCATCTACTTGATGGCCTATCTACACGTCCAACGGCTTCCTTTCGTTGCACCCGAAGCACAAATCCCCATGCTCGGATCTTGCGATCCAAGACATCGAAAGTAATTGCCGCTTCGGTGGAAGGCCCATCTTTGAACTATAATCAAGGCACGCACGCAATAATGTCCCTCTGTGAAAGATACTCGGGTGGCTTTTTCCGCCTTCGTCGCTATGTCGCTATGCGAACACACCAAAAAGCCATTCGTAATTCACAAGTGTCGCAAAAAGAAGTGCGGGCAGTCTGAGATCGCTGCCGTCTCGGCCGTCCCAGCATCTGCCCACCACTAGCAAAATCAAGTTGGCCTCCAGCTCCGTCGCTTCGTGGGCAAGGCGACGCTCCTCGAGGAGTGAAGATCCCATGGGTACACAGTCGCCTTCCCGTCATTGGTGTCCGCCGAAGGCCATTTCACTCTGATCACTCATTCCGTCGAATCCATGAAACCGTACCGTCCATCCACACAGCCCCAGTCAGAAGTAGAGGATAGGAAGTTATCAATCGACCGTTCCCGAACGCCATCCCAGCAGCCATCCCGCCCAGATCTATGCTCGGTAATCGTCAATCAACAAGATAAGTGTAGAGTCGTGCTTTTGTTCGAGTGAGAAGTATGCCGCCTTTTCCTGAAATCAATGAACGCCAGTAACACCTCCACGCTGGCTAGAAAGCTGCAGTCCAAGCATCCATCGTCGTAGCAGCGATGCAAATGAAGACGTATTGGAGCGAAAAGAAAGAAGTTGGGCCACTGATGCACACATCGTCGCCAGATCTGCAGGGCCCGTCGGACAATGTCCCACTCAATGCACTCGGCCGTCTGGGAGTTGAAGTAGACTCATCGCGCGAGCCGTGCATGTCCAGGATCGTAGATCTGATTGCCTAGTCCCGGCAAGCGATGGTAATCTACGACTCCAGTCGGGCCTTCAGCTTCTCGTCCACAATGTCGGCCAACTTCTTGCGGTTCTTGAGGTTCAAAGCACCGTTGCGCCACGCCTGGCGAAGCTGCTTGAATGCAAGACCCTGCAGACTCGGCGGTTCGGCATTGACCAGGCTGACGTAGTCCTTTACGACCTGATCGCGGATGGGATTGCCACTCTCAAGGGCTTTGGCGTAGAACTGGACGAGATTCTGCAGTCCAACGACCGTGTGGCGATCCTGACCGTCGCTATGAGCGTATCCTTTGAACTCTCTGTACATCTTTCGATTGAAGTTCCTGATCAGGAAGTGAGACCAGAACTGGTAGAGAACGTCGAGGTCGTACGGGCAAGTGCCCGTGGCTGCCTCATGACGTTGGGAGAGAGCCTTATTCCGCAGCGAAACATACGACTCCAAGGTAGCATCTTGCGGGGGCTTCTCCTGAGGCATCTCCTTGTCTTTGACCCACAGAAGTGTTAGGTTAGAGCCCTGCAGGCCCTTCTCGGGGGAACGAGGAAGACTTGAGCTGGCGTGTCTGGACAAGATTGGGCTACCACCCTCGCCATTCGCGACAGTATCTCCGTTAAGACTTGGCTGCGGAATGGCGTCTGTAGACTTTTCGATCTCGCTGAAGATGCTCCGAGTGTCGATTGAGCCGTTGGAGAATGTGCGAGAAGCAACATGATGATGTGCAGGCCGCTGGGGCTGCGGCTTCACGACGACCGTGAGAGAGCTGGCGTGTTCATCCGGGAAGACGTCTGGCTCCAAGTCGGTCTCATCTGCGACTTCAGCCAGAGACTGATGTCCTGGCGGAACGCTGTTGTCGCGGAAGGGAGATTTGGTAGCGCGGCCTCGCACTTCTTCGCCGTTCGAGCTCTCGCCATAGGCAGCCTCCGGGAGCGGCGAGAACGGTGCGAATGAAGGCATAGCTCCGTTCATGTGATAGCCGGAGTCATAAGATCTGCGCTGGGATCCTGAAGGGCCGGCCGAGGGAAGTCCGCGCATGCTCGGCGATGGATGGAAGAATTGTACATGTGGCTGCTCGGGCTGGCGCAATTCTTTGGGACCAGCGTTCTGTGCAGTTGGCTCACGTTGCTCAAGTGGCAAAAGGAACTGTTCCCAGCCGGTGAGAGGCCGCAGACGCTCTTTACCATCCTCGCCGACGCGGATCTCAATGTTCTCAGACTTCAAGCAGACAGACCTTAGGAGGTCCTTGTCCACAGTCAGCTGCTTGATGCGATTGAAGTTCGCAATCACATCAAGAAAGACAAACCCTTGAGAGTCCATGTTCTTGCGTAAGAACAAATCCTTCAGCAAGTTGTCCAGGGAGAAATAGTACTCCAGCTGGGCGGACACTGCGTCAACTAGAAGTTGATGATCTCCCATGGGAGGGTATGGCATGCCAGAGATTGGCATACCATTGTACTCCACCATGCCTGGATAATACGGGGCCACAGGTGCAAGCTGTTGAGGCCAGAATGGCGCAGCGCGACCGCCGAACGCATTGTCAATGGGGATTGATTGTGAACGCGGGTTGCCTCGCCAACCTCCGCGACCTTGCTGACTAAAGTTGAATCCACGGGGTGTCGAGTACGCACTCGGTGACTGCGAGAATCCTCCGTATCCTGAGAAATCAGAGTGGCCGTTGGGGAAGGGCTGGCTAGCCTGATGAGCGTTGCTGTACTCTCGTGAACCTCCCCGTCCGCGGCCGCCGCGCTTGGCACCGCGAGACGAGCCGTTCCATTCCTTGCCATTGAAGCCGTCATAGCCTTTCTTGCCATCAGAAGGTCCTCGCTTAGCACTGAGATTCTCTTTTGAGACTTCGCCGCCTTCATGAGCTTCGTCGGTCTGGCTTGTGGATGATGCTTGGCGTGCGGTTGGTTCAGAGATTTTGAGGTCTTGACGGTCGTCGGATAACGATGATTCCATCTTGACGGGTGATTTCGTCCGGCGCGCGCCTGCAGCTCCAGCCCCTGCGCTTGAGTCATCTCGGGTCATGGCACCGTTCTTCACGTCCTTGCCTGGGCGCTCAATTGAACCCTGCTCGCGCGGACCGCGAGCTTCACGTGCTTCGCTTGCACTAGACTGTCGGAACGGCTTGGCGGGCGGTGGCATGTTTTCGCGGTCAACGGTTGCGGATCGACCACGCTGACCTGTCGGCGTACCATTCTCGCCTTCGCTCTGGGACCCATTGTTTCTGCCGGACCGATCGCCACCTTTCGATCCATTCTGACCCCCACGGAAGCCGCCCCTACCGCGAGAAGAATTGCCACCGCGGCCACCTCTGTCACCTGCCTGTCGCGGCGGCCGATTCATCTCTTCGGTCTGCCAAACGATGGTAGGCGTGACCGGAATCGGCTTCCACTTCGTTTTTTGATGCGGTTTCGCGCCAGATGCACTCTCGGCGTCGCCATTCTCCTCGGCATCTTTTGATTCCTTCTCCGCAGATGTTTCTTTTCGCTCCTTTTCCTGCGCACTTTCGGGTGTAGGCCACGAAATCTCATCCTTGACAGATGGTGGCGCTGCAGCCAGGTTGGGCAAACTCTGATGCTCACGAGGCAGCGCTTTATTGGACGTAGCCGACGTCGAGTCTTCTGTTGCTGGGCTTGAGTCTTCAAAACTTGCGTTCGTAGTCTTGGTGCGCTTACCTTGGGAGCCATTCGACTTCTTCCTTTCGCCTCCGACAGTGTTCCGCGGCTCTGGCTCGCGAGAAACGCTCGTTACCGAGTTCGCTTTCCTTCTGGAGTCGGCTCGTGGGCGTTGATTCTCATTTGGAGACACTGACGTAGAAGCTGTTGCAGAGGGCTTTGGTACTTGCTGAGGAGAAGTGGAGGCCGGCTTGCACTTGGAATCCTCTAGACGCTTTGCCCAAATGTTGAATGCAGGTGGTGGAGCTTCCTGCAGGACCACAGGCTTCTGTGGCGGTTGCGGCAATGCAGGTCCATCTGAATCCTTTGAATCCTTAGACTCTCTGGGCTCTTTGGACTCCTTGGACTCCTTGGACTCGCTTGACTCTTTCTTGCCCCGCTTGCCTCTGCCCTCCTCTGTGGATGGGTTGCTCTGGCGCTCCTTGCGCTCGGCAATCCACGCTGGCTCGGAGGATTGTGACTTGGTGTCCCAAGTGGTGTCCGAAGACGAAGTGCCGCTTGGCGCTGAAGACGAATCATCGGTATTAGTAGTGGTGCTCGATGCGGCTGTGAGGTCTGGTGATGATACTCCTGACGAACCATTTTGGGGTCTGCTCTCGGACTTGGCCCGCTCCACGGCGCTATCCTTGGCCTGTGTAGGCTTGCTCTGCTCCTGGGTTGCTTTACGCGAATCTGACGGCTTCTCTCCGACTGTGGCCTCGACATCGTCGGCCCAATTGCTACTGGGTCCGAGGTCGGAGAAGCCGCCGGTCGCCGGGGTCGCTGTGCCTGAGGTGACCTTGCTCGAAGGTGTTTGGGACGCTGTCGTCGAGGCCTGACCGCGAGCGGCCTGGGCGTAGGAGAAGCCGCTTGGGCTGGAATTGAGGGCAGCCATTGATGCTGAGATGTGCTGTGGCGTGGATGCCCTTGGCCGTCACAGCACCCGTTGGCGGGTTTGCCCACTCGGGCGAGTTCCAATATGGTCCAGCAGGCGACGCTGCTGCTCCCACTCCCACGGAGCGCAAAACACGATTCTTGCGGTTCAGTGACTGGAGTATGCTGGAGAAGCTGCTATGGCAATTGCGAATGTCCGAGATGGATAAAGGCTGGCACGTCGAAGGAGGTGCAGGAGTGTAGACAAGGTTCGCGTCGCGGAGGATGCGGCCGTTGGAGGATGATGACGGGGGTCAGCCAGTGGAAGGCGCGAGCCTGGTGAAGAGAAGCAGTTAGCAAACAGGATCTTGCAATGGGTGTTCACCAGATCCACAGAGTGGACAGGCAAACAGATTGAGAGATTGAGGGAGTGGAAGGGAAGATGGGTGCGAAGCATACCGACCGAGCGAATTCGTTGGAGCTTTGCTCCGGAGATGGCGGGTGCTGTGAGCAAGTGAAAATATCGTGTGAGGAGTGGAGCTTTGCCGCGGAGCGCGTGCGGGCGGAAATGCGGCAGTCGAGGAGGCTGACGGCGAGACTCGATGAAGAGGCAGGCGGTGGTGTCGGCGTGGGAGTCGAGGCGGATGATGATCCGGCGGCGGCGGAGGGGGGAGGGAGAGGGAGAGGGAGAGGGAGAGAGCGAGGTGTGTGTGTGTGTGTGTGTGAGTTTGTGTGTGTGTGTGTGTGTGCGTGCGGTGGTGGAAGACGGACGGGAGAGAGGAGAGCTGCGCTGCCCGCGTGCGAAATTTCGACCCGCTTAGGCCTTGACTGCTGCACGCCGGCACAGCTGCCTGAGGCGTGACGAGATGTTCCGAGCCAGCGAGACGTTTCGTTTCGTTTGGAGGGAATTGTTCTTGCTCGTGGAGAGAGGAAAAGGCAGGTAGTCTGTGGTCTGTGGTCTGTGTTCTGTGGTCTGCGGTATTCCAGTCGCGGACTGCTGCTGCTGCTGAAGAAGTAGGGTGGTAAGGTAATGTGGTAACTGTGGTAAGGTACCTTAGGTGAGGTGGCTTGGCAATGCAGCCGTTGGGTGTCGACTCTACCCGGGCGACTGCTCGAAATTCCCCGAAGCATCCCACCACAGCACAGCACAGCACAGCACAGCACAGCACAGCACAGCACAGCACAGCACAGCACAGCACAGCTCAGCACAACTCAGCACAACTCAGCGGCCTTCCATTCACAGCGTTGCCCTCGGCACAGCAGCGCACGACCGCCGCGCATCATCCATCATCCATCATCGCAGCCGAGCGCAGAGCAGCGAGCGCATCCCGTCAGCACAGAGCAGCGCAGGGGAGCCAAGCCCAAGCGAGCCGCGACCACCGACCACCGACGGGCATTGCCGACCTATCTTCACCCTTCGCCGTACCAGGGCACAATCTCAGTAGTACTGTAATGCCTCACCCGCTGTAGCTTATTACATATATCCGCAATAATCAACGTCGCATCTCCCCTCTCTACATCTACCCCTCTGCTGCAGCTCGCGCCCACCCTCGTCATCGCCATCGCCATCGCCATCGCCATCGCCATCGCCATCGCCATCGCCCGTCCACTCCTCTCCGCCCCCATGCACCATCGCCGTATCCCGCATTTGGTCACCACTCCGTGTCTCCCCACGCCAGCACCACCTCGATGGCCGACGCTTCGCACTTGCGTGGGCACTTGTCTCCCATGACCGCCGCGCGAGACACCGACATGACCCGGGCCTACTGCCTGCGAGCAGCAGAGCCAGCGTGTCCATGACTATTGCGCATTATCCCGCTTCTTCCCCCAGCCCAAGGCAGTCCGGCAATGCAGCCCACTTGAATAAGCGACGCGGGCACCCGACATCTCGTACCGCCTACGGCCGCCTACGGCGGGGCTCGAGCTGATACGAGTACGGCAAGCGTGCTCCGCCGAACAAGAACAGCAAGACTCATCATCCGCCCGCGCCCGCCTTGTCCAACGCATAACACCAGGTGAAACCTCTTGAGGCCCCGAGTCAGCCCCAATTAGGCTCTGTTTGAGGCAGGCAAGCCCACGTCCTTTCTTGTCACCTATAACCCGGGGGATATACACTCCGGCGTGCCTACTTTCGCGAGTGGAACATCGTCTGCCCCGATTGCCACCTCCGTGCGTGCCTGTCGCAACCATTCGATGCATTATCGGGCAGGTACGGAAGCTTGCTCGGCGCAAACACCTTGTTTCCGGAAGACGCGGTGCGAGTCCGCACGGTAGGCTCATCGGCAGTGTGAATGCCAGCCCTCGGCGCCTGTGAATCTTCCACATCGAAAACTGGAAATTCGGGGCCACATGGTACCTGACGCAACTCTGAGACGCAATCTTCACCTCTGAATGCTGACGATGCTCGGGTGCTGTGCTCATCCGGCTGCAGGCTGCGGTATAGCACAAATCCATTTGAAGAAGTTATGGAGGCCTACTTGAATCTCAAAATTCTGCTATTCCCGCTGACGGCGCGGAACGCTCCGGTCCGAGGTACTGAAACAGTAACCCCCCTGCTCCATGCCCATAAGCACTCGAAGCCTCGTGACCTCAACTTTTGTGCTTAGAGCAAGGCGTCTTCACCAGACAAACTGCTGTTTCTGCCCCGCCAGAGCTCAAATATTGGTCAGGCGAGACTTGTAGCTGACCCGAAGGCTTTGTAATCAGATCCCGCATCTGAATGCAGCAGTCGACGTAGATTTTTACGTGAACAGGGGCTGGACTATAGTTACTAACAACGAGGAGGTGAAGTGGGCACCTCCTCGACATCTCTGTCGCCGTCTGCGATGATGACTGAATACGAGAATGCCGCTCTGGCCATCCATCGCGAGGTATTTGGTCCCCTTTTCGGCTCACGGCAGTCGTGTCCTAACCTGCCATCACTCCGCAAGAATTGGATATGAGAAGCTCACAACACAGGTTGCTATTGATCTGTCGTCAGCACACGAGATTTACGTGCCTCTCGGTACCTTCAGTTGCACCTTTCCTAGGCTCACCATGTGAGAGCTTGGAACCTTGCTCTATTCCGCCCGATATCTGCGCAATGACCAATTCGATATAGCGCCGCTTGCTGTGCTTCTTCGTCCTCACTAGCAACAACAGCCGTGCAACCTACTGCAAGAGCTAAGCGAAGATGAGATGTCGAGTCCTGTGGAGGTTAAAGTGCCAGATGGTACGTCTTATTCTATTCATAACAGTACTACGGCGACACTGATTCAATATATGCAGGCCATCACGTACCGTTTCGGTTGTCACGGATAAAGAGCATGGCGGCTGGATTATTCTAGCAACATCTCTAGGCTTCGTCCTTGCATTGATACCTACACTGAGTCGAGTCTACGTCAAGTGGGTTTCTCGACAAGCGGCAGGCACCGATGACTACCATCTGGCTGTCGGAACAAATTATTGGGTTCGTCCAAGAGAGCATCGGTCTGGGCGCATGTGCCAGAGGGCTCGGGCGAAAGGTCGATCTACTCCAGCCAGCCGCCCTTCAAATGGCCGAGAAATTCTTCTAATGTAGCCAAATCCTCACGCTACTCGCACTAGGCCTCTACAAAGTGTCCTGAGCATGTTTCATCATGCCATACGGCTGGCCCCAAAAGACATCGTTCAAACAGGTGCTGACTACTCACATTGCTTGCGTGGTGGCTCGGATGCCCGCCGGCGTTGTCGCATTTGCTGCACAATGCAATCTTGACCACCCTTGGGGACTGTCCACTGGACGCTACGGTGGTGTCTACGCTCGGATAGTTGGAATCGCGACTTCCGACACGGTCTCGAACTCGCTCTCTTTGCAACGTCTATTCTTCTCGGTGAGAGCACGGTCCCCCACTGAAGATTGTCAAAGTGGAATCAGTGCTGACGGCTATTGTGTCATCAAATGGCAGGACCAAAGATCTCAACCTACAAGAAGACCAAAGTCGTGTTGGCGTTCGGACTCAGGCTCCCCATCGTGGGGTTTATCGCCGTGCGATTGGCAACACGAGATGCGAATACCTCTGATTTTGCTTTATACCAAAGCCTATACATCATCGTATGGACTGCCGCCGAGATCAACTATTCTATCATCTCGTCACTGTATCGTACTGACGATGATTCTGTACAGCCAGCTCTGCGCCCATCCATCAAAAATCTCGCCAAGTCTCAGCTGCCACCTAGCGCATATCCCGACAGCAGCTCCATAATTCTCGCTCCGCCTCATATCCTCTCTCTCTCGACATTTCACAGCCGGCGGGGGGAGACGCCTCTCAAGGCTCTCGAAGGGAAGTATTACCCCATGTCCCAACACCACGATATCGACCTGGAATTAAGGCATTTGGTGGAATTCGCTGGAGCAGCTAGAGGGAGTATATACGAGACGACAACGACGACTCACTGCGAGGCTGATTTTCAAGGTGGACCTTCCGGACGCGCTGAGGCACCATAGTTTGGAGAGTAGTGCGCGACAAAGAATCCGATGTTCATAACAGTCGAGATGGAGTGCGCCGTGGAGAGACCAGCTTGAGGTGTCAATAAGGTGAATGGGTTGCACTTCTGACATGGAAGAATGTCAAGTTCTACCTACACGGTCAGACACGAGACGACTGGCATGTTACTGGTCTCGCGTTGTGGGAGCTGCCGAGACGTCCAAACAAACTCTGGGGCCTAGCGAGGTGCTAGCCGGAAATGGCATGGCGTCCTCGACGCCGGCTTTGGCCGGTTGACACCGATGGCGGTAGTTCACATGGCACTGCACGCTCTCTGGCCCCATCATCCGCTCGCTGGAGTTGGAGAGACGGTGTCCATCAAGCGGGAGAAAGTGATATCGCAAGCGATGTTTCTATTAGACAACGTGCTTTCAACCCGGACCGGTCGGTCTACTGCTCCCAGTACCACCACCCTGCCCTGGCACCCTCGCTCGCGTGGCCCATGATCTCGCACGTGTCGCGATCAACACTTCGAGCGTCAACCGCGTTCGTGCCAGAGGCCGTGGTATTATTCAACGAGAGGTGGACCTGCGCCCTACAAGCACACCGTTCAAGCACATCTGGCCAGCCACGATGGTGTTTGTCATTCGTTCTGAAACCAACCTTACGCTGCCTGCACGCGGGTAGCAAGATTTCTCGCCTTCAGACCTTTTCCCCCGACTTTGGATAAAGTAATCAGCAAGTCATGGACCGAAGTCAGGCATCCAACCTTCCCGGAGCGTCGACCATGGCCTTCCACGATGCCGTCTCATCAGAAAAAGACAAACAAAGTGTATTATTAGCGCCTTCTTCAGTGCCCGTCAACAAATCCCAAGGACCTTCTGCTACGGATCAGAAGGACACATGATGGTATTATTATTATTATTATTATTATTATTAGTAGGGGAGAAGCAGAGCAGGTGTGCATTCCGCGTTAGACGTGATGAATTCTCTTTCTTGGCGGCGTGTGTCTGTACTAAGCTAAGGTAGGCTCTTGATTTTAGCAACGATTATTGCCTGCTTGATTGATCTGGCGGGCGGAGACTATATATAGTTGGTGATCGATTTGCCTCCTTTGCGCGCAGGTGGGTGGTACATTATTAGGGCGTTTTTCGGACTTTTGGATCAACATATTGTTGTAGGCCAGCGAAAGCGACCAGCTAGTCGCTAGGCTAGCTATATGTTACAGTAGATTAGTACCGTACCGAGCTAACTTTTTCTCTCTCTCGTACAGGCGGCTCTATGGTATGTACTCACTAGCTTCGTGGGGTTTTCAGCTCTTGGCCTCGACTCTCCAGCCTGTCGATGCACACAGAACGTGAACTGGAATTTTCGACAAGATTGGGGACGAGGATGATCATCGTTTCGGTTGTGTACTACGCCGTCTACTACGAGCGGAGAGTCTATGAAGGACCAAGGCTCGTGACGAATGATGCTCACATGAATCACCAGGAACGATGAACTTTTTTGCCTCATAGATAAATCGCAGAAGCTGTATACATGTACCCAGCACCATAGGCTCTGCTGAAATCGTACGGGCCGTCGAACTACACTTCGCATCTCTGATCCTGCACGAGGACGCTCGCAAGCTGTTAGGCTCTTCGGCAGAAATCAAGCTTCTCAGGTGTCGATGATCTATATTGCTTTGGGTATCCGTACCGTCGTTAAAAACATCACCTCGTTTCCTTCGTCATTGGCTGCCACCTGATCCTCTACCAGCACCGCCCTGGCCGCCCATACCTCCCATGAAGTTCTGTGCCCTGTCATTTCGTTAGCACAGCATTCCCAGGCCAGCATAGGAGCGAGGATATCTATAGTACTCACATATCTCTGAGCGCGGGGTCGTTCATCATCTCGCTCAAGCTCGGCATTCCGCCGCCTTGCCCGCCCTGACCTCCACCACCACCAAAGCGGCCGGCCATCTCTCTCAGCTGCGGATTGCTCATGAGGTTGTTCATCATGTCCGGATTGGACATGACGTTCTGCGCCATCTGCCTCATCATCGGGTTTTGCATGAGCGAACTGAGGTCGGGCATGCCGCCGCCCCCTCCACCGCCGCCCAGCATTCCCGCAAGGCTGCTGAGATCTGGCATACCGCCCGCACCCGCACCAGCACCGCGCGCGTTAGAAGCCACATCGTCGGATTTGTCGTCCTCATCTTCCTCTTCCTCCTGGACCCTGCGCTTGGCCGTCTCGAGACCCTTCTTCATGGCCTCGCTGCCACCATTGCCCTCAGCGTCGATACCTTGCTGATAGGCCTCCACGGCGCCCTTTGCATCTCCCAGCGCAAAACGCGCCAGACCCAGTCGCGACCAAGCTTTGGTGTACTTGGGATCTGTAGCAGTGGCCAGCTCGGCATCATTCTTGGCAAACTCGTGTTTGCTCAGCGCACTGTATGCGGCCGCACGATTGGAAAGGTAGATAGGGTTAAGCGGACAGATCTCCAGAGCCTTCGTGTAGCTATCCACGGCCGTCTGGTAGTCCTTCTTCTGCATGGCCGCATTTCCCAAGCCCTTCAACTTTTCGCTCTCCTGCGTTGGCGCACCGCTTGTCGCGTTTGGATCGGTATCTGCAGACGCACTCGCTGCTGCTCCCGCGGCCGCGCCACCTGCTGCCGCTGTTGGACCACTCTTGCCCTTGAGCTTCTCGTATACGCCATATATGCTTAGCAGGTTTTGTCCGCCTAGCGCATCCTTCATCGCGGTCTGGTCGTTGGGGTCGACGTGGAAGCATTCTGCTATGCAGTTTGTGGCGATCTCGATCGAGTCAGAGTCTTCCGGTTGTAGCGTGCCATCTTTGAGAGACGTTTGGAGGAAGTCGACGATGGCGAGTGCCAGTCGTTTGCGAGAATCTGTAGCCTGAGGCACGATGATGGAGTCAGTAAGAGCTCCAACTATTTATCGTACGCTTCGCGGTCCGCACCATGTCGGCTACTTCAATGGAGCTTGGAATTCGCTGTTGGCTCCGATGTTTGTGCTGGTTGTGGTGGAGAGTAGTTTTCGAGGGTGTCAATTTACACTGCACCGCTTCCAAAGTGGAATCTTCTCGGCCTCCGCACACGTGGTGATCATCAAGTCGAGCGGCTCCTGTCATGAAATTTTGATGCCCCGCCGTGGGGTTGCAGCATGTGAAGATTCCCGTGGCTGTTTCTTCGATCAACAAACAACACAGCAACCACAACGTCTCGCAGAGCAGACTCTCACTATGTTCAAGAAAGAGTCAGTACGTGCCCAATGATACTGGTACGTCATGTGCATACTCACATCTCCTCAGGTTCACGCCTGGCGCAAAGTCGAAGGTGAAATCCTCGGCCCAGCGAGCCATCCGATCAAAAGTCCTGGAGACCTACCCGCTCCTTGAACCCTACATCGAAGAGATATTGCCCAAGAAGGAACAACTTGATCTTGTCAAGATCCCCGACCGGGTCTCGCTCTACTGCAATGGCGGCACCCCACTCTTCTGGCAACACATGGACGATCCCATCATCCCTCACCTCAAGGTCGTCCACCAATATCCGTGGTGCTTCAACCGCGTACGGATAGATCGCGGAGCGATCAGGTTCGTTCTCAGTGGTGCGGCTCTCATGGTGCCTGGCCTCACGTCACCGGGAGGAAGATTACCCGGAGGCAATGAAATGGAAGAGTGGGCCAACGGCGGCAAGGAGCTGGAGGCGGGAGATATTGCGGTTGTGGATGCCGAGGGCAAGGAGAATGCGTGCATGGTGGGCGCGTTGAAAATGGGCACCAAGGAAATGAAAGAGAAGAAGAAAGGCCCCGGAATTGAGAATGGACATTACCTTGGTGACGGACTCTGGAAGCTGGATTTGAGTTGAAGATAGCGAAGATGCCGGAGATACTCTGATGCTTCGGGAAATAGGGTGGTGCGTCTGAGAGAATCAAGACGCAGAGAAGGTGTGCCATGCATCTTGAGGATGGAGCGAACAGGTGCATCTTGGGCTCACTCCTATTCACAGAGCACGTCGGGCAGCTCGAACGGGGCTACTTCACGCGCGATCAGCTTCAAGCGCTTCTCAAGACTTCCTGACATCTCTCATTCAATGTCCTCAAGCGCTCTCGTTCCCTCTAGGTATCTCATCCTGGCTTCCGGAATACGTCTGAGCTTACATGTAAGGTTGTTTCACTTCATATTGATCTTTCCCCGCCATGAACGAGTACACCGACATGAACGTCAAAGGGCTTATCAAGATTTGCATAGAATTATCTGGGCTGATTGAAATCTGTTGACGTATTAATTTCCCTTGTGGCTCATTCACTTCGCAGACGCTAGCGTTCCCAGCCATGTCTTTTTGAACCTCTATTGTCATGCGAACTGCGGATACTAGGACAATAGCACAGTTGCAGCAGACAACAGGAGTGTTTCGCTATTGTGATCTTGGCTATTGTCCCAGCCATGTACGGATGGCCTCTTCATCTTCTTCTATCCTAACCATTTCTTCACTCCTTTCTCCTCTCACGACCGCCTCTGCAAGCTCTCTTCGCCAAGCAGATATCCACCATCTCTTGCAAATCTTCCCGACGACATCAGTATTCATCAGCAGCCGGTCCTGCTATTCAATCCCTTCGACGCGAACGTTCTTTTCGAGATGCAGTGCAAGATTACCTCTTACTCCGGCGTGACCAAGGATAAGGGTGATGCCCGTCCCCGTATCATCCTCAAGATTCCAAGCACCAAGCGTATCAATCGGGCCAATCTTTTCGACAGGCTACCGATCGAGGTGAGTTGCAGACATTTCACCGCATTTCATTTGGCTAACTATGGCCGCTCTGCCAGATGAACCAAGAGATTGGCCACAATCTGAAAGAAGACCAAGACGTCGAAGCTTTCCGTCTCTCTTGCAGGTCGGCGAACTCTGCAGTCGACGGAGACGCCGGATCGTTCTGGCGACGTCGCTTTCTGGAAACCTACGATCGACCGGCCAAGCCAACGACCGGACTCGAGTATCGAAAGGCGTATCGCCTCCGCAAGAAAGCATTCAGAAACATCTACACGCACCATCTATGCGCCGGGAATTCCCCGATGAAGCACGAGGCCAGGGCCATAGTGATTTTGCAGAGCTTGCTTGCTGGTGAGTCGGAACCGCATCTCCTTGTGACCGAGGCCCACTGACACGGGAACAGACGCGTCGGCGGCAGCGAAGGCGAACCCTTTGAGACTGCCACTCAACATTGCTCATGTCGTGCGCTTCATCAACAACAAGGTAAGCGGTCAGGCTTAGAAGAAAGTTCCATAGCCTAGCAAATCTGCTAACAACTCTCCTTGTCTTTCAGATCATCCTCCAGAGGGCTGGCTTGACTCGCTCGCAGTACCGTATGATGCTCCAGGGTATGACCTTCTGATGTTGAACCTGGTTCCAATACAGCAAGCGTCCATGAAGCGATCGGGAGCCTCCAGCATATGCTGCTGACTGAGCATTGGAGTCTGCATCTCCAGCACACATTGATCGGGAGCTGGCCTCTTTATAAAGGGCGTGGTACAATTTGAATCTTGGGGGTACGTCTGCATGAACCCTTCGAGCAATACTTCGGCGACACGATCAGAACAGACCGACTATGGGCTACGTTTCGCGTTCTGCTTGGGATGCGATGAAATTTGGCGTTCGGTTGCAAATGTGTGCTTGATAGCTGAGTAGGTGAAGTGAATGGAAATGGCGGTCCGTGCACAAGCCGAGCGTTCGGGACGAGCCGGAGCTGTTGGTGCATGTGAAAGAGGTGATTAGGTGAAGATGAAACTGTGTGAAGCTCAAAGACTCAATCTCTTGGATCTATCCTTGGTTGAGAAGGTATCCACGAGGCCAATAATGTCCCTTCAAGGATGCATGCAACACCTCCTCTGCTGCTTGTACATCCGGGGTTAATCCTTCTCTTTTGCTGAACACCAAAAGCACGGTTATGACCACTCTTGTCGAATTACATTTCAAACTTTACCTCCGGCGAGTCTCCGCCAGCCAAAAGCCAGGTTACGTACATGCTGTACAACTGTATTCGTAGAAGACGTTTGCCTTCAACATCTCGTCTTGGTGGTCCGGTGCCTTTCCCTTTTCCCACTTTGGTGTTCAGAACGCCATTCAAACGTCGCCCAAATGCAATTATCTTCAGCCAAATCAGATGTTTCCCACAGCGAAACGAACACGTGACCAAGCACGCAGTCCCTAGATTCTTTCAAATTCCTTCTTCCATCGTTACATTCCTCCACCACGGCTTCGAGTTTCCTCCCGTCCCGTCACCTGTCGAAGGTGGAGAGTTGATCTCGTCAGCCGCATCTCCAACCTGCCTTCTTGAGCTGACCTCTCTGTTTTGCAGATTCCTCCTCCACTGATCATCCCACCCGCCCTCTCGACCCTTCAACTTCATGGCCTTTTGAGCCATCGTCATCCCGGCGATTCGATCGCTCCCTCCTCCTACCGACTCGATTGGTTGCCTTCCGGCGCGCGTCAATCCCTGGGATGCAGACGAGCCGGAACCGGTGTATTGTGCGTTCAATACGGTTTTCCATTCATCCCTCATGACTGGTCTGCCAAGGTCGTTAGTTGAATGCTCGGAAAGACGATGCTTCAATAGACTCACCGTTGTCACTGCAACGGTTCTGAGCTCGAGCTCAGGCGGTTCAGATGGAGATAGACATCCGTGCCATATCCCTCCATCGATATGAGCTTTAGATCGCCCCCAAAGTATCGAGCGTACAATCTCGAAATGGGCAATCCGTATCCGAAACCAGCCATAGGCGCTTTGAAATCGCTCTTGTTGAAGTCTGGGTCCAGACTCGGCGTCTGATCGACGGTAGTGTACATGTATGTCCAAACAAGAGGAATGCTGCTCCTGGGAATGCCGCCTCCTTCATCGCTGATCTTCAAGGTGATGTCCTCTCGACCCTCGGAGACGATCACCTGCGTGACTGGGAACTCCTCCTTTTCCTGACCGTGTGTTTCCACTACGGCTCGCAAGCTGTTCTTGAGCGTTTCAAAAAGCATGTGTGACAGATGGCCAGGCACATACATAAAGTTCAGGTCATCCGGACATACCAGCCTCACCTTGGGAGCGTCAAAAAGTCCGTAGTGATCTTCGCAAACGAATCGCGCATTCTCAATGGCCTCTTGCGCCAGCTCCTTCACATTCGTCTTTGTGCAGATGATGCCTACATAATTCGGATCGGTATGTGATCGTTGGTCGGTAAGTGCTATATGTTGGCCAATCAACATACGGATCCCTATTCGCGACATGTAGAACCGATCCAAGAAAGCCTGTATGTTGTGATCGATCTGCATGCGTTGTCTTTTCCTTTTATATTCGAGAATGCCCTGGGCGATTGTGGTGACGACACTGTCATGTCTTCGCTTGATCTTCTCCAAAGTCTGGGCAAAGCGAGTGTTGTAGTCGGCGAGTTCGGGGGGCCAATCGCTCCCATCGTCGGCGGAGGAGAAGTATCTCCTTGTTGTGGTAGCTTTCCTGCCATGTCCATTTTCCTTATCCCCGCCAGACTTGTCCAGTTTTACATCCGACTTGTACTGGCCAGGCTTGATGCTCGGATTGTGCGTGGTTTCGCTGAGGATTCGGGACGTGCGGCCGTTGGCCTTCGCGGGCTTGATGAGGCGTTCTCGCACTTCGTTGCTTAGATTCGGCTTCGACAGTGTCGTGATTTCCTGGAATCCGGTACAGTGTGTCAGATGTCTGGAGATCTATGTGTCTGTTTCCGCGCCGCCGAGCGGTTGCCTGCATACCTCGAAGGACTGCGCATACCAGTCCTGCACCCGCTTGATGCTCTCCATGTCGTTCAAGCCATCAGGCAGATCTCCGAGCTCTTGCACCCGGTGGGCCAAGCGGATAGGAAGCTCCTCGGACAGGAATTGGGAGGCTCGGAAGAGAGTCCCTGCATACTCGCTCAACATGTGCTCCGATTCAGTTACCCCTCCGTTTCGAGAGCTTACCAGTCGAGGGATTGCTCCCGAACTGGACCATCTGCCGCAGACTCACGCCTGTCGCCGGGAAGGAGGAATAGTGTTTGATGGTCTCCATCAACTGGGCTTCACATCGGCCACCATTAGCAGAGTCATGGCGTGAATCGAGTGCGACGCAGCAGTGCAGGCTCACCAGACTTCTTCCACGACATGTTGGGCGGGTGGGAGGCCGCAATGGCCTGGCAATGGTCGACGACGACAATGTGGGAAGACTGACAGGATTATGAAAACAGAAGACGAAGCGAAAGGGAACAGAAGGGAGGCTCGTGACTCTTTGACAATGGAAGTGAGTAGTAGTGAGTGACTCCCACAACCGAAGAGCAGGGTCACGGTCATATGGAGAGAGCTAGCTCCCCACGGTTGTCCAGCGCTCATTAGAGGTACGCTAAGTCGGATGCCGAGGTGCCGCAAACACCTCTAGACTCTCACGCGAGCATCGCGCTCCAGGGCCGCCATACTCCCAATTGCACTCGATGCCGCTCGGAGCAACTCGGGATGCGCCAATGTCGTCGTCAAGTTCTGGCCCTGGATATGCCGCGGGCGAGGCGGAGCTGTCTACGCGTATCCATCATTGGCCGGAATCGGGGAAAAAACCGGAAGCCTGTCCGCTGCAAGCCTATAGACTTCACATGAAACATCGCCTTTACTAGCCCGAAGGCGCTTGGGTACATGCTTCGAAATGTGTACTGCCCTGGATACAGGAGATTCTCCACTCTCCATGCAGTAGGCAATATGTACAATCACGCTTGTTATACAGAATTCGCGAGCTGAGAATGCCACACTACGTAACGTACACCGCATACGCTCTCGCCATCACCTCAGTTCAACATCGAACCGACTGACCAGTTCTTGCCGGATTTGCTCGTGCAGCGCGTTAGCCTCCTCGTTCGTCAGCGTCTTCTCAAGACTCCTGTACGTGATGCGGTAGCAGAGACTCTGCTTTCCGGTCTTGGGATGCTTGAAGCTGTCGATCAAGGTAACGTCTTCAACGCTATTACCCGCAGTGTTTCGTACGACTTCCATGAGGTCATTTTCGTGAAAGGTCGGCGCGTCTGTGGTGACGGGCGGCTCGGTAGGTTGCCCTCCAGCTGGCGACGGTGCAGTCGATCCCGATGCGGGTGTCCCGGCGACGACTGGTCCAGTCTTAGGCAGCCAAAAGGCTACATCCCTGGGTGCTGCTGGATACTTGCTGAATGGCTGAAAGCGCTTGAGGGGCTGATTCTCATCGAACTGGCCTAGGAAACGTTGATCCTGGCTCCAAAAGAGACGAATATCTGGAATGCCAAATAGGAGCATTGCAATCCTTTCGAGACCAATACCAAAAGCCCATCCTATCCTTGAGGGAACATCTGCTTTGATCAGGAGCGGCTGATCAATGACGCCGCATCCAAGCACCTCCAGCCAGTCGCCTCGCCACCAGACTTCAAGTTCCCAGGATGGTGAGGTATGTGGAAAGAAGGCCTCGACCCAGCGGACCTTCAGTGGCTCCTGTTCGCCTTCTGCACCATTTCCAGCTGCAGCGAGCGCCTTGTCTGCCTCGGTGAATATCGTAACGACCATGTCCTCCAGAGATCGCTTTAGGTGAGCAGCCACGGCCTCGGCTTCTTCGGGAGAGTGATGCTCGGCTTGAAGAGGATTTCGTACTTGGTGGAAGGTCGGGTCAGGGTCGTCCACCACCAAGTCGTGTTTGGGGAGTTTCTCCATATCATCGCGTATCTGCTTTACAAGTGCAGCACTTTCGGGGAAGGCATTTCGGTCCCAGGTCAAAGCGCCCTCCATCTGATGGAAAACAGGATAGTGACTCCGGTCTACAGCATCGCGGCGATACACATCCGCTGAGATGGTGTAGCCGTTGCTGGCATTCGCGCGAAAGACGTCAAGCTCATGCGCTGTAGTATGCGTTCGCAGAACAGTGTCCTTGTTCACGTAGTACGTGTCAGTTCTGCTGCGTCCAGGATGGTCTGCCGCAAAGCCAAGTGAGTCGAAGTTTTGACCCACAGTCACGACGGGTGTCAGCTCATTGTGATTCTGGAAGCCCGGAAAGCGCGACTCGATCAATTTCCTGGTGATCGACAATGGGTGATTGGGCTGCACATGCAACTTGCGGCCATAGTGCTCTAGGATGGAAGGTGGCACGTTGGTCCAGCTATCCGCGGGGTAGGTGTTGCCGCCTATGCTCAGCGCATCTGTTCACTCCACCGGACAGTTAGCGAGCCGCCCATTACATCCGGCGGAAGAGAGCTGGCTGCAATCCGCAGTGGCCGCTGCTGGTAGGCTGGTGGGAGGCATTGGCGAGATCACGAATGTCAGATTGCAGACGGAGCTCGACAGCTCGTGGCGCAAGGAACGGGCAAAGCGGGTAAGCGAGGTTGACTGACCTGCGGAGGAGTAGTAGCGTCCAGGAGCAATGCGTGTTCGCACGAGACAGCGAATGCTCGCGGGGAGAGCCCATATCGATGAGCCAGAGCAGCTCAGTTTCACCATCGCCGTCGCCTCGGCCCTGCGCTCCCTAAAGATCCGCAGTTGGAGATGGCGCAGTCGTCAAGGTTGATGCCAAATTGCACAAGCAAATACAGGTCAACTGAGAAAGCCAGAACTCAGCGATTTTAAGCCGCTTACGTACCCTAGCTGTAAACACCGTGCACTCGGATTTCTCCCACTAGCTCGACAGCTATTATTCCCGGCTGCTCTCTGATTCAATAGAAGTTGCTTAATACATCCATACTCCCTCACGCCCTGCTACGCGGTTGTTCCGTCCGCTCCCCGTCGCACTGTTGCTCACATGGAGCAATGACCCTACTGAGATGTCGAAATCCACATCCAAAAGCAAGAATGTCAAGCAAGCGCACATCCACTATCCGTTGTGGTTTGGCGGGAGTGCGAGCTGCTTCGCGGCCTGCGTGACGCACCCATTGGACCTTCGTAAGTCATACGGCATTTGCACAGGAGCACGAATGTCACACTGACCTAGCTGTGTAGTCAAGGTATTTCGCGACTGTCGACACGAAGCAAAAACCCATCATTGACGTTTGCGACAGGTTCGACTACAGACGCAACCCGGCGATGGACCGAAGAAGGGAATGGTGCAGATGTTCTCGCACATCGTCCGAACAGATGGCATACCGGGGTTATACCGCGGAGTAAGAGTGTTCCTTGCAAGTTGCGCAAGGCCAGGTTGGGACTGACGCTCGACACAAACAGCTCACCGCGGCGCTCTTGCGCCAGATCACCTACAGCACCACAAGATTCGGCGTATACGAAGAGCTGAAAGAAGTCTTCAGCGATGGCGTAAAGCAACCATCCTTCGGCGCGCTCGTGGCAATGGCGTCAACTTCGGGATTCTTAGGCGGAGTCGCTGGAAACCCTGCGGACATTCTGAATGTTCGCATGCAAAACGACGCCGCGCTTCCCCCCGAGCGAAGACGAAACTACAGGAACGCAATCCATGGTCTGGTCAGAATGGTACGCGAGGAGGGCTTCGCCAGTCTGTTCCGAGGTGTCTGGCCCAACAGCACTCGCGCGGTGCTCATGACTGCCTCGCAGCTGGCAAGTTACGACGTCTTCAAGAGACAGATTCTGGAGTACACGAGCTTGGGAGACAATCTCACGACTCATTTTTCGGCCTCCTTCATGGCTGGCTTCGTTGCGACGACTGTGTGCAGTCCGGTCGACGTGATCAAAACAAGAGTCATGAGCGCTCACACCAAAGAAAGCGTATTCCAGCTCATCACGAAGATCACCGCAAACGAAGGATTCATTTGGATGTTCAAAGGATGGGTGCCGAGCTTCATCAGGCTTGGGCCGCACACGATCGCTACGTTCCTGTTCCTGGAGCAGCATAAAAAGATCTACCGGAAAGTCTACGGGTACGAATAGCACAGCGCGGTCAGCGAGATGGTCTAGGCTTGCAAGCATGAGCGGCGTTAAGGAATAAACAGGCTGTTAGATTATGGACGATTGGATGGCAGGGCGCTTGGTGTATGATGCTCTGTTTGCTGTACACAACATTTCCACACGTGCTTGTATAGAAAACATCAAGCAGTTGACAAGCAATTGAGACTAGAGCTCTGGGAGCATTCATCGCTTGCGTTCTCTGCTACATTCTTACACCAATTTGGTAATCTCCTTGCCTAATGGGTGTTCAGTTGTATCGAGACTCGAGAGCTCCGGCTGTCGGCCCGCCCCAGAACCCCTGCTTGGCAAGGAAGGTGCCGCCTGGTGCAAGGTGTTCTGTACTTCGATGCGTCTACATAATTTCGACCGCGACTCTTCTTCCAGCCCCAACACCACCACACTCTCCTTCATCTTCCTTCCTCACGGCCTGTACCTGATTGCTCCCGTGCAATTGCTGCATCCAGCGACTTCTTCTCGAAACCGAGTAGACGGGAGCGCATCGCAGCTCCCGGCGAACACAAGATAGGATGAGTGGACGTATGTCAAACGCTATCCAACACATGCGAAAGCGCGTCAATCTACAGCACTTGGCGACAAGTCTATCGCTTCATCGTCTAAGATAGTTTGGGAGAAGCATGAGGGCTCAATGGCTGGTCACGAGCTAACTTCCTCCTTTTGACAGTCCGATTTCTCGACCTCGTGAAGCCCTTCACGCCTCTCATCCCCGAAGTACAGGTCCCTGAGACGAAAGTGCCCTTTCAGCAAAGGATAATATGGACAAGTGTCACCCTGGTGATTTTCCTGGTCATGAGCCAGATGCCGCTTTACGGCATTGTGTCATCAGGTGAGCGCTGCAGAATGGCTTGGGAAAGATAGAGCTTGGGTTATTGACGCAGGATTAGACACCTCGGATCCGCTGTACTGGCTGCGTATGATGATGGCTAGTAATCGAGGAACACTGATGGAACTGGGTATCACGCCCATCATTTCGTCTGGAATGGTCTTCCAGCTCCTTGCCGGCACCCATTTGATTGATGTCAACCTTGACCTCAAGTCCGACCGTGAGCTCTACCAGACTGCGCAGAAGCTCCTTGCCATCATTCTCTCCTTTGGTCAGGCCTGCGTTTACGTGCTTACTGGACTCTACGGCCCACCAGCTGACCTCGGCGCCGGAATCTGCGTGCTGCTCGTTGTTCAGCTTCTCACCGCGGCGCTGATTGTCATCCTCCTCGATGAGCTCCTTCAGAAAGGCTACGGTCTTGGCTCTGGTATCTCGCTCTTCATTGCAACCAACATCTGCGAGTCCATTGTCTGGAGAGCCTTCTCTCCCACCACTGTCAACACTGGCCGTGGCCCGGAGTTTGAGGGTGCCATCATTGCTCTGTTCCACCTGCTCATTACCTGGCCAAACAAGCAGCTTGCTCTGAAGGAGGCTTTCTACCGCGAGAACCTGCCAAATGTCATGAACCTGATCTCCACAATCATTGTGTTCAGCGTGGTCATCTACCTTCAAGGTACGTGCCCTTATACAGGAGAATTACTGCTGGTCGCTAACATGCCATAGGCTTCCGCGTTGAAATTCCGGTCAAGTCTTCCCGACAGCGTGGTATGCGTGGCTCCTACCCCGTCCGCCTCTTCTACACCTCGAACATGCCGATCATGCTTCAATCCGCTCTCTCCTCCAACGTCTTCCTAGTTTCGCAAATGCTCTACAACAAGCTACCAGATAACCTTTTGGTTAAGATGATTGGCGTTTGGGAGGCTCGTGAGGGCACAGCCCAAGTTCTCCCGGCTAGTGGTCTGGTCTACTACATGAGCCCACCTCTCAACATCAAGGACGCCCTCATGGACCCGATTCACACCGCCGTTTTCACCGTCTATATGCTTGTTGCTTGCGCAGCGTTCAGCAAGACTTGGATTGAGGTGTCCGGATCTAGCCCACGCGACGTTGCTAAGCAACTGAAGGAGCAAGGACTGGTCATGGCTGGACATCGTGATGAAAGTATGTACAAGGAGCTCAAGCGAGTCATCCCAACCGCTGCTGCTTTCGGAGGAGCCTGCATCGGTGCGCTCTCGATCACCAGCGATCTTATGGGTGCTCTTGGAAGTGGTACTGGAATCTTGATGGCCGTCACGTAAGTCATACACACTCTGCATCAGCCGATGCCTAGCTGACCAAATCACAGTATCATCTACTCGTACTTTGAAATCGCCGCAAAGGAGGGCGACATGGCAGGACTCAAGGGGATGGTCATGGGCTAAGGAATTGCAAGCTTAAGTTGGAAAAGGTGAGATCCATCTTGCGCATTTGAAAAGTATAGTGTATCAAAGACAGCATATCGAATCGCGAATAGTGAAAAGCAGATCCTGTGCCATCAACACCAGGAGTGACGACTCCCAGCCCACAGCACATGTCAATTGCATTTGTATAATGTATGCTGCGGGCCGGAAGCTTCTATACTCCGCTCCGCATGGATCTTCGCCCGTGAAGCCTGTCGACGACCTTCCCCGCCGCTGCTCCGCCTCTCGAGCTCGAGGAGCTGGTCAGCGTGTTTGACGATCGTCCCAGATGTCACCACACACGACACGCAGCTGTGCATCTGTGCATCTGCTGCTAAGCGTTGCTTGTGCTGTCTAGGCAGCACGGGACCGCATCTCAAGGGAAGTACTCGTGTTTCTTCTGCATCTGCACCTTTCCTTCGTCAAACATCATCCATCTCGCACTCTATTCATCAACAACGAATCCATAGCAGCAACGATGCCACCTCTCAGCCCTCATGCCGGCCACATTGGCCTTGTTTTGCCGCTCTGCACTTCTGCGGCGACGGTCGGGTTGGCTCTGTACCAGTGAGTTGGTCCTACATTCCACCACGCGTTCACGAGCGGGTCTTCTTACTGATGTTTCGCACGTGACTAGATACCCAGTCTTCTTGTCGTTCTTGCAGCCCGATTCTACGGGCCAGTCGATTGCTGGAAAGCCCCTCTCTCGCTTTTGGCACCCGATGGTAGGGAGAACACCCGTGCAAATCTGGCGGAATCGATGATGCTAACGGGGGCATCTGTCTAGGTCAAGCAAGGCCGCATCCTCATCGCATCCCTAGCAGCTTCGTCGACCATTGGGGGAGCTCTGGCTGCCAGGTGGCTGCAGACTCACATTACGTTGGAGACGACGAGTTAGTCACACCCCCCACGGTGCCCTACCTTAGGTACCCTTTGCGAGCTGGAGTGGCTGATCTTGCCCACCCAGATGTCTCCCACTGGTACATTGCCGGCACGGTCCTCGCAGCAGGCCACCTCGCTTCCTTGCCCATCGTCGCTGGGCCGGTGGGACGGATCATCAAGGCTAATGAGAAGGATGACACCGAAGCGGAGAAGCAGAACCGCGAGGAGATGAAGACTTGGTTGACCATACACACCGTGCGGACTCTGGCAATCGATTTGCCAGCTCTGTGGTGCTTTGCGGAGGGTCTGTCACAGAGTCTGTGGGTGGGGCCGGCTTAAGAGGTTCCTCCGAGGATGCAGTAGCAAAAGGTGGAGTGAAGATGGTACGAAAATGTGATATGTCAAGACGTTCGCTCGCCGTAAACATCTATTTCGTGATCTGTTTACCCACTGTTGTATACTTTCTTTCCGGCTATCCATGTCTGGAGAACGTTGGCTTCGTCATCCAATAATACGAAATCTGCCCTCTTGCCAGCTTCTAGTGTGCCTCGAGTAGGATCGCCCATCAAGTTGGCTATGTTTTCGGACACGCAACGAACGGCTTCGGCGATGCTACAGTCACTCCATCGGATCACGTTCTGGACACATTCTTGAAGCGATGCGCATCCACCGATCAGAGTTTCAGTGCCCTCGATGACTACTCGACTACCTTCCTTCGTTTGATTATCTGGGATCTGGGCGTGGCCGGGATATGTACCGTCTGGGAGGCCTGCTAGCTCGATACTGTCCGTGATAAAGATGCATCTCGAGGGACTTGCGCGAAACAGCATTGTGGCGACGGATGGGTGGAGATGATGTCCGTCTGGAATGATGCTAAGATAGGGATTCTGGGGCATGCTGGTGGGAGCGATTGTGACCAAGCCGGCGAGGCCAGGCTCTCGATGATGTAGAGGAGCCATGGCGTTGAGGGTGTGAGTGAGGCATGTGGCGCCCGCATTCAGCGCTGTCAAGCCCTGGGTATAGCTGGCATTGGAGTGTCCCAAGGAGACTCTAATGTCTCTGCTTGTGAGGCGTTTGATAAGGCCTGGGGAATCCTCGAGCTCGGGTGCTATTGTGACCAGTTTGAGAACGTTGGCATTCTCTGCACTTTCTCCATATACCTCGCTTGGCGAAACTGATGCTGTTTGGAACAGTGTAGCGTTATGGGCACCTTTCTTGCTCGGGTGCAGATAGGGACCTTCTGCGTGAGCACCAAGCAGGGAAGCAGCCCCCGGTATGTCACGAGGGGCCAAATGTGGAAGAATCTACCGGCCTTCCGTGAGCGTCGTATATATGACTCTGGCGGCTGAGACGCATTCTGACCTTCTTGAACTCTTGGCTGGCAACAGTGGGAATGGTCGCGTAGAAGGATGTCACGCCCGTCGTTGGGAGGTAGGCGGCTACCTTGTCCAGCTTCTGGGTATAGCTGTCTTGGTCCCGGAAATGGGTGAAGTGAAAGCCACGACATCCATTCGTCTGAAGCTCTGTGAAGCCCGGCGCGATAGTGGCGCCTTCACAGTCAATGGCATCAGAGCCAATGTAGTTATCGTCGCTGCCATCGACGAACTTGCCGGTCTCATTGGACACGACGAGTGTCTGTCGAACGAGCTCGCCGCCTTTGCAGAGTCGAGCATTGTGGAAGGTGGTGGATCTGCGTGACATGACCCGCCACAGTGCCGCTACTATCAGGTAATTACATGTACCCGGTTGTTGTAGAAAGGCGCGTGCGGTTGTTGGAATTGCGCCGATCTCGGCACTCTCGGGAGTCAGGGACCGCCAACGCCCTTGTACAACTATGACCGGATCGGCTAGAACAATACAAATATACCTCTCTGGCCTTTGCATCGAGCCATTGAGTGCTCACCATCGCTCCTTCACTCCCGTTCTTCGCGTCGCGTGACGGATACTGGACAATCGCTGACCTAGACGACGAGCAATGGCGGCTTCGTTACGAACATTGCTCCCACGGAGCGCGAGGAGAGCGGGCTCGAGCTGCCATGCTGCTTCAAAATGGACGGCCGTCGAGGGCCAACGGAGAGCATACAGCTTGCAAGCACCCGACGCAGCAGACCCTCGATTATCCAAGGTGGATACGTCGCAGCTCACCGTCACCAAAACAACGACGCCGAGGCCTATCGTGTCCAACGACCAACTCATCTTTGGGCACACCTTCACCGACCACATGATGTCTCTCGAATGGACTGCTGCGGATGGATGGCTCGCACCGAGGATAACACCCTACCAAAACCTCTCTCTCGACCCCGCTACGTGTGTACTACATTATGCGTTCGAAGCGTTTGAGGGGATGAAGGCATACAAGGACAAGGAGGGCCACGTGAGGCTGTTTCGACCGGATAAGAACATGGCGCGCTTGAACAAGAGTGTAGCACGCATAGCCTTGCCCACATTTGACGGTGAAGCTGTCATTGAGCTCTTGAAGAAGTTTGTCAAGATGGAGGAAAGATTCATTCCCTCGCAACGAGGCTACAGCCTGTACATCAGACCCAACATGATTGGCACCCAGCGGACACTCGGAGTAGGGCCACCTGGTAGCGCCATGTTGTATGTCATTGCGTCGCCAGTCGGCCCATACTACCCAACCGGCTTTAAAGCCATATCTCTGGAAGCGACGGACTACGCTGTGAGAGCTTGGCCTGGTGGTGTTGGCGCAAGCAAGCTGGGCGCAAACTACGCTCCTTGCATCGTGCCTCAGATGCAGGCTGCCACTCGTGGATTTCACCAGAACCTCTGGCTGTTCAAAGATACGGACCCGGCAACAGGTAAAGAAGAGGACTATGTTACAGAGGTCGGCACCATGAATCTATTCGCCGCCATTGTCAACAAAGAGGGCCAGAAGGAACTCATGACTGCTCCGCTCGACGGTACAATACTTGAGGGTGTCGTGCGAGATTCCGTCCTCACGCTCGCTCGCGAACGGATGGTTCCCCAAGGTTGGAAGGTCTCAGAGCGCAAATTTACGATGAGAGAACTGAAAGAGGCTGCGGACGAAGGCCGCATGCTGGAGGTCTTCGGCTCAGGCACCGCGGCCACTGTCTCTCCCGTGCGAGCGATCTCATATAATGGCAGCCTCGTGAGCTGCGGCCTACCAGACAACGAAGAAGTGGGCCCTGTGACGCTACAGATGAAGACTTGGATAGAAGCGATTCAGTACGGCGAAGAGGAGCATCCATGGAGGTGAGTGACCAATCTTTCCAATCGCTTCCTCACTTGATACTATGCTAACGGCCAAACAGTGTAAAAGTGGCGGCTTAGAGACTTCATATTTGCGGTCTGCCATGGCAAACCACACATTGTATAGTGCCCACAACATGTAGATTATAGCCACAAGCTTCCGCGAGCCGGCGTGGGAACCCTGCGCACCATGATCGCCCCCCACCTCTGTGACCAACACAGGCACCGGTTGCGTGTTGACGAACAATAGGGGTGCATCACATGTCACATTGCACTGTCTAATTCACGATATGTTCGGTGAGAACTAACCCCCCAAAGCTGACCAGTGGACAGGAAGCAACATCTCCGATCACCCAAGGCTGAAAGGTGAAGCAGTCAGTCATGCTCCATCTCAATCAAGGCTTGCCCAGGTATTGGATATATTCGAATCTGATACACGTGCCGAATTCACCTCTCAGCGCATGATTGCAAACCCTCGCAGCACCAATATCACAATCATGGCGTGCGGTGAGATCGCTACCAAACTTGCTGGTGCACAGCTCGCCACGTGCCTAAGATTTGACCCACCCCGAATGATGGCTTCTAACCTGGCATACGGCGTAGATTGTCAAGTCCTGGCCGATGTGCAAATCATCTCTCCAACACCGTGGTGCATATGGAGAGGCGTGAGAGGCAGTACTGACTCGAGCTTCCTGTTAACATGAAACATGCCGGACCGCAGGTGTAACCTGGAGACTCGACGCATGATGATACGTCCGCCAAATCCAGAGCTTTGCGGTCGGCTATGAGTTGTAATTGTCGTAGCACGGCGTTGGTATCAAACAGCCTTGAGATATATGTCGTGGTGGATATGACTGTGGCGGACTTGCTCTCTGAACATTCTTCCAGTCTTGCGCGGCTGTCTACAGGGGAGGCTTTATGGATTACTTGAGTCTTTGGAGAAAGCGTCGAAAGCTTGCCTATACAACTCTGTCAGCGTGGATTAAAGGCGCAAGATGCAAGCAAGCAGAACGTCGAGAGCTCTGCAGGTGATCAGCAAGCCGAAGCGGCATCGACTGCGTATGTCGCTCCTGTGTTTCACCAGAAAGGCTTCAGTTGTCTTGGAATCAAGACCTCATCATTCGTCCGGCCATGGACCTACCGCCGTATATGCCCGGGAGACGTACCATTACGTTCTCCATAGCTACAGTGGACCATGTTCTGTGGAGGAGACCTGCATTAACTTTGCGTTCTTTCCATTTCCGGCAAACACAGAGCAGCTCAGAAGCTTGTGTGCAGCTCTACCATGGCTGGCCATTACGGCAAGATGATGGAAGGCTGCCTCAGTCTGCTCAGGAGGCGTTACCTGTGGGTTCACCAGAAATGACAGAAGGTGTTTCTGTTGAAGAGGGCTGTGCCGATCGACTTTTTCTCTGCTTCCAGGAGTCGACTTCACCTTCGAACACCTTGACCCAGTCCAGTCAAATCGCAATTGTCAATCATGGCCGACGCCAGCAAACTCAACGGTACCGCCGTATACCTTACGGACGCCAGACGTGTGGGCATCATGCTCCGGGACCGACGTAAGTTTCTCCGTATCTCGAGCGATGCCTTGGATGAGAGCTGAGTCTTGGTATCCGTTGCAGGCCTTACCCTCCGTGAGCATGCGGCCATAACAGAGTTCATTCTCGAGACGGTTGAAGACGACGAATTCGTTCTCCGTGCCACCGCGTATAAGGGCGACAACAATTACATCAAAGCTGCCGGAAAGGGCACGTTCAAGGCCGAGTCATCGAAAAAGGATGCCGTGAGATTCCACATGATGCCGACGGAGTTGGGCAACGAGTTGTTGGTTGGACAGGGCCGGCCGGGGATCTTTGACGATTTCTACGATGTCTCGATTGGTGAGGCGAGGGAGGAACGGTCGTCGGTCATGATTCTGGTCCATGAGGACGTGGAGAGTATCTGGAAGTACACCGCGAAGTAGGGGTTATTAGTTCATGGATGTATGGTATCTCGGAGATAGCTGGAGCTAAGGTGACGTAGCTCCATTGTCTACCTCACCTTACCTTACACAAGATAGTACTGTTGTCTCTTGCAACAGGCCGCGCGCTCCTTCCTCGGCTGCAATTGGCTCACTACGGCCCGGGCACGCAGCTTCCCATGCGACCCGCAACTCTCCTCGGTGACTCACAGGACAGGACAAGACAAGTCGACGGCGTGCGAGGTGCTGTAGAGGAGACTACCGACGCTAGCGCGGCGTGCCAAGACAGACAGACGCATCTCAGCTACACCTCCACTTTGATCTTTCCCTACCTTACCAACTTGGCCCGCATCCACCCCCATTTCTTGCCTCGACAACCACCTGTCGCAAACCGAATTCACACTTGTTGACATCACATACCTCACGCGACTCAGGCAACACGGCAATTGCCTTGCTGGACCTATTGCTCCTGCTGTTTTGCCTTGCCTTCGGGCGGCGCGCAGATCGCATCCTCTCCAGCAATCTCTTCCACTTTCCCACCGCCTCGAGACCGCAACAAGACCTGTAATTTCTCAGCCTCTCAAATCGCACACACCGAAGCCTCATTCCTCGGGCTGCACACTGCGCCAGCTCGACAGGCGCATTTCACTCGATCTTGCTTTCCTCAAACATGGCACCCACCCAGCAGACGCAGCCGACTCCCCCTTCCTCCACGTCGTCGAACAACGGTGCATCGCCAGACGGCCAGAACTTCCGCGTAGTCCGCAAGAGAAACAGGATCCCCTTATCATGCGCTCCATGCAGACATCGCAAGCTGAAATGCAACCGTGCCAACCCATGCGATAACTGTTCCAAACGGGGCGACACGGCTTCTTGCAGCTATGCGACCGCTGGGAACAAGAAGAAAGGAGCCGCCAATGGCTCGAACACGTCTCCGGACAATATGCAGAATCGAATCGATAGATTGGAGGGGTTGGTCCTGTCGTTGATGACCAGTGGTTCCCAGCCCTCGACGGCTGCTACTGCGCAAGCTGCGATCAACGGTAGCAGGAGTGATAGTCTCAGCACCGGCTCTGATCTGAAAATAGATGCAGGCGGCGTGGATATGATTAGGGAGGAGGGCGAAAACGGAGAAGAGAGTGAAGTAGAGGGCATGTCTCGGGGGATTGGGATCATGAAGATAGACAACGGAAAGGCGGTGTATGCTTCGGATGCGCATTGGTATGCCATATTAGGCGAGATCAGTGAGGTCAAGAAATACTTTGATACCCACAAGCAGGACTACAGGGACCATTTTGCGAAGGTGCAGGCCGCGAAAGCAGATGAGACTCCCGGCACAGCCTTTCTCCTCCAAGGACCGCCTGCGAAAGATAAAGCAGAGCTCATGGAGGCTTTCCCATCAAAGGCGGATGCAGACCGCATGATTGCGAGATATTTCAACGCCTATGATCCATCCGTTCACATCGTGCATGGACCATCTTTTCAAAAGCAATACGACAAGCACTGGCTGAACCCGTCGGAGACCACAGTGGGCTGGCTTGGCATGTGCTTTGCGATGATGACTTTGGCTTTGCAGTCGTACCATAGAGCGGGCGATGAGCCTGTCGAGTACCGTGGGCGGTCGCTGAAACTCTCGCATCAGTATAGGAGACTCACTGCCCAGTGCCTGCTCATGGGCGATATCACACAAGCCAATCCGCAGACACTAGAGACGCTGGTGCTGCATGTTCAGGCTGAATACGGGCGTAGCAGAGATGCCGAACCTGGCGTGTTGCTCATGACCAGCTTGTGCGTGAGGCTCGCAATGCGAATGGGATACCACAGGGATCCCGGCCCTCATCCTGCCATCACACCATTCCAAGGCGAAATCCGGCGGCGAGTATGGACGTTTGTTCGGCAGTGCGACCTTTTGATATCTTTCCAATTTGGCTTGCCAGCTATGATCAGAACGGACCATATTGACACGGAAACGCCGCGAAACTTGTATGACGATGAACTCTACGAAGACATGAAGAGCCTGCCACCGTCGAGATCGCCTGTCGAAGCGACGCCCATGTCGTACATGATCACCAAGGCGAAGATGACGTTTTTGTTCGGGCGCATCGTAGAACGAGCGCAGTCGGTCACGAATCCCCCTTCATACGAGGAGACGTTGAAATTTGATGCCGAGCTTCGGGAAGCAAGAACCCAACATCCACCGCTGCTGCAGATGCGCTCCTTCCGGGAATCTGCACGCGATCCAGCCAATCTAATCATGCAGCGACTTGGATTGGAGATGGTCTATCTTCGCTCGCTGTTCGTTCTGCATCGACGTTTCATTGCGCGAGGACGCGAGAACCCAAGATATGCGTACTCGCGGCGGACGTGCCTGGACGCTTCGATGGAGCTGCTTGACCATCAGGCTACCCTGCACCAAGAATCGCATCCCGGCGGCCGCTTGAGATCCGTCAAGTGGTACATCTCGTCGCTGACGACTCACGACTTCCTGCTGGCCGCGATGCTGGTATGTCTGGATCTCTACCATACCGCCGAAGCCGAGCGAACGGGCCGCAAGTCGAGCAGTCCGGGCTCGCCGTTGATGCCGGATCTGTATGACGAGGGTCGCCGAGAGCGGATGATGCAGGCCGTCGAGCACTGCATCATCATCTGGGAATCGGTGCGCGACCAGAGCATGGAGGCGTATAAGGCATCCAACGCCCTGAAGGTGATGGTCGACAAACTGAAGACGCACCAAGACCGACAGCGGACCATGCCTGGCTACGCACCCATGCCACAATCGACGCCGGCGCAGAACTTCACGCGACAGAATGCCGGCTTTGGCACGTTCCCCAATGGCAACGTGAATGTTGCAGATGCCGATGACCTGCCCCCTGAACAGTCGGCGGCGATGACACTCGGCATGCTCTCTTCTGGCGGCCTGTCTCCCGGACCTGGATTCGGCATGAGCGTGTCGCAGATGGGCAGTCAGGCGGAGAAGCAGTCACATTCCTATCCGGCGGGGATGGCGGCTCTGCTGAACGAGCCCATGACGGACAGAACGGGACTGACACCGCAATATTCTGGACCCGAAGCTGGTGCGGTGAGCGGCAGTGGCATTGGCATTGGCATCAACGGAGCGGCGAGCCCGCTCAGCCAGATGCTCAGCCAGGGCAATAACTTCATGGGCACGGACGGGATGGGCGGAGACATAGATTGGGTGAGTTGTGTGCTATGAAACGGGCCAATGGATTGTCGGCTAACCTTCTGCAGGGCGCGTGGGATTCCTATATTCAGGGGACGGCGAGCACGGGGATCGACGCCGGCCTGTTCCCCATGAATGTGGACTTCGCCATGGATACAAGCCAGCAAACGCAAGGAGGAATGAACGATAATAACAACAATGGGTTTATGGAGTCGCAAGGAACGGGCCACATGATATGATGTTTGGGACGTGATGATCACGTAGGAGTCCGGCAAGAGGGACACGACAGTGATGAGTATGGAAAAGGGGCAGCTTTGGGAGGGATTGCAGGCGCCGAGGGCGACAATGTTGAGATATGCAGGGTATGCAGGGCAAGGAAGTGGACCTAGCACCACGATGTGCATATACTGCTGGTATTTAGGGGCAATGACAGAGTTGTAAGTAAGCTTGAGGTGAGGTGGGAGGTGGAGGATGGAGGGGTAATGCATACAGAAGGCAGCTGGAGAAACTTAGCGAGAAGGTCTTTCGGCGGCGTGGGACCGGACGTGTTTCCAGGCCGACTGCCCGGCACAGCGGTGTTTTCGCGCCTTGCGGTTGGGTCGGGGATGGCATGCGAGCGGGCCTGTAAGACATCGTTCACGAGCTACGACAAAAGGTGGTGAAAGATCAGTCGACGGAAGTCAGGAACCTCGCATGTCCGAGATTGTTGATCAATCTCTTCCCTCGGCCGCGCGAATTCACACAGTCGCAGAGCGGTGGCGTTGATGATGATGATGATGATGATGATGGGGCAGAAACAACAAGTTGTGAACGCTGATGATGGGTTGTTTCACTGGCGGAGACAGCCGAGGGCGCGGGGATGGAGAGCACAACAGTAGATACACCACAGGTAATAAGGTAAGGTCGGGCACGGGCAGGATGCAGCTCAGGGAACGACGTCACACTGACATCGGACGGGGTCGTGTGAACTGGATCCCGGGCCCGCTCGGCTGTCGTATTATCATTTACCGTACGGTGTTTACAATTAAATCACGCCCGCATCATTCCACAAGAAGCTGCTCATCGCTGCTCACTATTGTTCACTGCTGCCTGCACCGCATCCAACACCAGCGACAACAACACCACCGCCACCACCGCCACCACCGCCACCACCGCCGCCGCCACCACCTCTGCCTTGGCTGACCTTGGAAAGACGTTGGGAAAGAATTTGAAGAAGAGATCAAAAAGAGAGACGCAGTAAGAGGTATCCACCCGAAGCGCCGCGGCACACGCGAAGGAAGAGAAGTTGCGGCCGCATCCTATTCGCCGACGGCTTCCCATCGCTTCGCTTCGCTTCGCTTCTGCTGCTTTCCATTTGTACCGTGACACGACCCGAATTCCCTCTCGTCGCTCTTTCCACCCTCTCCACTCTCTACCACTGGACCGGCCGCGCATCACGTTGCCTCGCCGCCCCTCTCGCGACGCGCTCGCCGCCGCTCCGATCTTTCCTCCGACCCCACTCCGCTCCAGCCAAACCCCCACCGAGGCCGGAGCCACCGAGCTTCCATAGCAAACATCACCTGTTGCTGCTCCAACGCCCACTGCGAGTCACGCGCCCCGTGACGCGCCCGTTCGCCCCCAACTACCACCACCACCACTACCGCCGTCATGTCGTTGAAGAAGGCACTCACCAGCCTAAAGCCACGCAGTGGCTCCAACTCGGGCCCCAGCAGCGACAATGAGAACAACGCCAGTCCCGCGCCCAGTCGCCGCTCTGGTACCTTCCCCCTCTCCCTCCACAATGGCATTGGCCTGGGACGCCATTCCACCGACTCGAGCCGCAAAGCTCACGACACTGGCTCCCCATCGCCCTCTCGAGCTTCCAAGGAGCATCAACGCAACTCCCACAGTCCCCTGGGTTTCCTCAGGCGCAAGGTCCGTGGCGGCTCGGATGACTCCCACTCCTCGACAGAGGACTTGCCCTTGAACCGCGAGGGCGAGTCCCTCAGCCGGAACCAGCAGCGTAAGCATGACAGGCAGGCCGAGAAGGAGAAACACCGTCATGAGGCGGAAGCCCGCATCGAGGCAGACCGGAAGCGAAAAGAGGACATGGCGCGCAAGGCTGCCGAAGAGGAGACGGAGGAGCAGAGGTCCAGATATGGCACCCTGCCCATCAATCACTACGCAGGACAGCAGAAGCACGAGGATCGCATTGACCTGCGTGAGTTGACCACCGACCAAGTCGGCAAAATGGTCTGCTTCAGAGCTCGCATACACAACATGCGGAAGCTGAGTGCCCACCTCATGTTTATCGAGCTGAGGCAGCAGACCCACACCATTCAGGGCATCCTGCACGAGCACGGCAGCGTCTCGCAACACTTTGTCTACTGGGCCGAGCATCTTCACGTCGAGTCCGTCGTGGTGGTCAAGGGAGTGGTCCAGGAGCCCAAGGCCAAGCAGGGTGAGATTATTGGTGTCTCCATCCATAACTTGGAGATCCATATTCACGAGATGCACGTCGAAGCCACCCCATCCGAGCCTCTGGCTTTCACGGTTCACGAAGCCGAAGTTTCCAAGGCAGACACTCAGCAGGAAGGAGACACTCGCCACCGCGTGTCGGATCGAGCCCGTCAAAACAACCGGATCATCGATCTCCGCACCACCACATCGCAAGGTATCTTCCGTGTCCAGTCTGGTGTGTGCCAGGCCTTCCGATCTCACCTGCACAATCTTGGCTTCATTGAGATCCACACACCCAAACTGCAAGGCGCGGCGTCTGAGTCTGGTGCCAGCGTGTTCAAGGTCGACTACTTCGGCAGACCAGCTTTCCTCGCGCAGTCGCCCCAGCTGGGCAAGCAGATGTGTATTGCGGCTGACATGCGACGTGTCTTTGAGATTGGTCCGGTTTTCCGAGCCGAGAACAGCAACACCCACCGACATTTGACGGAATTCACGGGTCTCGATCTGGAGATGGCAATCGATGAGCATTATCATGAGGTGCTTCGAGTTCTGGACAGCACGTTCAAGGCTATCTTCACCTATGTGTACGACAATTACAAGGAGGAGATTGAGGTCATCAAGCGTCAATTCCCTCATGAAGATCTGGTGTGGTTGGATGAGACTCCAATTATCCCATTCGCGGAGGCCATCCGAATGCTGAACGAATCCGGCTACAGAGACGAACAGGGCAACATGCTGTCTGAGAACGAAGACATGGGAACACGCGACGAGATTGCTCTTGGCGCCGTCATCAAGGAGAAATACAAGACGGACTACTACGTTTTGGACAAGTTCCCAACATCTGCACGACCGTTCTATGCTATGCCAGATCCTAACAATCCCGAGGTCACCAACTCGTTCGATATATTTCTGCGTGGACAAGAGATTCTGTCTGGTGGTCAGCGTATTCACGACGCTCACATGCTTGTTGAGAAGATGGAGAAGATGAAGATGGATCCCAAAACGTTGGATGAATATATGACAGGATTTGAGTGGGGTGCTCCACCACACGGTGGAGGTGGTATTGGTATGGAACGAATTCTGATGCTGCTCCTCAAGCTCAACGATATCCGAAACGCGACTCTGTTCCCACGCGATCCGAAGTCGCTGCCCTACAAGCCACCAGTCAAGCAACTTCGACACCCGGAGGCGAGCACATTAACCCCACCATGGCAAGGAAGCGACCGAGTCGCTGCTCACGTGGACTACCAGCCACTGGAAAAGCTCATCGCCAACTATGGAGACGCATCGAACACCTCGTGGCTGGAGCCCAAATTCGAGATCTGGCGCGACTCCTACACCGGTGCTGCGGTTGGATTCGTACCCCATGAGGGCTTCGCAATTACCATCGGTGATCCGCTGTGTCATCAGACCCAGTACGTCAAGACCATTGGCGGCTATTTGAGATACGTGAAGAAGGAGAGACATCTCAAGCCTCTGTGGCTGCTCTGCGGTGGAGCTGTTGAGGAAGTCCTCGCGAACAAGTTTGACTGGCGAACGCTCTCCGTGGCCGCCGAGCAGCGTCTGGACCCTGGCAACAACCCAGCCAGCCGAGACCCTGAAATTCAACGCAAGTGCCGACATGCTGAGAAAGAAGGTGTCAAGCTTCACGACATCCCTCTCGGCACACCCGTACCCAAAGATGTGCAGGAGAAGATCGACCAGCGCATTCAAGATTGGCTGAAGAACCGCAAGGGCAAGCAGGTCCACTTGACAGATGTTCACCCGTGGCAAGACGTGGCACACAGACAGTATCACTACTCGACAACCAAAGATGGTCAAATCAGTGGACTCGTCATTCTGGCGCAACTGTCGCCGGACCACGGCTGGCAGGTGAAATTCGCCCTCGACTTCCCAGGCGCGCCCTCCGGTGCCATTGAGCTGCTCGTACTGCACGCTCTCAAGGCTGCATCAGCCACTGGTGCAACGTCTGTCACTTTCGGTGGTGGTGCCACGTCGAAGCTGACCCCTGGACATAACCTCAAGGGCGCTCGCGTGAAAGTGCTCACCAAGGCATACCATGCGATCGCTACCGAGCTCAAGTTGACCAACAAGAGCGAGTTCAGAGAGAAGTTGGGTGCCCAGGATGATCCAATCTATGGTAAGTACTCAACATGCATGGTTGGTCTCTGTCTGGCACGGTGCTAACTTAGATCGTAGTCTGCTACCCGCCCCACGGCTTGGGACCAGCTGGTGTCCGGGCCATTCTCAGTTTCTTTGAAGACGAGGACGACTCTTCCAAGTTGGGTTAGGATACCAAGAGTAAGAGGAAAGAAGGGCCGGGACTGGGAATGAGACTAAGCTGGGCAACGAAAGGATGATTAACGTGTGGGAATCCGGCTCTGAATGAATGAAGGTGGAGGCGGTACTAAAATGATTGGTCCATTCGGACATAGAATCTGCATCACTGTGTCTTGTGTTCTGTCGCTGACGTGAACACGATTCTGCAGCGTCTTCATACCCCCGGGAGTCTATACAGTAGAGTAGAGAGATGTTGCTATTCTACGGCTACTTTTTGAGTTTTTTAGTAAATGATACCTGATGGACAGCGCCTTTTGATGAGTTGAAAAAGTTCTTGGAAGCTCTTCTCGCGGAGTGGAACATTTATCATCATCATCCTCTCTCCTCTCTCTCTCAGAGCAGCGGTCGAGAGAGGTCTGTCTTTTGCTGGTCTCATGACAGCACACTTACCAAACAGTGCGAACACACGATGCCCCGGATCGAAGTCCACGATATCCAAACTCAACTCGGAATTGGAACAGTCGGCAGCCCTCGTCGATTGGTCTTCATGTTCAACAAGGCCGTGATTGGAATCTTGAACGGATGGAAAATCTGAGGCACACTTAACAATACCGACTGATACTTTCTATGTGATCCTGGAGAGGGTATCATGCTACTTCAAGCTATCGCTGCTGTACCAACGCCTTTTTCCTTTTCGTATCTCTATCGACCTGGCCTTCCCCAATGGCACCGTACTCTTCACGAACTGCCCGTGTTGGGATAGTTGTTCTTGCCCACGGGATCGGCCGCGCCTCCCCTCTGGCCCAGAATCCCACCCACGTCGAAATCACGCTGCTGCTCTTCCTGCACGGCTTGCCGCATGGGCGCCTGCTCGGCCTTCTTGCGCTCCAGGTCCGTTTCCAGCCCCGGTTGCTTGCCTCCTGCTCCCGGGTGACGCTCCACGGCACTGGCGACTTTCCCCTCTCCTGGAGCACCCATCTGGTCCGCATCGAGCTCTTCGCGGTCCAGACTCTCCTGCGTGTAGCCTTTGGTCTCCTCGCCGGGGCCTGCGCCGCGGATGCCTCGGGCCATTGATGTCGGGACGGCTTGGTCGAAGCTTACTGTCTCGCTGGGGTCTCGGTGCGCTCTAATTTGGCATATAAGTTCCACCATCATCATCTTCTGTTGGAGAGTCTTTCGATTCTTGCGGTCCTCCTCACTTACACGGCATTCTCATCGTTGGTCTGAGCATTGATCTGGGCTCTGGTATTCTCGACTGGCGCTTTGTCTGTGGGGTTGCCGGCTGTCTCGTACGCTTGATCGAGTCTGGGCTGGCCAGCGACGCCTCCTTGGTTTTGGCTCATGATGTGGTGTATCTTGAGTGTGGCTCAACGAGACTACGAGATTCGAGTTCTTCAAGCGTGGGTTTCGAGGTGTCCGTTGTCGATGAGACAATTGTCGTACGTCCAGTACCAAAAGACTGCAGTGGAGATGTTTATTCCTGTCCCGCGATCTGATCTGCCCCACCGACGTCACCTCCAGCTCTGCGCGTCATCCTCTCATCACAAGCTTGTGGTAAGGTACTCAATGTATTCCACCGCTGGAGAAACCACCATACCCCAACTAGAGCCCTAATCCCTACATTCGAGTGCCTTCCAACCGCGAAACAGCAACCATGGCGTCCAGTCTCTCCCGCAGCGAAGTCCTGGGCAAGGTCTACAAGATGGTCCCGCCCATGTTGGAGAAATTTCACAAGGGTGAGCACGAGGGCACCATCCATGCTCTGCTCCAGAAACACCGACTGACATGAAATTCGGCAGGCCAACTGGGACGTGTGGCTGTCATTGGAGGAAGCGAAGACTATACAGGAGCGCCATACTTCTCAGCAATGGCTTCGGCGAAATTGGGAGCCGACATGTCGCACGTCATCTGCGAACCCGGCGCTGCTGCTGTGATCAAGACATACTCTCCCAATCTCATGGTGCACCCCTACATGCGTCAACAGCGAAACCTCGGACAGAACGAATCGATCGAATCCGTGTCCGAGCAAGTCATTGGCATGCTCGACCGCCTGCACGTTATTGTGATCGGTCCTGGTCTGGGCCGCGACCCGGCAATGCAGGAGACCTGCGCTCGCGTCATTGAGGAAGCAAAGAAGCGCAATATCAGCTTCGTGCTGGATGCCGATGGCCTTTACCTCGCTCAGACGCGGCCAGACCTCGTGCACGGATATAAGGAATGCATTCTGACGCCAAATGTGGTAGAATTCGGCCGACTGGCAAAGAGCCAGGATATCGACACCAGTAAAGAGGATCCGAGCAAGTTGTGTGAGAAGCTCGCGAATGCATTCGGTGGTGTCACAATTATCCAGAAGGGCAAGGTCGATTACATCTCCAATGGCAAGCAGACGCTCATTTCGGATGGAGAGGGTGGGTTGAAGCGATCTGGCGGACAGGGCGATACGCTCACTGGTTCTCTCGCGACGTTGCTGGCGTATCGAAAGGCATATCTCGACAAGATTTGGGACCATGAGGGCGACATGAAAGCGGATGAGACTCTGACATATGCGGCCTACGGCGGTTCCGCAATCACGAGGGAGTGCTCGAGGTTGGCGTTCAAGGAGAATGGCAGGTCTCTGCAAGCATCAGACTTGACTGGCCATGTCCACGCTGCGTTCCTAGACATCATCGGCGAGAAGCCGACTGATCCTGCAAAACTGTAAGCATCTGCTTCATTCCGGGGCTGTACCATTAGCGAGGCGTCAGCGGCGCAGAATACGAGCTTCTTGGGCAGGACAGTGATGCAGTCAGAAGTCAGCATACTTGCTGAATCGAATTGAGAAAACCTGTCGTGTCCCCGAGAAATGCTGTTGACTCTACGCCGCTGCCCATCCTCATCAAAATTGCGCCCTCTTTTGTGTGGACTCTAAAATCCCATGCAACTCTCCCTGGACACCTCGCCATGCTGATGCAAGTTCAAAATCAAAACAAATTTGGAAGCTCATCTATGCCCAAATCGGTTTTCGTAGAGCTCATGGAAAAGCCTTCCTGAGATACTCAATGATCGTGAAGACCACAGCGGAGCTTGGTGCACTCCTGGCTACCGTAATGCCACAGCCCCGGTATAGTCCCTTCAATCCGTGTGCCTTGTACAGCTCTTTCCCAACATTTGTAAATGTCGGTTTGACCCCAGTCAACTCTCCTGTCTGGATCTTGCTCTTGATCGTATCTGCGGGAAAGAAGATGAAGTTGTACGACATGCCCGCCACGGCTCCAGAGGTCAACTGCTGCCCGATGGGGATGCTGTTCGCCTCTGGGTCCTTGAGACGTGCCTGCTTCAAAAAGTATAGAGACAGAGCCTCGTAGCTGCCAAACCATGCGGCACCCCCACCGGTCTCGCGCAAAAATGTTCCCAGTTGGCCTCGCCAGAAGCCAATTAGGCCTTCCTGTCGGTAGATGCCTGTTATGACTTTGAAAATGCCAAGAGGCTTCGTGGAGAGGCTCGGGTCGACGGAGGATTGGATGGGAACTTGTATGCGGCATTTCACCAATTCGATCGGGGTAAGGACGAGGGAAGTGATGCCGCCAGATGCCATGCCAGCGACCAATTTGGCACTCAGTGGGAGTTCCTCGCCCTCCTTGACGGGGACCACTGTCGCCTTTAACAGGTCTTGGGCGAGGCCATAGGCGACGAAGAGGCTGGCATTCTCTGCGGCGGCACCGACCAAAGGCGCGCTCACACCGCGATACAAGCCTCGCACGCCATCTCTCTGGATGCTCTGGCGGAAGCAGTCCAAAGGGCCCTTGAACTGCAAGGGAAGGTGGTCGGGTTGGGACTGAAGGCGGACCTTGACCGTGTCGAAAGGATACTCGATTATCTTGCCGATCGCGCCGGCGACCGAGCCGAAGGTGATATCTTTGAGAGCCCTGAGGCCCTGACTCGAGGCCTGCGCTGCGACCGACGCTGGATGTGGCACCGCCGGCGCGGGCGACGCTGTCGGGTCGACGTAGGGGTGGGATGCGGACTTGGCGTCCATCGCTGGTCCGCAAGCAGCAGACGTGAAGTGAGGGCTTCTCGTGTTATCGGGGGAGCATGGTATGGAGTGTGTAGTGGAGTAGCAGAAGAAGAAAACGAAGAAGAGAAAAGTGTATTGACGGCGGGCGGTGGTCTTGGAGAGGAAGAGGGTTTTTTTTTTTTGGGCCAGCTATTCAGAATCAGCACATGGGATGACTCCACGTTGCGACAAAGGTGGTTGTTTGTTAGGGCATCCGCCCAGCATTTAGTGTCGTGACGGTATGCTTGGGCAGCGTGGCGCCACGAACTGGAGAGGAAATAATATTATTCCCCATTGCGCGTTGATCGATAGGGAGGCGTCACAGGGCAGGCATGCGCTCAGGCCTGCCACTTTTTAGCCCCGAGTGCGGCCGGAGAAGGGCAAAATTGCTGGGCGCGAGACTTCCCGAGCTCCTCCGCCTCGACCACTACCCGTTCTCCGCACCACCACATACCGCCGCGCTGCGATTTAATTCACGCACCTCCTCACCCTTACGCGCGTTGGCCTCGTCCTCGAACATGGCCGTCGTTTTGGGATCGACACCGGCTGCCGGCCTCAATGCGAAAGCCGCCCAGGTGACGGGCATGCGCAAAAACGGAAAGCAGTGGCACGAGCCCAAGAAGGCCTTTCGCCCAGCTGCTGGCAAGTCTAGCTACGCGAAACGAGTCGCTCGAGAGTCGCAGGCAGCGGACGTCAAAAAGATCGAGAAAGAAATGAAGGCTGAGAAGGAGGAGGAGCGACAGGTCCGTCACGCAGCGTGAGAAGACCTCTTGAGAGGAGTGGTACTGACACTTTGCGCAGAGGAGGGTACAGGCCATCAAGGACAAGCGCGCAGCAAAGGAAGAGAGGGAACGCTATGAGAAGATGGCAGAGAAGATGCACAAGAAGCGCGTCGAGCGATTGAAGAGAAGGGAGAAGCGGAATAAGCTGCTCGAATCATGAAGTGCGTCTCTGACCTCCTTCTTGATCATATCTACAAGTCCAAGATGGCACTTGCCGTTGTGTGGCACCACAGACGAACCACTGTGCGAGATGCTCGCGTTGCCATCGTGGTCTTGAACCGGCTGGACGCCTCGTGGGCATGCTGTCCGCAGTCTTTGCCACGATGACGATGCTCTCCATGCGACTTTGATCCTCCAGACTCTCCATGTGGTCGAAACATGGAGCGCAACCTACGTTGCTTTTGGAAGGACATTCACTCTGTTCACTGGACGTGTGCACGGCACTTGGCTTCTGTCAGCACCGTGACAAGGGTTTCATATACCTCTCCGTGTCACACGAAGCGACCACAGCATCTGCGAAGGTCTTTTCGTGCAAGTATCCAACGCATAACGATGACGAATTCTGAACAGTTGTGATCGTCTCTCTCACAGTGCTAGCAACCTCGAACATTACAGTGAAATCGCTGACCTCAGCTCATAAGCCATCAGTTTCGCAACTGGCTACGCTGCCGTCGCCAAAGATTTCCCCGAGTCGCCATCAGGACGGAAATACAACAGCGCAACTCTTGCCGGACTTATGAAGACAGTGAGCGGAATGCGTTGTCCATGCACTCGCATCTGATCTGCAGACACGATTCGACAAGATCTTTTTTTTTCCCCGACGTTCACGGACGTGGTCTCTACTACTAGTAAGCTCGTGTCTACAGCCAGTAGTCACGGCGCATGCTTCCGTGGGTCAAGTACACGGCGACGCCGGCATCTCAACGCAGCGATGTAGGTGATCCGTACATAAGAACTTGACCTGCCTCGGATAGTGCATACACCAAATGGGACATTCCAAAGAATCTATCGAAGGAAAGGCTACCTAATGCAGCTGTGCCGTGGCAGGGCACGAATGGCTGGAAGGGGGTCCAGCTGCAAGTGTCGGTCGGGCCAGCCACTTCCACGGCAACTCATTCATCGAAGAGCGGACGAGCTCGCCATCGCTTCGTCGTGGTTGCGTTTAAGCTCAAGCTTATCGATAGCCTGATCAGGAGCCATGCGAGCCTAACCCAGATCTGGCATCGTCCCACAGGTTCAACTTCCAGACCGCTGGCTCGCGTCAACTGCCGGATCTGACCATCTCTCATCTCTCACACGCGTCGAGCCGCAACATGTCGGCGTGTTCACTGAAGAGTGCTGGGCGCCGTGCGAAGAACACGGCTCGAAGCAGTCAGGACTGCAGTCGGGGATGCGGTAGCGAGCATCAACCGGAACCTACCTCACTCAGCTCGCCAACCTACATCAGCCGCTAGCTGAACATGCTCTGCATCGCGGCGGTGCGGATCTCACTGATCTTCATGTCGGTAGGCTAGACTGTTCTCGGTCTACACAGTGCGCGGAAGAGAGTCTGCAACTGTCTCGGCGCGCGCGCGATTCATGCAGCAGCCAAGTCGATCCTAAAAGGCCCAACCACCCTTGCAAGCCGTCCTCTTCCCACTATCTTGCATCTTGTTCCTTGTCACGACTCTCAGACTTTGGCTTCCTCTGTCAACATCCTTTCCGCACGTGAAAGCACCCGGCATCTTGGGTACTTACTGGAAGCTTTAGGCGTAAACCAGGCTCAGGGGATTGACACGTCGGCGCCTCGACAGAGTCGGGACAATGGGATTTAGCTCGTTCTTCTCCTCAATCCTGGGCACGAGGCCCAAAGATACACCTGCTGCTCAGCCAGCTCCTCGGCCTCGACGCGATCATCATCTTGCCGTGAGTTCTACTCACGATGCCCGACCGGAGGATCGTGGCCGTGAGGAGGGCTCCAAACCAACGACAGCCTTACCGAGCGCTTTGCCACAAGCCGCACCGCAACCAGCGAAACCGACTCGGGAAGAAACGAAGGGAGAGAGGAAGAGCAGAAGATTTAGCATGGTACGACCGGAGAACCAATCGAAAAAACGTCGAAGCTGGTTTGGCGGCTCCCCTGATCCTGACGAAGATATCCCCGCTGTGCCCAGGCTGGTTCAGACAAGTGGCCATGACCGTGGGAGCTCGAGAGACACAACAGTCCAGACCGGAACGGTACCCACAACAGGCGACAATGCAGCCAAGTCGGCATCCACGCACAAGACAAAGCGCTTCTCCATAGGACGCGTTCTGACTGGGGGGGAGAAGAACTCCCAAGCGGACAATTTATTGTCGCCTCGACGGCCGTCGTTTAGCTTGCGACGGCAATCATCGAGCAAACAGGGACGGGTGACTGTAGAAACCTTGCCACCGCTACCGGCGATGCCAATTTCGGTCTCGCAGCCAACAAAGCCTGCCACGGCTTCATTGCCCTCTGCCAACCGTCGTAACGCTCCTTCTGTCAAGTCTATCCACAGAAGCAACAGCTCTAAGCGGAGATCGCGGGGCTTCTGGGCATCTTCCAACCCTGACGATTCGGAATCTGATGTGCCACCAGTGCCAGGCCTGACGAGAGATCGTAACCCAGAGTCTGATGATGCCGATGACGAAGAAACTCCCACCACAAGGCTTGTACACACGATGTCTGGCGGCGAAGATGCCAAGCAACCGCGACCACTGAGCGTGAGCTCAAGGAAGTCATACGTCCCGAAAGCTGCTGCGAAAGGTTTCCTCACTTCCACCAACGGTGCCTCGGATGCCACGCGCATGAGTTACCGGAAATCCTTCAGGATAGACTCCACTGCAGACTTGATCTGTCTTACCGAGGACCAGCGGCTAGAGTGGTCCAAATTGATGAACGAGCCACATCGATCTTACGAGCAGCCAACGAAGACGGCTGAACCCGTCAATGAGGAGGAGAAGTTCTCAAATGCACAGGCGTTGGCTGCGCTGGAATTTGGAATCCGAGCTTAGAGGCGCGAAATAGCGTAACGAACCTGACGACCACATTTTACTATTTTGGAACTTTCATAGCAAGAAGCGGGCATATGGCGCTGGGGCAGCTGGGACTTCGGGAATGCCATTGGCATTTACATATTTTTTAGATTGAGGACGACTTCTCAAACAGTGCTTTTCTTAGTGTTCCAAACCGTCGCGATGCTGCGGAGAAAGTACCACATTCTCATTCGGCATTTATGCTGAAACTCTTTTCATGGCTGCCCCAAAGTGGCTACACTGCGCAGAACGTTGCAGGACACGCGTTCCCGTGCATCTAAGACAAGAGATTTAAAAGAGTTGGTGTGCCAGACAATCAAAGCGAGCCTAAAATAAGGCTAGGAAGAGGCTGTCTTGTCCGTTCCTCGCCTCACTGTTTGCACCTTGACACGCCCATGGTACTGTGTATCAGGATTTGAGTCTGTGGTTTCGACACTTGGACATGGCTAAGTCCCCATCGACCAGCATAGACATGTAGGATACCATCTCTGTTTCGCTGGTTCCCAATAGATGAGCATCGAGATGCGCGCTCTTCGTGGACTGTGAGCCAGTAAGCAATTTCAGGATACATCAAGTCGTAAATGTCAGAGATTAGAGGCTCGGTAGATATACTCCAGACCAAGGTGATGCAGAGGGTGAAGTGAGGTCGTAGTCGTAGCAGGGGGCAGCCCTGTCATCCCGTCGGCTCGGCTTCCTGCGCTTGTTTGGCCCGCCATGCAGCTCAAGATGGACACCTCGCCTCTTTGTCCCTTTAGCACTTCGCCCATACAGGATAATATGACCCTATAGCAATCCGGACCGAAGAGTACGCTCTCGAATAACCTCAGAAACCCGGCGACATGAAACACTTCTTCGCGCTGCCGGCCCTGCTGCGATGCTCAGCTCTCCTGAGGCTGGCAGCGGCGTCGCAACACACCTTCAGTGTCCAGGATGACATGCTGGCGTTCCCTCAGTATGAGGTGAAATTTGTGGATGATTGGACATCAGAAGAAGAGGCGCACTCGAAGTTGCTGAGCAACGAGAAGCTGCATCTACAGCACCAGAACGATGGCGACGGGTTGCGAGATGCGCCGCCTTCACAGGTCGAACAATACAAACGGCAGCGTGGATCTGCGGGGACTGGCGACAAGCAGGGAGACGATCAAGCAGACTATGAGCATATGGTATTAGACGGTCAGCCGTGGCTGTGTCGCATACCGAAGGTCAAGAAGCCGGAAGACACAGTGGGAGTGAACGACACGCTCACCAAAGCGGAGGAAGAGCGAGAACTGGCGCGGGCGACAGATCGCGGATGGGAGCTGCTCTCGGGCATGCAGGGCAATTGCGTCTTCTTCATCAGTGGGTGGTGGAGCTACCAATTCTGCTATAATCAACATGTGAGACAATTCCACCAGCTGCCGCCGGGTAGAAGTGTGCCGGTCTACCCACCTCTGGAAGATCCAGGCGTGCCAGGCTTCACCTTGGGAACGTACGAGAAGAGATTCGAGGACGACGATGCTGCAAAAGGCGAGGCTTGGGATGGCGAGGGAGCGTTGCAGATGAGTGATGGCTCGAAGCGGAAACGGAGCGGGCACGGCGAGCTTGTGCAGCGGGGAGAGAGCAGGTACTTGGTTCAGAGGCTGGGTGGAGGCACAGTCTGCGATCTGACCGGAAAGGAGAGGAAGGTCGAGGTCCAGGTGAGCGGACACAATCATGTCTCGTTCTTCATGAAAGCATACTGACACTGTCGAAGTTTCACTGCAACCAGCAGACTGCCGATCGCATATCCCTGATCAAGGAGACCAGCACATGTGCCTATCTCATGGTCATTCAGACGCCGCGGCTCTGCTCTGACGTGGCATTCCTTCCACCTCAGAAGGATCAGCCTAATGGTATTGAATGCTCACCGGTTCTTCGCGAGGACGAAGTGGAGGAATATGAGCGCGATCTCAGTGCCGTAAAAGCGGCTGAACGCGAGGCCAACATCTGGGAAGCAACAGCCGAGGCAGCCGCCGCACTGGGTGCTGGCCCAGCTCTTGAGCCTCTGGACCTGCCCGTCGGGGACATCTACATTGGCGAGCATCGACTCGTGCCGGAGGGTAAGAAGATTGAAAAATCCGCCATTGTGGGCGGAGGCAAGGAAACATACATCGATACAGTTGCCACCTCTGACGGAAAGGCTCTGAGCAAAGCGGATCTTGAGAAACTCGGAGTCAGTGACACCAAACCCATCGAGAAGCTCAAGAAAGAGCTCGAGAAGATTGCTCAAGGACAGGCTTGGAAACTGGATGTCATCGACACGCCGCGCGGCCGAGAGTACCGAGGCATCATTGGCGATGATGAGGAAGAGGAAGAAGAAGAAGATGGGGCTCAGGAAGACAGCAAGCTGAAGAAAGAGAGCAAGAGAGAGACTACCAAGGAAGGTAAGACGGACGAGAACAAAGCTGCAAAAGAGCAGAAGAACGAAGGCAGCGAGGAGGAATACTACAAGGAAGAACTATAGTTATAGTGTTGTGATGTATGTTCAGACTAATGTATGAAACTTCAGAATCTGTCAAAGTACCGAATTGCGATACAGACTGGGACTTCTTCTCGCTCTCTGCGGTTAGTTTGTGCGAATAAAGTCGCGCGCCGCCTTGCCAAGCCCGACAGGGGTCGCGTTAGTGCTTCACATGTGACACGGAGCTTTCGCGACCGCACGACAAACAGCCTTCTTCGTGCCAACGATTTCGCTTCATTCAGTGTCGCTACGGAGAGCCTGCCAAATATACTGCGCTGTGTCTCAAGGCTATCGTACAATTTAGAAGCCCGAAAACCTGAAATTTCAAAGTGCAGTAATCTCTCCTGTGCAAAGGCCCTTCCAAATTCGCGAGCGTGTAACTTTGTAAAGTCCCACAGAAACAACTTCGTGTCGACATCCACTGCTGCTCTCCCTCCTAGCAGATGTGTCCAGAAATTCTTCGTAGGCTTCAAAGCCATTACTCGTTCGTTGGGGCGGTGGTGGGGAATAGGGGTGAAGTGAGTCGGTGCTGTAGAGTATTGATGTCAGTAGTAGACAATTTCAGGACTGGAACAAGAGCTTACCGCAAGTGCCAAGGTTGTCGAAATGGGCAGTGATGTCTTGCTGGAGCAATTCGGAGGGCGAATGTGTCGTCGCTCTGGGTACGGTAGGTAGAGCTGGCCGCTCGCTGCGGCTGCTCTGCTGCTGCTGCGGCTGCTCTGCTCGCTTGCACCCGCTGCAACGCAACGAAAAGACAGAAGAACGAACACTCCTACCTTTTCCGCCATGTAAGTGGGACTCCTCACGTGCGCATGACGGAGTCGCACTTGGGGCAGATCGTGATGTACTCGTTGACCGCGGTCGAGCGGACCAAGGCGACGTACTTCTCGATGAAGTCGAAGAGGTCGAGGCCGTTGGTGCGCGTGCCGCTGTGGCAGTCGTAGGCCAGGCGCTTCACCTGGCAGCGGCAGGGCTCGACGTCGGTGCCTCGCATCTTGGACTTGATGCCCGGGAAGGGTCTGCAAGCGGGGGAGAAGAGAAGAATCAGCAAGATTTTCTTCATCAGGGACAAAAAGGGTTGAGGTGCAGGGTACGTACTGTTTCTTGTTCTGGGGGCGACAGAGCAGGATGCGGTTCAGAGGCCTCGTGATGACGGCGACGAAGTGGACTTCAAACGGGGTCTTCAGGTCGCCGATGTAGAATCTGCGGTGGACGCCGAGGCGCCAGACGTTGTTGATGGAGCGGTCCAGAAACTTCCGGAAGGCCTCGATGCCGCGGGTGCAGAGGGAGGAATCTTGGAAGGTGAAGTAGTTCTCCTCGAAGTAGATACGGCGGCATTCGGCATTGAGGCGTTCGGAGGCGTAGAGGATGGGTGGCATGCCAGCACCGACCTGAAGAGCTTTGATACTGCGGAGGCGGCTCTGTCAATATCAGCAGTCTTGTATGATGGGTCTCTCTGCGTACCTGTAGCCCTCGTATCCGACACCAGCCGATATCAACTTCTTCGTCTTGATGGCGAGGTAGACATCGGACTTCCTAAGCAGGGCGAGGCGGTAGATTCGGTTGCGCAGCTCTCCAGGAAGGTCGAAGAAGCACGCTCTGCTCCTCTTCTTCTTGCCCTTGGGCTGTTGTGTTGGCGCGGGCAGTCCCTGTAGTCTCGCCATCCTGCTCTTTCTCGGGTTGTTTCTCGTTCACGTTGTTGTAAAGGAAAAGATTGACGGAGGTTTCGTAGGGCGGTAGAAATAGAAAGACATCGTTTGTGCGCCATGTGACCGCCACGGCCCGTTTTGTCAATCGACAATAGTGAGGGCCCATTGTCGAGATTCGACAATTGATCTGGGAGAATATGGGATTCGGCAGGTCACGGCCTAGCAATACGTGGTGCGCAATCGCAGTGCTGCCCACCTTTTCCCTCAGACGGCCCATTGTCCCCTCAATTGTCTGTAAGCTGAGACTCACTGCAACCTACGTTATCACATGCCAAACGCATGTGACCCCGGGTGGCCAATGCTTCTTATCCGCGTCTGCGTGCAGAAGTGACGCCACTTTTCGGGTCGTCCATCGCGCCGATTCTGGTCGTCCTCGAAATATAGCTGGTATTCAGTACATGGTTTGTCATCCTGCTGGGTGTGTGAGGAGCACACAATCAATTGTAAAGTCTTTCGCGTAGGTCCACAGCACAACACCTCGTATGTCAGGCATATTTGTGGACTCGAGATCCGCCGAGTCCGGCATGGCGAGCACGGTCAGAAATGGTAGCGCCAGTCCGTCATGATATGGGGTCCGATATCAGGTCTCAAGTGGAGGGTCTGCCAGATGTCATGTTAGCATAATGCAACGTCGGCAGCTCCACAGTGAGGAGCTTGCCCTCGGCTTTAACTCGGGTATGCAACCTGTACAAACACGACATATCCTCCCAACCTCGAATTCATTACTGCACACTCTCGAATCTCCATCGTCTCCGCACAAACTTTCACTTAAAGAACTTGGAGAAAATGGTCAAGACACGTCAATGGCAGCTGGCCCACAAGCCCAGAGACGAGCCTCAACTCTCTGGTCCGAACCCAACCTTCAAGCTCGTCGAGACCGAGCTTCCGGAGCCCAAGGAAGATGAATTGCTGGTCAAGACACTGTCTCTGTCGAACGATCCCGCTCAGCGTGGTTGGATCGACCCTGACATTCCGGCCGAGAGGCTCTACGTTCCGCCAGTAGCCGTCGGAGCCCCCATGGCCGCACGAGGTCTTGCAGAAGTCATTGAGTAGGTAGCAGTTTGTCCAGACGGCATAGCGGCATTGGTTTTGCTGATGCTTGCGTAGATCCAAATCGTCCACTTACAAGAAAGGCGATACAGTGTTGGCGACCACGAATTGGTCTGAATACGCTATCGTGCCGGCAAGCACCTGTCAACCCGCTCAGGACCTTCCTGGAGGCAAGTCAAAGACGCACTACCTTGGAGCGCTAGGGATGACTGGTCTGACTGCCTACTTCGGCTTGACTGGAGTGGGTGAGACAACCAAGGACGATATCATCGTCGTCTCCGGAGCTGCAGGCGCCACTGGAAGCATGGCCGTTCAGATTGCCAAGAAGATCATCGGCTGCAAGAAAGTCATTGGTAAGACTTCGCCTGCTGTGCACTGACTATACTTGAGATGGCTAACAGGCCTCGTCTCCAGGTATCGCCGGCACAGACGAGAAGTGCCGTTGGGTCGAGAAGCTGGGCGCCGACGTCTGCCTCAACTACAAGAGCAAGTCTTTCGCCGATGATATGAAGAAGGAAACTCCAGGACCCGACGGCTTCGCCGATGGTGAGTTCAGCCTAGTTCCCTTCCCCGCCTAAGACGAGTCTGTTGACCACAGCCAGTCTATTTCGACAATGTCGCAGGCGAGATTCTCGACTTGATGCTGTCACGCATGGCTCGCCACGGACGCATCATCGCCTGCGGTGCGATTTCGAGTTACAACACGGCCTCTGAGCGGACGACAGGGCTGAAGAACTGGTTTGAAATTGTCAGCATGCGCATTAAATGCCAAGGCTTTATCGTTCTGGACTTCATGAAGGACTTCTCCAAGGCGTTGGATATCTTCAAGCAGGCTCTAGCCGATGGCAGGCTCCAAATCGATGAAGGCGAAACGGTCATTCCCACAAAGTTCGAGGACGTACCGAAGACGTGGCTCAAGTTATTCGACGGCTCCAACCAGGGCAAACTGATCACGCAGATCCAAGGGTGAAGCCGTCAGGGCATTATGGAATGGTAGAATGGTGGTTGAGAGGGTGACGGGACAATATTAGCGGAGCACATCGTCGATACTCGGCTTCTAAAGCTACTCGTAGAATATCGGAGCGAAGCTAAGCGTAGGAGTACTAATAGACCGGGCCTTTTTCGACGAGTTAGACAAAGCTTATATAGATTAGAGTAAGTTATACGAGCTATATACGCTAAAGCACTTACTAGGAAATTCTGAAGGGACGGGCGACATCTTTTCGCCGCGCCCGTCGCAGCCGGAGTGGCGTGCGGCTCAGGCGCATAGAATATTATATTATATATCTAATCGCGTTAGATCGTAGTCTCTAAGGTAAGTAACGTAAATTACCTAGCTTCTAACATCTCGGCCCGTGCCTGATCTTCGGCCGACGAGACTTCCTTTTTGACCAAGAGCGATGCAGGCGGGCTAGAGGACGAATTATACTATAGTATCCTCTACGTAATATAGAATAGCGCCCGATTACTACCTAGTAAAACGGAGTTGCCGGTTGAGCCGAGCTTGTGGAAAGGATGTAACCCGCCTTGCCCATTGGAGAACATCCTTTCAACGAAACGCCAAATGCCGGTCAGACCAGCTACCTACGCCGATCTCCTCCGAGTGAACCTACAAAGTATCTAAGAAGAGACCGCTGATTCGAAAGATGATCCGTTATATACGCATGATTTTTGTGGGAAGCGTAGTCCTGACGGATGCCTCGAGAAGCCAGCGGATGTTGCAGAAGTGGCTGGGAAATGTTCCAGATACGGCCGCGACGACTCAGCCTTACAACCAAACGTTCCTGCACAAAGAGAGGCAGAGTCAGTCACTCGCGTTCGCTACAGTGATAGCTGGCTTGTGAACCTTTGTTAAGTGTGCATAGTATGCGGTGCACTCGCCTCCTGAACTACTGTCCCCTCCACCTGCAGAGCCTCTCCCCGAGACGCTATCCACCGCCTGAACGCCCGGAAATTCTTGCCGCGATCTATCGAATCGGCATTTGCTTTTCCTGTCTGCGCCGGACTCCATGCTTTCCCCCATTGCCTCAAGAGGGCGTCATACCAAATGTCATGCAAAGTCGACCATTGTCTACGCTGTTCAAGAGAGCTCTCCGATCTTGCTGAGACCTTTCAGGGATCCCAAACTAAGCGCCAGGCCTTGAGATCGACTTCGTATCCGCATGAATCCCGTCACTGGTCCATTCTTGCCCTCTTGTTCAACACTCAGATTCGCAAGGGCGTCCTCACCTGCTGATAATCAGTATTCGAAGCCTGTGAGGCTGGACGAGATGCTCAGAACTTACCAAATACACTCCTTGCGTAAAGATTTGCGCTGAGGAATTGACACTCGCCCTCCAAACTGGCTTCTGGTGTCAGGCAAGACATGTTGGTCACCTTCATTAACCTCTGCAGGAATTCTCTCAAACCTTTGCCCTCAGGCATCTTCGTGTTGATGTTGACTTTGTTCTCCCATTCAAACTCGGTCCACATCGTTCGGAACTGAGTCTCGGTACACTGCGCAGGTTGGATGTAGTCCATGATGTCGACATGGACATCATTCAAGATGACAACATTTGATTCAGTAGAAGATGCTCCGTCGTAGACCACGTTGCCAAAGATGACACCAGTATCAGTTGATGAAACCTTGATAGTCGCTTGCACGTTCAAGAAGTCAAGGGCCGGCAAGTTCTGTGTGGTGGGTCGCTCTACCACTTTGAGATCACCCAGGGTCGCGAACTCGACAGAGAGATTCTGCAGAGTTTCCCGCGTCTGGTTGACCAGCAGAACGTCCAAGACAATGTCGAATTGGTGTACCTGAACATATGCCTCAGCATACACAGGGTCTGAGAATCCAGTAAGCTGTACAACCCGGTTCAGCTTCGAACTGAGGTTTTCGGTGGTGACATCGCCACCCGTCGCCTTCTCCAGATCAATTTCGGCCTCGTCGGCGCCGTCCTGGGCATTCTTCTTGCTGAGTTGACGAATCGAGACAACATCATCTACTTGGATAGCACTCTTTGCTTTGAGTACTGCGTCTTTCTCGGCCCGCTTCCTTTCCTCAACCTGTACCATCTCTCTAAAAGCTTTTCTAGTGTCGTCCAAGAAAGCTGTCTCAAGTTCCTTCTTTTGCGCGAATTCTGCAAGAGATCGGACGCAGGACATAATTCGGTCGACGGAGTCTTCATCGATGGGTGCCTTAACGAACTGAGATTGACCAGCTCGGATGACGGAGATCATGATGAGCATGGCTTCGGCACGGAGAGCATTTGTTCGTGCCGCATCACTCGAGATCTCGGAATGCCGCATGACCAACTTTGTGAGGGTTGACGAGAGTACTGTAGCGAGGAAGTAGTCTCCATCCAGAATAAGTTGTCGCAAAGGTGGCTTTTGTGCAGCCTTGACGGCGTCCAACTTGGCTTTCGCGGATGCTTGGCTCGTGAGAGCACTCTCTGTTGCGTAAGTGCCATCCGCGAGCACCTTGCGTGAGCCACTGGGCACCGAAGGCTTCGTATGACCATTTACCTGATCATTCAATTCCGGCTCACCATCCGGTTGCTCTTCCAACAATCGAGCTTCTGACGCAACGATTGGAATCTCACCCAAGCTAGCCCTGATTCGTTTCCAGGCTTCTTTGATGTCGTTTTCTTCGAGCGAGTATTCTCCAATGATCCAAAGGCTTCCTCGGTAGACCTTTCCGGCCCGGACCTCGCTTAGTGTTGACACCAGTCTTTCCACGATCGAACTGCGCATCTTGGGAAAGCGCTCTACCACTTCCTTGACAAAAGAGATAACATCAATCGCAGATGCGTTGTTGAAGTCCGAGATGAAGTCCATGAGCAGCCCGACCACGCTCTGCGCGACCTCGGAGAACTTGATCGCGCATTGATGTATCGAGTGAATGAGCAGTGATCGGTATTCATTGTTCTTCTCGTATTGCTCATCAACCGTCTTGGCCAGCTCTTTCTTGAGAAGCATAACTACTTCTTCGACGTTCTTGCTCGAGACCATTTCCAGGGCCAGCTCAAGCGCCTTTCTCCTCACATCCAGATCAGGGCTTGAAAGGACACGCAGGATCTCCATGACCAGATCGTCGAGAATGCCCTCGTTCGCTTTACGCAGAGAGTTCACTTTCTCTAGCACGATGAGCTTCACATTATTGTCAGACTCTTTGATGCTAAGTTCGATGAACTTGGCAGCTGCGGCCTTCACTGCAACCGGATTGTTCGTGAGGGCTGTGAGTGACGAGGCCGCCTCGTAGACCACGGTTGAGTCTTTCGCCTCCAGGAGGTCAAAGATTAGCCTGAGGTAGCGCGCCTTGTTTTGCTGGTTTGTGACCGCATCTTTCCGGATGAATTCCAACTCCACCAGCTGCAAGAGCTCATTTGCGTTGGGGATACCCTCAAAAACACCGCTCAGATACTCCAAAGCCTTCTCATGACTGATGCTCAGCAATGCAGCAAAAGCATTGCGCTTGCAGGTGTTGTCACTCTCCGATTCGAGGAAATTTTGTATGAGCTCTGGTGCATCGGGCATAAGCGCCTCCGAATGCTGGTAAATGGATGCGATTGCAAAGACGGCGTTCTTGCGGACGTAGGAATGGCGGTGCTCGAGGCATGACCGAGTGGGTGCAAGGAGAGGCTCGATCAACTCGGGCTCGCGAAGCTTGCAGAGAAAGCGAAGGGTGTTTCCGCGGATGTATTCGTTGGGGTGCTGCAGGTCCATTCGGATGCCATTGCTGATGGCCGTCAGTCTCGTGTTGTATTCAAAGCATTTGGCAGATGTGGCTTACCAGACAAGAATCATCTCTTGCTTAAGCTTGCCATTTGAATCAAGCTTCGGGCAGATTTCATAGTACAGATATAGCAACTTCTTCAGCGGCTTGCTCTTCGAGGGCATGACGAAGCGGATGATGTGCATGAGTAGTTGCGGCATTGGATCTCCGTTGAGCATGATGGTGAGAATTCGCTTCATGGTCTCCTGTTTGGATTCATCGTTGCCCTTTTCCAGGTGCGTCCTGAGATCCTGGAGAGATGGCTGGTCTGCTGTATTATCCTGGTGCACCAAGCTGTACGTACTTTCGAGAAAACTCGTCATTGTGGGCGAGATAGCTCAATGTAGTCTCCAAAAGTGGCGGTAATGATGGCAGTATGTGCAAATGCTGAGCGAGTCCTCCTCGCTGGCTGTCTATTGAAGCAGCCCTCTCCGACTTGCCCTCGCTCCTGACACGTGGGGCTGCGTGCCTCGAGGGCTCGATTGCGGTTCCAAATTGCAGCGGCAGCGCCGAATTGAGGTAATTGGAAGCTGGGTTGGGCGGCAGGTGGTGGCAGAGAGCGTGGGTCTGGAGTCGTAGCGAAGTTGGTGCTGCGGTCAACGTGTCTCCAGAAACCCTGTCAGAATTCCGCTAAAGCCAAAGCTTTCTGAGGAGCCGCATCGCGCTTGGCTTGGCATCTCCTGCCGCCTGCGCAAACACCTCTTCCGACACAATCGACAATAAGGTACCTTCTCGCTTCAGCCTCCCTCTCTAACAATTTGCAACGACGACATGTCTGCATCCGCAGAGCCTTTCTATCTCCGGTATTAGTATGTTCCGCTGGTGGTCAGACAGTTCTTTTCCGCCTTTCCCGCACCGCACTGCAAGACGCACTTGAGCAATAGACTGACGTGTGTCCAGCTCCGGACATTCTGGACGATTTGGCCATGAATTCTTGGGTATGCTTGCCTCTGACCTACCACTCAGCCGGCTTCTCCTGACATGGCCCCAGAATTTGACTTCCGCGTTGTGGGCGACGGCCGCTCTGCGATAGCACGATATGCAAACAACTCGAATTACCGCAACGATTCCCTGATTCGAAAAGAGAGTACGCCTGACCTATGGACTCGCATTCCTCCTCTTGATGGGATTATTGGCCTGACTCTCTTGCAGTGTGTGTGAGCACGCTCATGGTTGAGGAGATCAAGCGCATCATCAAGGACAGCGAGATCACAAAGTATGCCAGCACTTCCCACTCTCACCAACATAGTCTCTGGATGCTGAAGCTCCGTGTGTAGGGAAGATGACACGAAGTGGCCTCAGAAGAACAAGGACGGCAGACAAGAACTGGAAATCCGTCTCGGTGGGGAGCACATTTCGTTTGAGGTCAGCTTTGCCAAAGCTACGCATTAGCGCCTATACTGACTTGCCGGATGGCGATAGACTGCGAAGATCGGCTCGTTGGTGGACGTGAACGAGTCGGAAGACCCTGAGGGTCTTCGCGTTTTCTATTACCTTGTTCAAGACCTGAAGGCTCTGGTCTTCTCATTGATCTCGCTGCACTTCAAGGTCCGTTTGCGTTGTGCCTTTCTAGAGGTTATGACACTTTGGCTAACTATGCCTTAGATCAAGCCAATCTGAGCAAGTACGACGCCAGAAATATCGAGCAGATGGAATGCTATACTTTACAGGCTCCATCGAATTACGACATTTGAAATGATACCCAAACACAGCCAAGTTAATATGGCGCCAACGACATGGAAAGAGGCCATCCGTTCAGCAAGGAGCATGCAGACCAGATATGGTTTGATGCCAAGAAAGACGGACAGGGTCTCGCGGGCCGATCTCTCCAGCTCCGGTCTCACTTGAAGCCAGAGCAGTCGAGTCTCATCGCTGAACTTCACGTCATCTTCAATCAAAACATCGATTCATCCACCATCGACCGCTTGCACCATCTCATCGTGCGGGCGCGACGGTACTTCCATTCATGTGCATAATTGCGCGCATCTTGTAATGTGTTCCTAATCTCTAGCGTCGTCACATAGCCCTCGAGCGACGTCACGCGACTAGAGTTCCCGAAATGCCTACTCCAAGTGAAGACACGCTGCCACCGCCTGCATCTGTTGAGTCCGCTGCGCCTGCATCGAATGGCTTCACAAGCTGTCCACCGGAGGAGACTCGCGAATACCATGCGCCACGCGAACAGCGGTCAGAGCGGTCAGGCTCAGCACAGCCATCAGAAAGAGCTGAGAGCGCCCCGAGAGACATCGATGAAGGCGATACGCAGGTGACTTCTGAGTTGACAACGTCAGATGAAGATGATGGAAATGGCACAAACACAACGATGGCGTCGTCGACTGCACTTTCAAAGGCAGAGCATCTGGAAGACACTGGAATGTTAGCAGAGCCACCAAGCCCAACAGTTGGATGTCCAGATGCACCTAGTGACAGCGATGCGCGATTAGCCCAGTCAATGTCCACCGCTGCGATATCGCCGTCAGAAGTACCTTCGCCGCAATATTTGCACTTTCCAGAACTGGACTGGGATAGGGTAGGTCTTCCATGTGACCGAGCAACAAGGACTGTATGAGGCTGATAGGGCATCACAGCAAATCTCACGAAACTCTGTATCCTCGTTTTTACGGCCTGGTAGTAAGTTCAGGGGAACGCAACAATCCGACCGACAAGTATATGATGTCCAAGTGGAGATCAAGGATGTCGATCTTGCCGAATCGTTTCTGTGCGGCTACTTGCGCATTCAAGGTACGCAACGCTCCTGCAATCATTCGGAATACAGTCGTACGAAGCTGATGCGCTCAAGGTCTTACCGATGACCACCCAACGCTCACGACATTCTTTGAGGGCGAAATCATTGGTCCGAAGTATCTATTCAAGACCGCTCATCCAACTTGGGGTAGCAGTGAGAAAGTCGATCTGCAACACTGGGCGCGCTTTCCTGCGTGGCGACCGCTCGCGAAGTCGTCCAAGTCCCCAAACTTTAGCCTCAAGAACTATTTACAGCGCGAGCACCTGTTCATGCGCTGGAAGGAGTACTTCCTGGTCCCAGACCACCGAGTGAAGACGATAACAGGAGCCAGCTTTGAGGGCTTCTACTACATCTGTTTTAACCAGTGTTCCGGAAACGTCAGCGGCATCTACTTCCATGCTAAGAGCGAGAAGTATCAGCAACTGGAGCTCCAGCACGTCGAAGACCGTGGATGTATGCCGGCAGTGGAGTTTCGATGAAGAGGTGGGCAAGACTCTTCCGGGAGTAGGTTTGATAGCGTTCGGGCGTTTGGGGGTCTGTATACGTATGGTTGAGCGATCACGATATGGTCCCGTCTTCGCAAGTGGGAAGGACGGGGAGGGAGAGAGCCACCCACCGCGTTGCCATGCGTCAGAAACTGTACATTCTCACATCCATTTGACGACATAGGTCCGCGTGCATGAGGAATGAGCATTTGCACTGTCGTTTTGTTTTTCTATAACGTTCCTGTGTCCCCGACCAGCGCATGTCCCTGCATTCTCGGGCTTGGTTACTGCATTTAGAGGCTTAAAGAAGCGCTGTGTGCCGCGTGTTCGGGTGCGTCGTAGAAGATTATCCGGCGCGTGGAAGGGAGAGAAGCGGGAGCTGCTCTGTCTGACCGCGAGGAGTTCCGTAGACGACTTCTGACCCGCCTCACCAAGCTGTCCGCCGATTTTGCTTGTCGGTATGTTGGATTGGTCCAAGCTGAAGAAGCATCCCGGTCCTGCCGACTTCACTTCCCCGTTTGATCACGCTTGGTTCCTGCTTCTGTTGGTATCTACAGCAATCTTTTCACCAGCATAACCATCCTCCTCTGGACCTCTCAAGGCTACGATTCTTGGGACATTTCCCCGAATAATCACGCAGCTCCTCCATCAATTGCAAGGGTCAGCTTTGGGCACGAGCGGGCTAGTCACGGATGATGTCAAGCCAGCTCCACTGGTTGACGACGACTCTGCTCATGTGGCGGTGGATTCGACACCGACAAATAGAAATCTAGCTACTCAACGAGAGAAGCCCCTTTTCACAGCTTCGCACGCCTCGTCCGAGTAGTAGCAGTAGAAGCGCGGCCTGCCTCGTGGCTTCTGCTGACGAAAGCTCGTGTCACCCCATCGTCCATGCCATGGAATGACTTACACAAACTGCACGGATATGCCGGAGATCCGTCTTGCGAGATGAACAACTCGCTACATGCAGACGTCCGTCTCGGCAAGCTTCAATGAAGTTCAATCAACGCCGCCTTCTGAAAATGGTTCACCCTCACTGCTCACGAAACGCAATCATGAACAGAATCTTCATCTATTACCCAACGCTTGGGACGCTTAATCCGATTAAGCACCGGAATCAACGCTGACGGTGCGTTTCAAACTACCGCGATAGTACGTAAGGCTGATCACGCGCTGGGTCTTGCGCTCTGGGACCTGACGATCCTTCTTTTGGCAACCCTGCAACTGCTCTTGCGCTTGCTTCGCGTGTTCTTCCGTGGCTCTTTCCAGGAAGGCGATGCCTGCCGCAAGATGCCTAGAGGCAGAGCAAGCGGCGCAGCATCTCATCAACGTCGACGACTTTCGCTGCTTTGTGGGTCATTCTTGCTCGGCTTTCCTGTTTCTCGCTGCTATTCTTGACGCACCGGGGTGGATCGAAAGAACGACGGAGACGAATCTTGCGATCACGGTGAGGGGTCGAGCTCCTGGCTTGTCGGCATATATGAGCCTGGCTTTGGCCTCTCGTGGAGTGTCCCATCTTTCCTGGCTTTTGCACCCTCCCTCTCTTGTCTCGTCCCTCGTTATTTTGACTTCAATACCTTGTTTCTCTCTTTCGTCATGAGATCCATCTTGCAGGCGGCAGCTTTTGCTGTCACTGCATCGGCGGCAGTCCTTCGAAGGGACCAATGCTGCTTCCAGATCAACTCTTCCGGAGGTGTCTCAGGCGTCATGGGCCAGTACGAAGATGGTCAGAACAGAATCAATGGCAGCTATGCGCCCGCGACCTACTGCTACAGCAACGGCGGCATCGTCGATGCTCACGGCCGTGGATGCGTTGTGACATATACCAACGACGCCACTCACCAGTTCCAATGCGACCTGAACAGGCCCCCAACTTACGGCTTCTCGATTGCGAACAATGGCAGCATCATGTATCAGGGCAGCGACCAATTTTACGCCTGCCCGTACATTACCGAGTACAACGTGTACACAACCTGGCTGAAAGGACAAGACAAGTGCCGACCTATCAAGTTGAGCACTAACGGCACTTGCTCTGGCGCTGCTCCATCCGGCGGTTTCGCTGCTCCATCTGGCTACTCAGTCCCATCATCGCAGACTTCCGTTGGCGCCGTGGGCAGTGTACCTGGTTACGGCCAGAGCACCGGTGGCTACTCTTCTGCTGCTCAACCTTCCACGGCGGGCTACAGCTCCGCTTCACAGCCTGTCGTACCTGGCTACGGCTCTGGCTCTGCCTCCCAGCAAACCCAGCCTGCCTACACCTCGCAAACCAGCGCTCCAGGATACTCTTCGGCAACCGAAGTCGGTGCCATCACTGAAACCACGGCGCCCGGTTACGCCTCTCAATCAGTCCCTGGCTACGGCTCTCCCTCCGCCTCCCAGGAAACTGTGCCTGCTCAGAGTACGTATGGCTCTCAGAGTGTGCCAGCCTCCGCTTCATCGTCACAGCCTGTTGTACCAGGTTACGGATCTTCTTCCATCGTCCAGGCGACATCGGAGGCAAGCGCTCCAGGCTATGGTCCTTCGTCCGAGTCTGTTGCCACTGCCCCATTCAGTGCCGCATCTGTTTCAACTGCTTCGCTTCCTACTGCCAGCTCTGAGACCGGTGCTACCGTTCCCGCATACAGTGCTAGTTCGGCCACACAGGCGACTGCCCCAAGTGCTTCGCAATCTATCATAGTTGGATCCAGCTCTGCCACGTTCCCTGCCGTCAGCTCGGAGACACAGGCAACCGTGCCGGCGTACAGCTCGTCTGCTTCTGTTTCCTCTGAAAGCACTAAGCCCGCCGAGAGCACCGTTGCCACTTCGATAGAGAGCAGCCCAGTCCAAAGCGTGCCTGGTGAGACCTCTACCGCAGCAATTCCCTCGTACCCAGTGGGAAGCTCCAGCAGCATTCTACCAGAGGAGACCACCACACCGGCGAGCGCTTCTAGCACTGGCAGCGGCCCTGTACCAAGTGGCAGCGCACCAGCAGGCACTACGGTTACCGTCGACACTACGTACTACACGACTTATTGTCCAGTGACCGCGACTCAGACTTCTGGTGGCTCCACTTATACTACCACCTACTCCACCTGGTCTACTTTACCCGTCGTTGGTGGCTCTACTGGCACCGGCATCTTTGCCAGCTCCGCAAGTGCACCAGGCTCGTCAGCTGAGGTGAGCACCGGCGTGGCTCCTTCTCCAAGCTCTGCTATCATGACCACTGCTACTGTCTCGGAGACCAAAGTCATTACGATCACTTCCTGCGCAGCGACTGTGACCAATTGCCCTGCACGCAGCGCCACTGAGGTTTACACTACCAGCAGCGTCAACGTCTACACCACTGTTTGCCCTGTCGAATCTGCATCTTCGCTGTTGTCTTCTGCGTCCTCTACCGCACCAGCAAGCAGTGTGGCCACCGAGACCGCTCCAGCTACTAGCAGCCCCGTCTCAGCGCCTCAGGGCACTGCGCCAGCATCAAGCTTGCCCGTGACCAGTGTTGCTTCCACCAGCACTGGAGCCGTGGCATGGTCTAACAGCACCACCTGCACCGAGTCCACTGCTGCCTTCAGCACCACACCAGCTGCATCCTCGGCTTCCGAGTCCTCTCCGGCCACCACCTCGGCTGCATCCTCACCATCCAGTAGCGGCACTTCCACCACCACCGGCACGGCTTGCCAGACTTCTCTGACGGGCAGCTACCAGACTCCTCACCTCATCATCCCAATCTCCTCTGGTTCGCCCGACACTGCGTATGCAACCAGCTACAATGCCTCGATCAACTCGGACTGCAGCACCATCTTCAACTTCGACATTCCCGAGTCGTACGCCGGCAAGACGTGCTCCGTGATCTTCCTTTTCCCCAAGCAAGAAGATCTCGAGACGTCGGCGTACACTTTCAACGGCGAGGGAGACATCGACTTCTATGAGTTGAGCGGAGTGGCCACCGAGGCCACGACATACAACAACGCTCCGAGCAAGAACGAGACGTTGAACACGATTGCTATCCAAGAGGGCAACAGCTATGTCGTCTCGACCGGGGCTTGTGCGGCTGGCACGACGGAGAGCATCGAATTGAGCTCCAGCAATGGATTGAGCTTGGAGTTCTTTGAAGATTGGAACCCGAGCAGCTTGGGGCTCTACATTACGGCTTGCTAAAGCACATGAACTTCTACAGACGAAGTGGGATTCCGAGCAGAGTAGGAGACTAATGAGCATGTCACACCACCGGAAGAAGCCTCTTTGGAACAAGAGGACAACAACATGTCAATGACCAACACCGTACAAGAAGAAGATTATGTGTCAGATTACAGAAGTGTATTTTTTCTACTTGGGTTGAAAATTAGAAAATTTGGATAATGTTTTGTTAAGGCACAAGTGCCAGACGCCAACTGAAAAGGTGTAAGCTCTGTGATTCTACGGGTTCCTACAGTTGAGTACAGTCTTGTGATACGTATCGGTCATCATCATCACCATCATCATCCGATACCTTATGTAGGATGTAGAGGAGGGACGTTGACGTGAAGTCGCAGAGAGGGTCCAGATGCGTCTCGTTTAGACAACTTACCTAATAAAAGGTACTTACCGTACCGTGGCAGCCAAGGCGCGCCGAGTGGGGAGTAGGGCGGGCGCGCGGGTAGCAGGATCCGTCCCAGCGTGTGTGGTGTGCAGCGTGTGCACAGTGGGAGATGTGAGATCGAGCACAGTCCGGACCGCTGCACGATGCCTGCATCACACTGGCCCCTTCACATCGGTCGTCCTTGCTGCTGCTCGATCATGAGTAGTGTGTGGTGTGTCGTGCCTGCCGTGTGCTGCACCGGCAGTCTCGAAGCGACCCAGCACAAGTGCCCTGCACAATAATACATGTACTACTGTCTACCTTACCTGTGCCCCTCATCGCTCGTCCCGCTCCCACTGCCCTGTCCCGTAGGTCCTGGCCTGGCCTGGCCTGTCCTGTCCTGTATCCACCATTCACACCTCACCAACTTCCGCCGTCGAGATATACCTTACATTGATGTACCTAACACCCACCGCCGCTTACCAGACTCTGACGCCGTCCTCTTCGCCTTCCTGTTCCTGTTCGAGCCCGCCAATCCACCCAGCCCGCCGTCCGCTTGGCAATGGCAGGCCTCACTTTGCCATCACATCCCACGCCCATCTAGCATCCCTCCGAAGCGGCAGCAACGTCACACGCAGGCACGCTGACGCCGTCACTGCTGTATCACCTCCCCAAGCAGGAACTCAAGCCTCAGGCACGCTGGCCTGTCCCTATCACGACAGCAAACACTTGCATATCTTAGCTCATCATGCGTCCTAAGATCCCCCACCACCTCTCCCTCAACCGCGTCAAGAGCTCCTCTGGCTCCAACTCCGCCAACATCAATTCCTCCGCCCCTTCGACACCACCTGCAACTGCCAACTCCCACAGCCGTAGCGGAAGCCCCACTCGAGGCGCGCCAGGCAACATGTCCAATGCACAGAAGTCGCCGGGGGAATTGAGGGGGGATCACAAGGGCATGGGTCTACTGTTGACCGTTCAGGTCGTCAGAGGCCGCGGTCTGGCTGCCAAGGACAAGTCTGGCTTCTCCGACCCATTCCTGGTCCTCACTCTGAGCGACGCAAAAGAGGCCACCAGCGTCGTAAATAAGACATTGAACCCGGAGTGGAACCAGACATTCGAGTTTCCCATCACCTCGCCCGATTCAGCTCTGCTGGAAGCAACATGCTGGGACAAGGACCGTTTCAAGAAGGACTACATGGGCGAGTTCGACGTCGTCCTGGAAGAGGTGTTCGCCAATGGTCATGTCACACCCGAGCCAAAATGGTTCAGGTTAGAGAGCAGACGGAGTGGGCGGAAGAAGAAGAAAGACTCCAACGTTTCTGGCGAGGTCATGCTCAGATTCTCCCTCACCGATCCTCTCAACACAGCAGCTACACCGACTCAGATCCTTCAGAAGTTTGCGGGCCTTGTATCCGAGCCTGGCGAAGACGACGACAATGATGACGAAGAGGCCATGTTGAACAGAGTCGGTAGCTACGGCTTGGACGACGTCGACGAAGAGGAGGATGATGAGAAAGAGCCTTCGGATGAGACAGATGATGGCAACCGGACGCCGGCTGGTACAACAGGCGACAAGCAGAAAGACAGGCGACGCCGCAAGTTGAGACGTCTAAGGCGGAAGAAGAAGCTTTCGTCTTATGAATTTGGCGCCATGTCCGACGTTGCTGGAGTCCTGTTCCTGGAGATCAACCGTATCACGGATCTACCGCCAGAGAGGAACTTCACCAAGACGACCTACGATATGGATCCCTTCGTCGTAACTTCGCTGGGCAAAAAGACGTACCGGACTCGCGTTGTCAATCACAATCTCAATCCTGTCTACGATGAGAAGCTCGTGTTCCAGGTCCAGAAGAACGAGCAAAACTTTAGCCTCTACTTCGCCGTTGTAGACCGCGACAAGTTCTCAGGTAATGACTTTGTGGGCACCGCCAACTTTCCGCTGGAGAAGATCCGGGCCTATGCCCCGGAGGCTGATCCTGAGACTGGTCTGTACAGACTTCCCGATCCTGACAGCGTAGGCGAAGGCGAGGCGAGAAAGAAGCGATTCCGAAATCCTCTGTCTAGGAACTCGAGTTCAAACAATCTTGGAAAGCTCAGTCGAAGCAACAACGGATCCCAAACAAACCTTAGCAAGCTGAACAAGTCCACCAGCAATAGCAATCTGCAGAGCGGGAATTCACGCCCTTCACTGACACCAGGTCTCTCGGATAACTCACTGGCGGACCGTACACGACCAACGGCCACGAGCATGCCGAGCGCAGCAAGTTTGTCCGGCATGCCTACTCAGGAGGACACAGACGCTTTAAACCCCAGTGACGAAGCTGGCCTGAAATCATTCGAGCTTCCGCTAGAGTTGAAGAACAAGCAACGCTGGGAAGACAAACACAACCCAGTGTTGTACCTTCGAGCGAAGTACTTACCTTACCGAGCTTTGCGGCAACAGTTCTGGCGCGTACTTTTGCGGCAGTACGATGCGGATGACAGCGGCAAGATTGACAAGATCGAACTCGTTACAATGCTCGACACGCTTGGTAGCACGCTCCACAACAGCACCATTGATGGATTCTTCCGCAGATGGCGTGACGTGAATGGCGAAGATGTGCTGACCATGGGTCAAGCCGTGATCTGTCTTGAGGAGCAGTTGATGAAAACTCAAGACGTGCATCACGACATTCCGAATCCGTTTAACAAACTGCGCAAGGATAATCCCGAGACCTCAACTGCTGGCCTCACCACAGTGCAGAACAGCTCACCGGAGTCGAGTCCGGCTAACGGCACTCCTTATCTCAAGAGCTCGCAAGGGCCATCCAACATGCAACCCGGAAACGCTGCGATACCAGCCCTGGAAGTCAGCGATCTCGGAGAGGCTGGTGAGGAGGGCAATTACTTGCAGGACGACCTAGGGGTTGAAGAGCTTGGCGATGACTCCGAGAGCAAAGAGGAACATGTTGTCGAGATTCATGAGTGTCCCATCTGCCATCAGCCAAGACTGTCAAGGGGCCGGAAGACGACTGACGCAGATATCATTACGCACATCGCAACATGTGCAAGCAGCGACTGGCGAGCCGTCAACAACATCGTCATGGCTGGATTCGTCACCAGCTCACAAGCCCAGCGAAAGTGGTACTCCAAGGTGATCACCAAGGTAAGAGAGGAAGTCGGAAACGCGTGCTGTACCCCAGGACTGAATTTACGGTCTAGGTGTCATACGGCGGTTACCGCCTCGGCGCAAACAGTGCCAACATTCTTGTCCAAGACAGGATGACCGGTATGATCAACGAAGAACGTATGAGTGTCTACGTTCGCCTTGGGATTCGACTGCTCTACAAAGGCCTCAAAAGTAGGGAAATGGAGAAGAAAAGGGGTATGCAGTGCTTCCTCCCGAACATACTGACACGGCTTCAGTCGACTCTCAACCTCGTCCGAGAGTTATACGCTCAGGTCGAGCCTGCCCATTCCCTTTCGTTCCCCTACGCACTTCGCCGTTCCGTGTTTCTGGCGGATCTTTGAAGCTAACGATTTGTGTAGCTCGAAAGCTGCTTCGCTCCATGTCATTCAAGCAAGGGCGCAAGTTCGACGACCCTGCATCCGCTTCGCAGATTCCTGGCTTTATCAATTTCCATCAACTGGACATGAGTGAGGTTCTGTTGTCCGCTGATCAGTTTAAGACTTTCAACGAGTTCTTTTACCGCAAACTCAAGCCCGATGCTCGACCTTGCTCGGCGCCGAACGATCCCAACATCGTAGTCAGTCCCGCCGACTGTCGATCCGTTGTCTTCAATCGCCTCGAAGATGCGCAACGTATATGGGTCAAAGGACGAGAGTTCAGCGTCGAGCGTCTGCTTGGGGATGCCTATTCTCAGGACGCAAAGCGATACAAGAATGGAGCGCTTGGTATTTTCAGACTTGCGCCGCAGGACTACCACCGTTTCCACATTCCGGTAGATGGAGTCATGGGCGAGCCGAAACTGATCGACGGTGAGTACTATACGGTCAATCCAATGGCCATTCGCAGTGCGCTGGACGTGTACGGCGAGAACATTCGAGTATGCGTACCAATCGACTCGGTATGTCACGGACGAGTAATGGTCATCTGCGTTGGAGCAATGATGGTCGGCTCCACCGTCATTACCCGCAGTAAGGGGGACAAGGTGAAGAGGGCAGAAGAGTTGGGGTACTTCAAATTTGGAGGCTCAACCCTCCTCCTACTATTCGAGCCCGGGGTCATGAAGTTCGACGAAGACTTGATCACGAATAGCGCGAGCGCATTGGAAACCTTGGTATGTTGCAGAAGAGTCTTAAGGCCATATGTGACGCTGATCAGTTTAGATCCGCGTTGGTATGTCTATTGGACGTACTACCGGCCACGCCGCGCACACGCCCGATATGCAGAAACAGAACCCAACCGAGGAAGAGAAGACCGAGGCAAAGGTAAGTTCAACATCAACTTTGCCCGTGTCCATTCCCAGCTTGGTGAATGCATGCTTACACACTATCTCAGAGGAAAATTGAAGGCAGTTTTGCTCCCGGCACTAACGCTGGAATCGTGATGTGACGGAGAAACGCGGCCCGAAAACGATTGCACGACCACCGGCATTAAGAGGAGAAGTGAGCGAAATTGGCATTTGCATGTGAAGAGAGTCAAAGAGCAGCAGTAGCAGGTGTGCATGGTATATACAAAAGATCGGCGTCTTGAGAGGGAGAAATGCGTTGAGGACTTGAGAAAAGCCGGCGTTTGCGTTTTGTATGTGAGAGATTCGTCGACCTGAGACGAGAGATGAGTACGCAGCCGAGAAATCTCAACCAATTCTCGAGCGAGTCAGTGGGGAGATGAGAGGCGTACAGGAGCCGTCTCCCCTTCATACACCGAAGTCGAGGCTACTATGAATGTTCTTCTCCACTGCTACGCGCTCTCACGTGCTCGATCCTGCCCCCGAGATTTTCCCGTCGGGAGTGAGCTCTCAAAGTCCGCAACGAATGCGCGAACCTCACTCCAAACCGAGACTCAACTTCCTGTGCAGGCTTTTCGTCCACAGCTTTCTATAGCAATGGAGAGCGATGTCCAACGATGACAGCTGGACAGAATCGAGCGGAACAAGCGCCCAGCAGAAACCACCTGCACACCAACGCAGCATCTTCTCCCTCCCACCGACCGTGAAGCGCATCTTTGACAAATTCCCTCTTGTCACGTACGAAGCAAATCCACTACCTATTCGATCCCCGAAGAATAGGGAAGAGCATGTTCTACACGTATTCGGAAGTGAAGAGGGCGTCAGAGAGGGAAGGCCGAGCTTCAACCCGGGGTGCTTGAGATGGCAGACGTTTTTGAAGCTTGCAGGGGTGGAGTTTAAGACTGTGGCTTCGAACAATCACGCGAGTCCCAGTGGTGTCCTGCCGTTTCTGCTACCGGCTGCTCAAGATGGAAAGGCGCAGGAACCTGTGCCGGCGGGGAATAAGATGAAGAAGTGGGTGGTGAAGGAGGGAAAGAAAGTGGAGGAGAGTAGCGATTTGAGGGTTGAGGCTTATATGGCGCTGATTGAGGGGAGGGTGAGAAAGGCTTGGGTATGTTATTTTCCCTGCTCAACATGGATCAAGGACAATTGCTAATGAGTTGGCAGCTCTACCAACTCTACCTCACACCGCAGAACTCCGACCTCGTCCGCAAATTATACGTTTCCCCCTGCTCGCGCATGCCACTGGTCCAAATGACCATCGCAAGCCACCTCCGCTCAGCTGCCGAGGCCGAATTGATCAAATCCGCCGGCACCAACGTCGTCTCGGCCCTGGATCTCATCCGGGACGCAGAGGAAGCTCTCCACGCGCTCTCGCAGCTTCTGGGAGAGGGCGAATGGTTCTTCGGACAATCCCGACCAGGATTCTTCGACGCGACTGTCTTTGCGTACACGCATCTGATTCTGGACGATGCCCTGGGCTGGAAACAGAATGAGCTGAAGGATGCGCTGGGCAAGCATGCGAATCTCGTGAGGCACCGGGAGCGGATACGAGAGATGTACTATTAGGACTCTGCTCTGGCGTTGCATGCATGCATAGCGAAGGCGTCGAGGGAGAGATATCCACTCTAATGATCGAATGCAATGGAAACTGCCGCTCACGGGAAGAACCTTGATGAATAGAGGCTAAGTTCGTTCACATCAAACTTCAGTTCTACCACAATTATCATTGCCGCTTGGGGTCTGAGCTCTGGCTGACATCGGAACACTTTTTACGCTGCACAACTGGATTCTACCCTCTGCTGCTTTAGTCGATCGCCCAAGCGACTCCAGTTACTGCAAAATTAGTGGATTCTAGGCAAAATACCCGACAACCGTCTCCCGAATTCGAACGATTCTGTCAACGTAAAACCTTGCCTGGGTTGATCTATGCATACACACATACATAACGTCCCCTGGAGCGCTGCTCGCAATTCCGTGGTAGACTCCAGCTAGCCGCTGGCGGTCTGGGAAGAGATCAAGCAGGGCGGGAGGCGCGTCCCGCCTGCATCGTCCATAACGAACGGCCCAATGCTGGAGAAGCCAAGGACATGTCGATGAAACGACTTCCCGTACGCGCTCGGAGCAAGTGGGAAGCCCCCATCCAATGCCTCCCCCACACAGGCGCGTCTGTAATTTCATAAGAAGTGTTGATACCGAACCTGTGCTCGCTCTCCCTCCATCCCCAGGATCGAAGTCACTTGTACGATAACCGAGAGGAAGGATGGCATCACCACAGCGCCTGAGCCTCCAGCTCGAGGAGCCTGGAGACGACCCACTCGCGGATCAAGTCTTCGACATTCTTCAACGTGCCTTGCAGCAGCCGGACGGAGAAGTGTCCCTGGAAACTGCAGCAGAGCAGATCACAGCCCTTCTTCCCTGTGGACGACCCTACTCCACCGAGGTCGCCATTTTTCTCATGACGTGCTGCGAGGTTGCCGAGCAGATCCCATATTCCCATGCTTCGATGATCAGACTCGTCACGATCATCGACTCGTGCCTACATTCTTCGAGGTTTGCCACCAAAGATGATGGTGGCGAGACTGATGCCACGCTGCGATATCAGACACTGTCGGAGACACTACGCGATTGGTGGAACAGTGAGCTTTCTGCAACATCTGGCGTCGTAGTACGATGTTGGCGCTGACTTTGCCACTCTCAGGCAGCACTCCAACTGAAGACCCATCCAAGTTCGTGAACTTCCAGACTTTCGTCGCTCGTCTTCAGCAACGTGGCCTCACCGGCGGGTCGAACTTGCCAATCTGGATCTTACAAGATGCCCTCGAGAATACAAAGGGACAGACTTCCGAGGCAGGAAGCGCGTACGTGGTCGCTGCCGCGCAGTGGCTTCTTCTCCAGGGCGATGTGGTCTATGCGGAAGTCACGAGCGGCAAGTTAAAGTTGAAGAGATGGCGTGAGTGGCACGAGCGGCTGGAATCGGTGGCTGCGAGGAAGGCCGATGGGAAAGGAGGCTGCGTCTACAGTCAGGAGGCCGTGAAGCAGGCCGGAAGAGCTGCTGTGGCCATGGAAGCCGTGGAGCGTCAGAAGACTGGCTAAGATTTTTCTCTTCGCATTAAACATTCTATCTATCTGAACGCGGCTCCTGAGTACCAATCAACTGTCCGAAGTCCCTTGAAACTGGCGTCGTTGTCGTCTTTCTTTTTTCCTGTCTCACTTTTTTGACTCGTTTCTGTACAAACCTCTTGCGTCTCCTCACGATCCATTGATGATGACATCCGCTGCCTTCTCACTGATGATGTAGATGGACAAGGCGATGAACGCGCCGGGAATCTTGGGGAAGATGGACGCATCGACGACTCTCAGGCCGTCGATTCCTCGCACGCGGAAGTTGGTGTCCAGCACAGCCGACGGGTCGTCGTCCGCGCCAATGGCGGCAGTGCAGCAAGCGTGATGGCCCCACGCCTCGTCTTTGATGTATTGCTTGAGTTGGGCTTCGGTGGTGATGTTGCCTCCCGGCGACAATTCCGTCCACGTGGTGCCGTCGAGGGAGATGAGCTTGTCGAAGGCCGAACGGCCCCAGAGAAGACCCTCATACAATGCCTGGACGTCCTTCTCGTCGCCGCCGTCCGTGGTGTTGCCCGTGTCAAAGGAGCGGAAGAGAATGTGGGGCACGTCATGCGGATTGCGAGATCGCAGCGTGACGGTGCCCGCGTTGTTGTGCGAGTGTGCCTTCAATGCGAGCCAAGACCATCGGTTGCCCCAGATGGCGCTGTTGTATGCGTAATTCGGGAAGAAGCCATTGAAGACACCAGGCGTTCCGAGGATGAAGGTGTCCACGGGATCCGTCTCGGCCGCCGTGGAGGACTTCAGGACAACACCCAGTGCTGCTCCACTGGTGGTGTACGGGCCTCTCTCGTCCACGTTCAGACCTGTCTGCCATTGCACGAGGCACGGGTCCGGCCTGCCGTCGTAGAGGAATGTGCAGTCTTTCGAGACGGAGAACTTGGAACTGGCTTCCTCCACGATGCTGATTTCGTAGCGATCTTGCATATTGGTACCGACACCCGGCAGCTCCTTGACCACAGGAATGCCGAAGCTCTCGAGCTCCTCACGTGGTCCGACGCCGCTCAGCTTCAGCAGCTGGGGCGTGTTGAATGTGCCGGCGGAGATGATGACATCTTTCGTTGCAGCCACATAGCCATAAGTGCCGGTGGCATTGGCGAAGTTGGGGTCTGCAGAGTAGAGATGCTCTCCACTTCGGTACTCGATGCCAGTTGCCCTGGGTGTAGTACCATTCTGGTCAAACCGAATCTTGGTAGCTAGGGTGTGTAGCGCAATATCAAGGTGGTACTTTCGGCTGCCGTCCGAGTTCGTCGCGTTGGCAACTTCCAACACAAACTTTCTAGGGCTGCTGCGAGTAGACGTGTCCTGGTCAATGGCGAGAGGGACCTGATACACATCGGCAGTTTGATCCCGCAGTGGGCTATTAGAGTTCAGATCGTCAAGAAGGACATGACCGAGACTGGTGACCGTGGTAATAAGGCTTGTGAGAAGGCCCTGTGATCCATTAGCATAGGGCCGAATTGAGAGATCGGCGCTTGGAAGCTTACCTTGCCCATTGCCGTAGCAGCTGAGACTACGCAACTGAGAAGTTTCGTGTCTTCGAGAACCAGAACCAAGTTGGTCAAGCTAGTCCTCAGCCAGCCGTCGGTCCCATGTCCAGCTCCAGCAGCATATTGTATCCTCTCGAGCTTCTCGAAGTACGTTCGCATGTTATCGGGCGCCCAGGTGTCGTCTCCGGTGATGTTCTGAATTCCCTCCCAGTCGATGGTGTTCGGGTACGTCGTGATCATGGCGTTATGTTCAGCGCATCCTCCCAAGGTACCAGTACGAGGGTAGAGGATACCAAGTGGCACGGCCCCTGCTGGAGGATACAGGCCAACATAGTAACTGCCATCTGTCTTTCTGTATGTCATCTTGGAGTCCCGTTTCTGACGCTCCAGGTCTTCATAGTGTGACACCCAGTAATCCCACTTGATCGCATCGTCTTCGCCGGCCTTGAGGCTCCATGTCGGCACCGTCTGGTTGAGTGACTCGCCATTATCACCGCCAGCCTCGATCAGCAGCACCGTGTGGCCAGCCAGGGCAAGTCGTGCTGCGAGTGGCCCTCCACCAGGCCCAGATCCAACAATCACATACTCATAGCTGGTTGCATTCACCGTGCGCCTATGGTGGAAATGTCCGTGGCCATGTGTGACAGCAACGGCAGCTGTCGCAATGGACAGTACCGCAGCGAAGCCCTTCAATAGCATCTCGACAAGGCAGACCGAATGCGAAGAATCACTTGCGGCGAGATTGAAAACGAGAAGTAAGACATTTTAAACTCTGGAAACCCGGCCAACTACTCGGACCCCTTTCCTTCTGACACTCAAGCTCATGGCACGGGCTCGTGTAATGATCGACCAAGCAAATTGCCTCATAGTAAAGAATGCTCGACCACAGAAGTGTAGGGCCCTTAGCAACTCCCTAAGTGCGGTAGGGCCCTTAGCAATTCCCTAAGTGCGGTAGGGCAATCAGTAGTCAGCCCCGGCGTATAGATGGCTCCGTTAGGCATAGCTCTAAAGGGCCCCGGCTAAGTTCCTAGTAAGACAGGTAAGGACCAGGGTCCCGGGGACCCAAGTCAGTTGAAATCGGGTAGGAACCAACACCGTGGTATGCCACGCAAGTAATCTGGAACCGAGGTATGTGTTGACGCGTACTCCGGTGCAGTATTGGCTACTATCTGCAAGGATTTTGACTCTTCCATGGAGGCTCGTCATCGAGCTCAGAGTCCGAAGCAATGAATGAAGAAATATTTGGCGCTAGTCAATGCCGTCTTCGGCCACGGCGTAGAGATATGGCCGTATCTTCGAAATCCATCGTGATGGCGTCCTCGTGAATTGGCTATGGCCCTGATATTCGGACTTGCCGCACCGTCTGTGTCCTGCAGCATTCTCTGTAAATAAGACCTAGGCTACGGATATCGGTGACCAGGCTCGTTGTTGCGGTGGAGAAACAGGGCGAGAGAAATTGCGTTCGTGGCCGTTCGCAACCTGGGCGTCGGCGTTTTCGTGAGTGCTCAGGTTGTGAGTGCTGACATTTTGGAGCGGAACGAAGTGCTCGTCGTCACTGTGCCTGGGCCTCACTAATAGGTCGGGAACACTTTTTCGGTTACCACTGCCGACAGCCGTGGGACCAGAAAGTCCGGAGGATGGCCCACCTACATGCTTCGAAGCTCCATCGGACTGTCCCATGGACCTCGGGAAGGCCTTGCGTATAAGGTTGCGGATTCCAGGCATGCAGGCACAGCAAAGAGCCGTGTCCACCTCGATAACAGTCCAGTAACCGACTGCCTTGTAATCATCTATGGCGTATGCGTCAGCTTGTCGAACAATTAGGACGGGTATCTGTCTTCTCACGTGTAACATTTTGGGAGTCGCCGAACTTGACCAGAAGCTGGAGGCGTAGAATGCTCACTAGTGTGACGAAGAATCCCACCCCTAAGCATCGCCAATCTTGTAAGCGGTGGTGTAGAATGTCGATAGCCTTCGAGTAGACTTACCGAACATCATCATCACCAGCAGCTTTTTGCGCAGGTTGAGGTTCATTCGCCAAAGCATCGGCATAGGCAGCACAACAACGAAGACATCAAGCGCGATGTTGAGTGCTGCGGAAGCCCAGGACTGTGCATTGATATTGTTGCACCTTCCCGCGTGTTCTTTGTCCCAATGGAGCCACGCCTAGATGAATATTAGCATCAGAAGTGGGACAAGGTGAAGCCATTCGAAAGAGTTACCATATTTACTGGAGTACACTGGAAGACAGTGATGAGTAAGAACACGAATGTGTACGCCAGATTCAAGCCAATGGCGATGAAAACCAGCTGACGAAAGCCCTTCGTTTGGAAGATGCGGAGGTATGTGCAACAAATCGCGATCTTAATGGTGGGCAAGGCAATCAGATATAGTATCTCGTCGACATAGTAGAGCTAGAGTTTGGTCAGAACGTAAGGTAAGCTTCTTCTTCATCGAATGTGACGCTCACCTTTAGAGCGGCCGTAATGTTGTCGAATGGGATTGTCCAGACGTCGCTGCCTATGCCTAGCCCGGTCACTGGACGACAGTCAGCAGAGGCTCCATGAAAGCGTGTGAATCGAGAAGAGACTCACAAACGTTCGAAAGTACTGTGATGGGAATGAGAAGGAGGAACGCAATCGAAATCGTAACATCGTCCCACCAAAGATCAGTAGCAACGCGAGCGCCACGTTCGCATGGAAAGGACACTTTCGACAGCATACGCATGAAATAAGCCACGGCTGCACAAGCGCCGCCGACCAGACTGGCCTCTGATATGTTCGACGACTCCCGGACGGGCCTGTCGCACAAGGTTTCTGTGATGTTCTTCGACGCTAGACCAATCATGAGTTATCTCTTGCAGAACAGGCAGGCTGGGATGTCGTACTTAACTGCTGACGCACAGTACAGCTAGCCATCACACATTTTGTGATTTCTGCCGTTGCAGTTTCGTTGTTGCAGGAGGATGAGATGTCGAGGTTGGACGCAGAAATCCCGGCCGCGGCAACAGCAGTCAAGAGGCAAGTTCGCTGTAGCAGACGGTCAGCAGCAGTTCGAGCGCTTCACGAACTCGACAAGGAACATACGGAGCATTCCGGCATCATCGACAGTAGCTGCAACGCCCGTTGTAGCTCTTCGGTGGCATTCTGCTGGCATGCAGCCAGAGTTGCGAAGAACACCGTAATATGCCAGAAAATCTTCATGATGGCTGTCACACAAGGAAGGCTTCTCGAAACTGCATGGAAAGCGACAACGATCGAGGAATCCAGATGCGATAGGGAGCGAATGGACCTCGATAGAAGGAAAGGGGTCTCTGCAGGCGGGTGGATAGTCCTAGATCTTCAAAAGATTCCAAACTCGCAAGCTGGCGGAGCCTTGGCATGTCGCCGACTCGGACACAATTGAATAGTATCGTCGCGGTTATTAGCCAAATTGCTGGCGGATAGCAGCGGACTCAGGCGCGCAGTAGCTCAAATCTTGCGCAGGCTCCTATGGAACAATTTCCACGCTGGTGACTTCTCGAAGTGGACGCCATGCAGTATCCGGATGCCCTATGCTGCTTTCCGTCTTCCGCGTGCCAGGATTTTAACGCATTGGTAAGGTACCGCCATCCGGCAAGGCGGTCTTTGGGGAAGTCGGCCTTATCCTTGTCACTTTGTTTCCCGGTATTGTACCGTGCAAGAGAAATACAGCCAAGGGCGACGCTGTACGCCTTTAGTGAGCAAGCCGGTGTTTTCCAACGAAATAAAACACTGGTTAGTTGCAGGAGTGGTCGCAATGCCTCGGGAAAGATAAGGCGATTGTACAGGGCACATAGTATACACCAGTGAACTCCCGCCTCTTGGTCATCTGTTCTTTCTGTGCACACGCGTACCATGTTTCTCTTCAAGGCCCAGCTTGCTGCGACGATCGTGGGACTTGTGTCTCGAGAGGTCCTTGCCTTCGGGCGATCGAATGACTTGCACCATGTGCACGAAAGACTTCGCGAAAAACGCCTGCTTATAAACAGCTTTTCAGAACCCATAAGCGTAACTGGAGAGCATGCATTCCAACCACCTGGCGAGGGAGACCAACGGGGTCCTTGCCCAGGACTTAATGCTCTGGCTAACCACGGATACATCCCTCGCAACGGGGTTGTGTCACTGCTGGGAGCAGTCGGTGCCATGAATGATGTCTTCGGCATCAGTCTTGAGCTCGCTGCGCTTCTGGCAGTCATGGGCGTGGTTTGGACGGGCAATCCTGTCTCGTTGGATCCTTCATTTTCCATCGGCGGCAATACCACGGAGGTGCAGAACTTGCTTGGGAACTTGCTGGGCCTTTTGGGTTTGTGCTGTCCAGCAAATGTATGCGAAAAGTGACGCTGGCTGACAGCTTCGTAGGCGAGCCTCGTGGCATCGATCACTCGCACAACTTCATCGAAGCCGACTCCTCGCCAACGCGAGACGACCTTTATGTAACAGGAGATCCCGTCACGATGAACCTGACAAAGTTCGAGACCCTTTACGATCTGGTACCAGAGGGAACAAACCAAACTTTCACCCTGGAAGTCATGTCGGACTTCGCAGCGATCAGGTGGAATGAGACGATCCCCACTAATCCGTACTTCTATTATGGCCCCATTACTGGTTTGTTGGCTCGGAACACCGGGTACTGCTTCATTGGTAATCTCTTCGCCAATTACTCCCTCGAGCATCCGAACGGCGCGTTGAGTAAGTCGTCGGCTACAGCCATCACTCGAAGGAATTGACTGATTGTCGTATAGCCCATGACATTTTGAGGAGCTTCTTCGCCGTGACAGGAGATCGCTCAAACTTCACATACACCAAAGGCCATGAGAGGATTCCGGAAAACTGGTACAAGAGGACCGTCGACTACGGCCTGGTTGAGCTGAATCTCGATGTCGTGTATTTCATCACCCGGTACCCAGTCTTTGCCAGCGTCGGCGGGAATACCGGAAAAGTAAATACGTTCACGGGCGTTGATCTGTCCGATCCGGTAGGAGGGCTGCTGAATGTGCCTAATCTGCTCCAAGGCAATAATCTTCTCTGTTTTGTACTCGAGTTGGTGAACTTTGCGGGTATGTCTTCGAAGTCCTTGTTCCACCTATCGCTGTGCTGACTTTTCTTAGCGCCCAACTACCTGAACAACCTGGTCACCACGCTCGCAGCCCCGGTCGAGCTCCTCGCGAGCACAATTGCCGGGCCGTTACTCAACTTGAGCTGTCCCGAGCTGGGCGAGATCACGCGTGATGGTGTTCCGCTGTGGGAGTCTCTAGGTGCAGAGTTTCCAGGGGCAAACCGTAGTGGAAGTGCGATGTGATGAAGTCTGAAGTTGAGATGAAGTCAACAGGAAAGAGGGAAGAGACCGAGACGCGACGGACCAGCCCGATTAATAATCACGTGACGTCGCGCCAGAGCCGCTGTGAGATCCTTGGCCTGCATGCTAAGGAATTATACTATACTAGCTAAAGTGGTATTATGCCTAAGTATAAAAAACTCTAGTCTTAGTAGCTAAGTAGAGAGGATATAAA